TGAAGGTCATATAGACATTGTGAAACTGCTGCTTGCATCAGGTGCAGAGGTAGATCTGGTATCTGGTCACTATGGCACAGCCTTGCAGGCTGCTACTTATCAAGAACATACAGAAATTGTGAAACTGCTCCTTACATCAGGTGCCCAGTAGACCTGGTCACTGATCAGCATGGAACAGCCTTGCAGGTTGCTACCTCTGGAGGATACACAGAAATTATACAACTGCTACTTGCATCAGGTGCTCAGGTAGATCTGGTAGCTGCATCAGTAGAAACCTGACATGGTAATCTTGCTTAAGCCCAGATGATAGTGTTCACTTTACCTACTATGACTTAAATTTACCTTGTTTACGTTAGGCTGCTGTAAGCTATTCCACAGTCAACATTAAAGTTGTTCCAGGCCTGGAAACACTGTTAATTTACATGTTAATTAACCAAGCTGTCAAAATTTCCTTTTTGGGTAATCTTCACGAAAATCCACTAATTTTACATATAAAATGTCAATTTTCTTTGCACACATGAATGTTGAGACCCAGTGAGAACACGGGGGTGCAGAATGAGATGAAATGGGACAGAATGTGTTATTCACATTCCGTCCCCATCAATAGTCAATCCGTATGAATTCTGTCCTGAAATCCGGTGATATATGGTGATGAAATGGGATGGATAGAGTACTTTGACATTCCATCTCATTTGGTCACTTCCGACACTGACATGACTGGCAGATGACATGAGGGCAGATTAAGATGAATCGAGACGAATTATTTGATATGCATGTAATGATTCGGGATGGATTGAGATGTAAACAAAACCATATATAGGGCAATAGAAAGCTACGAAATGCGACGCTATACCACCAGCTTCAAGAATCCTGATCGACATCCTCTGAAACCTCTTTCATCTGTGCACTAACCCACTTGCGGATTGTGTTGCGTCGGGTATGGCCTCTGGCCTCGGCTTCTGACTCTTCTACGATGGGTCAGACAGTGCTCAATGTCACTAGCACAGCAACTTACCAGTTCTTTCTCATAAGCTTGATAGGCCTCACTTGCGGCTTGGGGTAACGCAGACCAATGGGCGGTAAACTCCGTGTTGGAGCCGTTGAAGTCTTCTGCATACACAGCCAGACAGAGGTTGCTGGGAAAGCGAGGTCAGTAGAAGGTATGATAAAGGTAGCTTAAGGACGTACCGAGTGGTTAACCTATTCACATAGGGCCGAGCCTTTTTGCCAACGGCGGCGGGCGCAGGTGGTGGTGTGGCAGAGTCAGCTGGTGGCGTCTCTGCCCTAACAGTTGGCTCGTCGGAAGGAGGTGGTGGTGGTGGTGGGACACGAACAGTAGCGCTAAGAAGAGGTGAGTAAAGGAGTGAATAGAGCTAACGACATACAAGAGATTGGTTTGTGGCCAGGTTGGTGGGACAGCGACGGGGGGGGAGAGGAGTAAAGTTGAGGTCTTCATCATCTGATGCAAGTCCCCTGAGCTCTCCCAACGATTCACTATCGAGCAGATGGTCAAAACTAAAGGAGGACCGTGAAATTGGCTCTGAGATTGACTTTGTGAAGGAAGTTTCCTCACCTTCCCCGTCGATTGACATGGTAGAGCCCTGACAGCAGTCAATACAGCGATTATGGACAGTTGATTGAAGTTACCGCTGTCTCAAAGACCATTGGCATCACCATCTCGTCAGAATCACTCCGAGGACGTATATACTTCTCTGACGGAGATTCCACAGTCAAGCCATCGACAGGAATAGACCTTCTCGAAGGGCCCGACTCCACCCTGTGGTGCCATTGCCAGTTCCTTGTCGACATCTCCTTCCCTCCTCGCATGGAGGTCAAGCAGCGAGGACATTTGCAGAGTTGTCTATCGTTATCAAAGATGTATCCATCCCCATACTGGCTATACATCGTGGTCTGCACTAGTCTATGGGAAGAGAAGGAGAAAGACACTGGGAAAGCACTCTACGTGAGACAGGGAAGATGGATGTGATGATAAGAGATAGATCGCGCTCACTTGCATCATTTCGGAAAATGTCCCGATCTGTCACGAGAAGTGATCGCTGCATGTCAGGCAGTCTCGATTGATCCCATTCGGCGCCCCCATGTTTTTACTGGGGTTGAGAGCTTGGTTCAAGCAACATCCAAATGAATATCTAACTACAGGTTGTGTTAAACCACTATTTTCCCTAATATAGATGTAAAATTTGTCAAATCAGTAAGTCACATCACATATCACATGTATATTAACACCTACTCTGAGGCCAGGTCATTATTTACAGGGTTAATTAATATATGTTAATCAACCAGTTCATAAACCAGATCAACTTAAAGCACCTAATTTACCTTATGACCTTTTTTTACCTACCTCCCTAATTTCATTACCTGATTTGACACTTAATTACCTTTATGTACTGTACTCTTTTAAATAATTCGTCGGTCATGTGTCACACAGGACCCTGCCTGAGGAAATTTTTTCGTCAGTCACATAAGTATGGCAATATTTTGCCCAAATTTGTCCATAAAAGGCTATTTTTCGGCTGATCGGCACCTCTGGCATGAAAAGCCCCCAATGGGAAAGGTGCGACAAATGTTTAGGTTTGTCGCACATGTCACGCACTCCGAGGGGTGACGAAACGATTAAAATAGTACAGTACCTCCTCATACCTACAAGTTACCCTGATATTATCTTGGTTATAACCATATATCTGTCAGCATCGGGCTCGGGTCATTTTGGATTGTTGGGGTGTCCGACTGCTAGGGGGCTGAGGAGCACACAGGGATGGGTGTTTAGTCCGGAGAATAGACAATATTAACCTAACAACTACAATATGGCTTTTATACAGAAGAATATTAGGGATAGAATTGGGTGGGCACTAGGCCCCAGGGCAGATCTGATGGGCGCTACGTAAGGCTCCTGTAGGGGTGAAGGGAAGGGGTCAAAGGAATGGGGAGTTGAGAGGAGTGGTGGGCCATCGGGCCCGAACAGCCCCTTGGAAAGGGCAACCCGTCGACTCAACCCAAACTGTGACAATATCACTCATATCCATTATACAAATTTAAGGCTCATAACAGTCATTTAAGAAACCAGATCATACAGGACAAAAAATCAGTAATTAAAGTGACTATAGAATTATTGAGAAAAGAAAAACTAATCTTGAATAGTGAAAAGATCAGGTTCATCAGCAGTAATAATAACATCCATGGCTCTGACAATCAACAGTTTACGCCACCTGTGCAGCCCAGTAGCTACTGTAAATTGTCAGGTCCACCTGGCGGGTTGGACCAGACAATTCACGGCCGCTTCTTCTCCACCATAATAATGAATAGTTAATGAAAAGCAGAATGAATAATTCCAAGTTCCAAGGCCTTTTCTCTCTAAGTCCATCAGGATATGGATAATTATGAATACTTAATTCACTGCGGGAGTTCAGGAATGAACAGGGCCCATTTTGATCGATTATACACCTAAAATCCATGTATCAAAAAAAAAAAAAAAAAAAAATTATAGCTCTATTTGCACAAAAAAAAATGTTGACTTATATGATAAATACTCACTTATATATGATATATATCAGGGCACTGGAGCATATAAGTGAATCTTTTTTGGGTGTAAATGGAAATGGAAAAAAAAATCCTTTTTAGCACATTAATTTTAGGCATATAATTGATTGACACAGGCGCCGTCTAGAATGGGCGGTGCATGCGCGGGCGACCCAATCCTTCTCCTGCACGTACGGGTAACGGCACCGACGTTCCGCACGCGGAGGTGATCAGGGTAGCTCAAGACTTGCAGCACCAGATGATGTTGGAGGATTATTTTTTTGTGTTTAACGAGGTACTGCCAGTGTTCCAAGAGGGAAATGCCTGAATTGTGCTACTAGTGAGGCTGCATCCCAGCGCGCACTCCGCCGTGTGTGGTATCCTACTGCAGCTCGGGCTCCGGCTCAGCGGGCTCCGGCTCGGGCTCCGGCTCGGGCGCCGTGGACGGCCGGGGCCGCGGGCGGCCGGTGGGGTCCGCTATCGTGGTGCTGGGCCCGGCGCTGTGGGATGCGGGGTGTCAGCAAACGCAAGCGGAGAACGAAGCGAAGCGGGGCACGCACGTCCAGGTGACGACGGTCGTGCGCGTGACGAACCACGGCGGGCGGTCGGTCAGCGTCTGGTACACGCGCGTCGCGGTGAACACGGGCCACTCCGCGGGGTCCAGCGCGCCGTGCTGCGCGGCCTGCGGACGGTCAGTCTTCAGATAGCATCGCATCGCGGAGGGACTCGGACGCACGAAGAGCGGCGCGGCGTGCACGTGCGCGGGGACGCTGGCGAGGGCGAGGAGCGCGAGGGCGAGGGCGGCGGGCGGGAGCATGGGGGTTAGCCTGACGAGGTGGGGCAGGGACGGCGCTGTATGTACCCGCGGCTTATATACCGCGCGCTAATCGCGCACGTCATGACTCATCGCGCTATACGCGAAACGGACGGATAGTGTGAACGTGATTGCTCCATGTGCACGCCGTTGATCGATTAGCTAATTCTCCGTCGCGTAGCCGGAGGGAAGGGTGGGTGGGCGGCGCTGCGGCGCGGAGAAACACCGGGGGCGCGGGGCGGATTGTGCACTTGCCTGCGTGCGCGGTATGCGCTTTCTATACGTAGGTGCAGGAGAACAGCATCGGCATCAGCCGCGCCTGCGACAAGTCTACGCGCGCGTGCAGGGGCATGTGTGTACTCGCAGGCACGGCGCACGCCCGAGAGATACGATCGTGGATCCCCCGGATCACTGTGTGTGCGAAAATCGATTCCATTTACTCAGCCATCAAGCAGCAGTGTGGAATCCTACAACTCGCACTCTACAGGTCCCACTCTACAGGTCCCACTCCAGAAAGGAACGCGCCAGCCAAGCTGCATGCGCCGTGTTTGCGTATATATATAAAAAGAAGCAGCGTAAGTAAGTATGTGCAGTGTACATGTACAATTAATGGGGGGGAGGGGGGATAATGCAAGGAGGGTGAGTCTAGTCAGTCCATATACGTCGGCGGCCCGTCCTTGTCCTCCCTCCGGTCGCCCGCCGCCTCCGCGCCCTTGTCGCGGGTGTACACGAGCGACGGCCCGCGCGCCACGAGCGCGCTGCTCGCCCGCCGCAGCCGGCGCATCTCGGCGCGCAGCGCGGCGACCTCGCCCTCGAGCGCCGCGAGCCGCTGCTCCGCCGCAGGCTGCAGCTCTGCCGCCGCCCCGGGCGCGGAGGAGAACATCGTCCACCCGGCGTGCGGGCCGCGCGCGGCGGCGGCGGCGCTGGAGCCAGAGGAAGAGGAGCGCGAGGGCGACGGCGAGGAGCGCGCCGACGCTGCCGCCGACGGCCGCGGCGGCGATCTGGCCGTGCGCGGCGGACGCGGGGCCCGAGCCAGACGCGCCCGAGGCGGCGGGGGGGAGGTCCCAGCTGGCGGTGAAGGTGCCGTTGAGCGTGCTGTTGAAGGTGGCGTTGTTGACTATGGGGTCCGTCGCGTTGCGCGGGGGCGGGTGCGGGGGGAAGGGCGTGGGGGAGGGCACGGAGGTGTTCGTCTGGCGGGAGGAGGCGGTGGAGCTGGGGCCGGACGTGGAGGGCGCGGGGAGGCCGGTGAAGGACTCCGGGACGGGGTCGATGAGCGACGTGGAGAACACGTCGCCGTTGGCGCCCTGCAGGGGTCCTGTCAGCAGCAAAACGGGGCGCGGGGAAGACGACGCACGCCGGGGGTGGGGTTCTGGCTCGACATCGCGGGCGCGGGCTTTTGGATTTAACGTCGGGGCGGGTATGGGCGCGCGCAGCAGGGGCGGGGGCTGCGGCTGCTGCGGACGGGCGATGGGGGTGTTGGGAGGGAGGGAGGAAGGGGGAAAAACGGGGACGACGCCCGCATGGGAATATATCTCCATCGCTGATGGACACCCGCCAAACCCAGGATCCGCCGATCTCCCATTCCGAATTCCACACGTGTCGCGCCCGCCCGTCGCCTCGTCTCGTCGTCGCAGGAGGGGAAGACCTGAGACCTGCCGCGCGCCAGTGGCTTCGCGCAGGGAGGGTTGCGCCGTCGTCTTGCGACCACCGCCCTCACGCAGGATGGTCGCCGATCACACATCCGTCAAGATGCGCGTGCCGATGCCGTACACCTGCCAAGCTCCCATGTAAATTTCAAAATCTTTCAATAAAAAGAGACTCTGATGATGGATTGATAGGTCATGTCCTGTGCTGATCTAGTGTGTTTTCTCCTTACATGAAAGAAGTAAGGAAACATCATCTTTCTGACTTTTTCTGAAAGATGATCTTTTGTTCTTAGGTGAAGAGGGACACAAATAATGTCTGTTTTGCAAATATATATATATATATATATATATATATATAAAGATACTGTTTTAAATGACATAAAACATGAATATAGATGTTGTTAAAAAGAAAATAAAAAATATGTTCTTTCTTCTACAAAGGAGCAGGTATACAAAGCTGATCAGAAAGGAGAGCTTTCACCTGATAATTCAGTTTACTCTCAAAGATGTTCCTTCTGTATGAGAGAAATATTATTGGAAAAAAAAAGATTAAAATGTTTACATCAAATTGATTTCTTAATGTGAAAAGCAAGTCTTGAACTATATCTTTATGACCTAGTGTATATCAAAAAAGAGAAGATATGACAGCCTCTGCAATTTGATATGAACTTCAAAATGAACTTCCTGTTGATTACTTATATTGCTAAATCAGGAAACATAAGTGTACGAAGGTATAATTTAAACTTTGGAGACATAAAATGTGATTTCCCACGCGGTGTCAAAATGGTTCTAAACCTCAGAAATACTTGGACTGCATCTTGAATACTGTAGTATTTTATGGTGCAATTCACCTAGTCACCACTAGTTTGAACAAGCAATATTAGTCCCTGGGAAATACCCTAATTTCTTATCCCTCTAGCCAAAATAAAGCTTTTAGCAAACTGAACATTTCCTCTAGAGGATCTGTAAAAGCTCTCAGAACTGAAGGACTTATATAATTTTCGTGGACTTTTTCCACTGTTTATTATATAATCATAGGATTTTCAGTCATTTTAAGATGCCCTATGGCTCTCTAGATAGTTTCAGCTATGTGTCAGGGGAAACCCTGATGCCGTCACTTGATACCATCAAGTGCCGCATCTGCACCCTGATGTTCTGTCAGGGGAACCCTTTTCAGCCCTCTGGAGACGATTCTGGTCCGATTCTGCTTCCAGTCCAACCCCTGCTCAAGCCCACGCTATCATGGATCCATCAATGTCCTCCTGACGGTCGCCCTGGGACCTGGCCTACAACACCACCTAAGCCTTCTGTCAGACTTCGGGTCAGGCCATGCAAGGTCTTCTCCTAAGAATGCGTGCCTGGAACAGAACAGACGAATCGTCGGGCCCACGAGTAGGGCGTGCAAAACCGAAATGGCCCCGTTAACTTGGTCCCTTGTCGCTGTCGGTGGTCGAAGGTTCGAATCGGGTCGTATTGGGCCCGGTGAGTCGGTGATTACTCCTTGCACAGAGAGAAGTAGTTCTTCAAACAATCTAAGCGATAGAGTACATGGTACGCTATCGCGTGTTTATATATGCAGGCGGTGATTGGACACCCTGGCCTCTCCTGCTCCTCCTCGCCCCCGTTCCTGGCTGCAGAGGGGACAATCATACATCTCTTGCGCGCCATGCACTCCCCCTGGTGTTGAGTTGGGTTCGGCAATGGCTTGACACATCGTTCTTGATCACGTGCTTCCCATGTGTGCGTTCCTCCTACTGGGGCGCCCGTTCCCCATCATCACGTGCTGCGTGTTTTGGGCCCACAGTGGCCCAACACCAGCGCCGGACGGGCCAGGTCTTATCCGTGACACCTTCTGTGCCCAACAGTGGCAGCTACGGATAGCAGTATATAGTCAGCTACCTAGCAGGCAGACCCTTAGAGTTTCTTCTCTTTGGATCCTCCCCTGCTAGGTCAGCTTCATTTGTATTCGCTTCCCAATGTTCACACTTTGAATCCTCCACCTTTATCTCAGGCCTCTGGTGTTGCCCTTACATGCTCTCCCTCCACTGCCTCCACCACATCCCACATCCAGTGGTCCCCAGTCTTTGACTCCCATCCTTACTCTCATGGCCACCGCTTTCCAGGAGTCTCTCTGGAGTGACTATCAGGGATCACTAATGCCATCAGAGACCTCTCTGGTTGCATCACACTAGTAAAATTCAAATTTTTTCCACATGCCACACTATTTTGCTCAGAATCCTCTCCTTAAAGGGGAATTTTGCCATTTCCAGGCCGAAAACTTACTAGTTAAGCAACAATTTGAATTAAATAAGATTTTCATATCAAATGTCACACAATTTTTACCATTTGAATTGCATCAAATATTGAAATACTACAGTATTCATTTCAGTCTGCTAGAAGTGGAAACCATTTGATCCATTCATTTGTAATTAATTTCTCACACCAGGGATTCATGCAAAAACAGGGGCCAAAGCAGGACTGTTCTGTGGGAAAACCAGTGCCAAATGTGGTAAGCTGATTGGATTTAAATCAAGGCCACAGATTTCTGCACACGTAACTTGGAAATTACCTTATTTGGAAATTTCCGAGTCATGTGCGCCAAAAATTGGGGCCCATAATTTATGTCTAGTAAGAATTGGCCCCAGTTGTTTGGGCCTGTATCTGCCAGCTTCAGGCGGCTTTTTTCACTAAAACCCCGATGTGTCTGTTTGCCCTATTTCACAAATAAAATGGTAATTTAAAATGTTTATTACCATCCAAATAAGTATTTAAAAATGAAAAAGGTTGGAGCCCTATGTTTAATTCTCAACTCTACCTTCAAAAACATGGTTATCAGCCTTTGTAGGTAAGTACTCTAGTTCCAGTACTGCCAGTGGTGCTAAATGCTTACAGTCCAACCACATTCAAGTACTTGGTGGCTAAGAATCGGTGATTCGGCCGAACGAAACATCGAAATCGGCGGTGGATTGACAGCGTGTGACATTCTAAAACGCCTTGCCGCCAGCCACAACAATTACAACCAACGTAGAGAGGGCATGTGTCTAGACGCGATCGCACCCGCCCCAACGAGAAGAAACCTCCTGCATCTAATCAGACGTCTTTTCTGCCGCGCTCCCTCCCAGACTCGGACGCGGCAAAATCCGGTTCCCAGTGGCACGACATAGCCCCAGGACGCTTCCCTGAAGCTTAACTGGCAACGAGAATGGTTGCGCACTGTAGCACGCCAGGTTTCGCCATTTGGTGAGCGCTCCGAGTTTCGCGATCAGCTCAACATGAGGCACCAACAGGATGTCACCATCACGACGTCGATAATTATCGAGACGTTTAGGCTTGCGTGTCGTCACAGGCCTGTCCCAAGCCTGTCCAGCCCGGAAACGTGGCCGCTGGTGGGGGGCAACGAGTGGTTTAATGCATCCGAGTGCCACAGCAATCCAAACACTTCTATGCAAGCTTCTGTTGGTGCAAAGATCAAGTGGATATTTCGGTAATACTTATCATATGTCCGCGGCCTCCAACATATAGGCGGTCCGGCAAGCTTGATACTGACGAAACCGCCTCAGATGTATCGTCATTGCCAGCACAAGGGTCAGCGCCGAGTACCGCATTTGGCTGCTTTTGTAGTACTTTTGGCGCACCGAGCCGTCCCCAGGACAGTCCCGATCATAAGGTATTGTGGAGGGTCATTTCTTACTCTGCCGAGGATCAGCCTCTGTGCTCTTACCTCCGCGGACGACAGCATTCCTTCACGGACATTGCAGATTCGGAGACAGCAGGCTCACTGCAGCACTGGTATAAAAAGCGCAAAGACATCATGAGCTGTCGCAGGTCAAATGTCGCTCACCCGTGTCGTCCTGGTCCTCATTCAGACCACATTCAACGAGCTGGCATGTACACCGCCCAATCCAACACAAACAAAACACCGATACCACACGGAGGAGCCCGGTTTCTTCCAGATCGCGCCATTAATACTGCGGGTGTGTTTTCAGCTCGCACGCGTCGTATCTTGACAACTTATCCTGCTTTTCCGAAAGCTTCATCAGTATCTTCTTCGTGGTGTCGCGGGCCTCGAAACATTATCATACCTCACCGCGGCCGGCTATAAACTCCCTCTCTTCCCCACCCCCACCTTGGTAATCCGCATCCAAACGAGCACCACTCCGCTCTTCCTTCTCGGGGTCGCCCTCGTTGTCGCTGGCTCGATATTCCGGCTCGCGGCATTCCGAGCGCTGGGGGAGCTGTTCACGTTCGACCTCACCATCCACCCGAACCACCGGCTCGTCACGGACGGGCCCTACGCCTACGTGCGCCACCCATCGTACACGGGCACCCTGTGCATCATCGCCGGCCTCGTCGCCTCCCACCTTGGCCCCGGCAGCTGGATCTGGCTCTACGCGGGCCACAGCTGGCTCCTCCACGGCCTTCTGCTCGCTGGCGGAACGACGTGGTGGACGTGGATGCTCGGGGTCGGCCTGAGCCGCATCCCCGCCGAAGAAAAGAAGATGTCTGCGCTGTTCCCCGAGCAGTGGGCGGCGTATGTCAGGAGGGTCCCGTATTGGTTCATCCCCGGGGTCGTTTGAGTCACTGCGTTGAGTAGACTAGCAGAATTACGGACTAAATATCCATAATTACATATTGAACTTGAAGTAGCCGACTTGAAGTACCATCAGACTTACATTACTAGTAGTACCAACAAACTTGAACACATGCGTATTTGAATCCACTGGCGTTGACCAAGTCAGCGAACGGTTTTAGGCTTTATTTCGTTCTCTTCGAGTTGCCTCCTATGGACCTAATCGCGGACTCGATAACAAGTCCTCGTTTGGATACTACATAGTAGTGACAAACAAACAAACGTTTGAGTACTTATTTGCGTAAGTAAAAGGCAAGTTGCCCGTTGCTTACGCATTCAGGGCCTTAATTTGCAAAGCCAAACTTTGAATTGTAACAAGGCGTCAGAGAGACCAACCATGAAGGGCACACTTGCTTTCCACACAGACACGACATGAAAAGCATAACTGGTTTCAATAACAAGAAAAACACAACTCCTACTCGACAATACTTACCTGCGACCCCCGCCCGGGCCGCCCATCGTCATCGCCATCGTACACGGAGAACAGAAGTAGTGGGTGCAATCAACCACTGCAACTTCTGTGTAATATGCAACTATTCGTCCCGGCCAGGGGGACTACTTCGTCGTCGCGTGTTCCCGTGCTCGCGCTCAGCCGCTAGCAGCGACAGGGGCGGGCGCGGGCTTCTTGACATCCCCGCCAGGCTCTTTCGGCAGCATGCGCGTAAGGCGGACGGCAATGATGGAGAGGGAAGCAAGGAGGAGGAACCCCGCGGAGCCCGACAACCATTGATGCTTGACCGACAGCGCGAAGAGGGAAGACGCGACGGTCGGCGCAACGGCGCGCATTGCTGTCCCAACGGTACCAGATATGCCACTAACCGCACCGACATTGGCGCGATTGGGGGAGGCTGCTAGTATAAACAGCGAGGTGACCGCTGCGGAAGACTGGTCAGAGAAAGAAAGGAAAAATAAGATAACAGGACATACAAAACGCAAAGTACGTGAAGACCGAGCAGCTCAACTGTCCTGCAATCGCAAGTCCGACAGCCCAGTCGACGGCTCCCTGGCGACGAGCAAGGAAATTGAGGATGGGATAAAACAAGATGGCCGCGGTAATAGCCACAAAGCCGGTGGTGAACATCGTTCGAGCGCCAAAGTAGCGAATAACGCGGCCCCCCAAAGTAGCCTGGATGACCGCATTAAGCATTCCGGTAGACCCCATTAGGAGGCCGATTGCGTATGGACTGAGGCCAAGTCCGCCGTGTTGGATCGGTGTGGCGTAGACGATGGGAAGCAGGGCCGCGTAACTCATCTCGCAAAAGGTGAGGAATCCGTGGTTGACAAATGTAATAACGACCGGGCGGGTGAGCAGTTGTCGAACGGGAAGACGGATGTCTTCGGGATCAGTGGCAGAAGGAAGAAGGGGAGAAGTTTCCGTTGGAGGAGAGCCCTTGGATTGGCGCGTCAGGGCGGAAGGTAGAGTCTGCAGTTGTCAGGTCATGCAATAGGACAGTATAGTAAATAGCGCACCTCTTTCAGACCAACCCAGGCCAGAATGAAGGCCGCCAACGCGATAAGCCCAGCGACAGCACAGGGCAGGAAGTACGGATAGGTTTTCAGCAGCTGGATTCGTCCCAATGGTGAATTCGGCCATTTAGTTGCGGGATTGACCAGGATACCGCCCAGCGCAGGCCTATTCCGAGTCCCATTTCAGCATCCAAAACGCAGGGGAACAAAGGCAGGACGTTACCCTAAAGTAACTCCCGTGCTCCACATGAGGGGCAAGAACGAGAACATGTCCGCGATGTTGCTGGGGTCGGAAATCTCGTTCATCGCGGTCTTGGTTACGCCCGTGTTCCCGTTCCACACTCCTTGCAGGCAGCGCCAGCCGAGCATGCTCCAGTAATTACTGCTCAGTCCGAAGCCAAACATCGACAGCGCGAGGCCAAGGGGGGCGAAAAGCAGGACGGGACGGCGACCGTAAACGTCGGAGAGACGCCCGAATTGGAAGACGGTGACGGATTCGGCGAGGAAGAAGGACGATTCCTGGGCCATTTAAGAGGGTGCAATAAGGTGGGGAGAGGGAGACGCACCAGCATACCCGCATAGAACCCGATTTTGGTCTCGTCTCCCTTTGTGATGCCCGTGTCGCGAACGAACTGCACGACGAAGGGGTAAATGACGAGCGCTGTTGTGGGTGAGTGCCGTGGACCAGCGATGAAGAAAAACTGCGCGTACCTGCGATGGGCTCCGCGAATTGAATGGCCAGCAGGATGAAGAGTTGCATTTTGGGGATGGGCGTCCGCTTGCGCGGCGGGTCCGCGTCGGTTTCAGACATGGTTGGCTTGTCGTTTGTCTGGTAGTAGGTTCTAGTGGTCGTGGTGAGAGGTTAAAAGGATTGACCCTGGATAAGTAATCTAGCGGCCCCTTGTGACTCACACACAACTCACATGAGCTGCCGCCTGCTGCCGCACTGCGGATCCATGGGTGACAACAACACCCGAATGGAAATTCTCCGAGCTTCCGCGGCCGATGGCCCGAAAGCTTCGGCAAGATGCAAAGGTGATACTTGATTCTTGCTTGATACACTGGACACTATTCCAACTTTATTCACAAGGTGTGAATACTGACTGCGAAAATCTAATCTCTTGGTGCACTACTGCCATAGTCTTTATCAGCACAAAAGCAAACAGGGAAATGGTGAGTAGTCATGTTCAATGAATATTGAGTCACTGACTCACTGCAGAAAGGTCATGATCAAGGCAGTACTACCATATTACAAGCAAATAAACAAACGAGCAAGTTCTGAGCTCCTGCCACTGAAAGATTCCGCCATAGGTTCCAGACCTCCTGGGACATCGTGTGAATATATCAACTCCAGACCGATTTAGTGCGCTGTCTCGGCCCCGGCCCGGCCGTCCGGAACCTGCAAACACCCCGCCTGCGGCTCCAGACCGCGCGCATCTGCCAATGCCTCAACTCCAGGGTCCCAGCCGTCCAGCGCATACAGAGCCAGGCCTCCGGCAGTGCGCGATCTGGGTCAGCCCTCCGCGGTATAAAATGGCGTCCATCCAGAGCGGGCTATCCTCACTTAACAAACCACCCACACTCAACCTAGCATGGCCACCCTCTCGCGCGCGGCTGTCCGCCTCTCTACCATCTCCCGAGCCCACATATCCACCCCGGGCCGGCGCCTCGCACACGCACACGCCGGCGAATACCATGTAGGTCTTCTCTCCGAGCTTGATTGCCCGTAGCTCACCACTGTGGCCAGAATATTCCATTCGACACGTCAAATCGGCGTGCGTTCGCGGCTAAATGTATCGCCTACCTTGGCTTCGGGTTCGCGCTGCCGTTTGTCGCCGTCGGGTGGCAGTGGTAAGTCCTTTCTTTTATTACAGTGCGTGTGGCTGATGCTGAGGTAGGTATAAACCCGGGGGGTACAAGAACCCATAGAGAGAGAGAGAATAGATCTGGAAGCGCAAATTCTGTATAATACTGTATTATTTTTCGTGGACCCGAAGAATTACCCAGTCATACGAGTCCTCAGTATCGAGAAGGAGTGGGATACGCAGACAATGCTCTGAAGCATTGAGGCGGGTATAAAATACGCCACCTCATACCAGTAGTACGAGGTTGCGCAATTGCGACATTCAAACGAATGCGATTCACGTCTATGGAGTAAATATCTAAGCATGACAGTGGAATTTACCAAATCTCGAAGAGTAAGGATATATCCTGCCAAACCGCAACTACAAGCCGTCATAGTCGCGTCTCAACTGCTGTAGCTGATGATCTGGAGGGGAATTTTAGCTCGAAAGTGTCAACAGAGTTTCTTGTTTGTTGCATACCGACAAGTGGGCTGTCAGCCGCATACACCTGCATCGTGGCGAGCCCCGCATTCACCTCAACCATGAGCGCCGTCACCTCCGAGTTATAATGCTGGCCGTGATGGGCCGTAGTTGGCGTGCGGATGGACCAGTCTGACGTCCGGACTCGTTGAAATTCCTCGATGAGCGTCTTGCACGCAAAGAATCCAAGACTGCCCACAACTGGATGGGCGATAGCGCGATCGGGGATGCGTATGTCTCCCAGGGCTTCCAGGATGGTGCGAGCTGCGAATAATGTTCTTTGATGAGATGTGTTCACTGATGCTCCCCGCGTCGCAGTGGATCTAGACGAGGAACTGTGGACCTTGAGGACAGCTCCAGCTGTGAGTGCATGTGTCATAGCCAGGCAGCGGGCGGAGGAGCCGTCAGAATAGACAGTATAAATAGGCGGAAGAGACTGCCAAAACTGTGTAAGCCTGCGATCCAAGAGTGAACAAGCAGCGAGATGAGAAGTTGTCTGCTGTGGAGAGAGATCTAGCGGTGGGGCATGAGCTTGTTAAGAAGCACTATAGCTTTCACTCACTTGATAGTTTCGTTGCAGCTAATCTCGTAGCGCGGTACATCAACACACTAGCTTTCGCAAGCAGCAATGATACCGGCGAGCCCGCATTGAAGGTGTCGTCGGTCATCAGGTGCCGAATACTTTCCTGTCCACGATACCCAGAATGCAAACCACCATTCGCATAGTCTGTGATTTCCAGAGGCCAAGGCGTATCAATGTCCGCGGCCGGCCCTTCCAGAACACAAAAGGCCGCAGAAGTGCTACTTCCATTCTGAGTAACACAAATATGAGACTGCAGGGATGCGAGAGCCCAGAAGCCTCGAATACGTTCGCCTTCATGGACGGCGTCCGTCGATTGTGTCATTGACAGTGATAATTGGGCGGAAAGACTAGGCGAGTGCGCTCGGCTAGAACGAATTCGGTGAAGGCCATATCTCAAGGCCAATGTAGCAGCACCGTTGACATGAACTTCGGCTTCCAGAAGTCGGTTGACGCGGAAAAGGTACGTTGAAAGGAGAATTTGAGCTTGGATGGTGTAAATTACAGTCGAGGATGACTCTAGAACTGAGGATATCGCCGTGGAAATATGTTGTTGTGCTCTCCGAAGAAATGTCGGTTCAGAAGCGAGAAGAGGCTGCAGCTGGGAAAGACGCACGCCCCAGAGATATACGACGCAAAGCAGGGCTGGGGAAGGCCGCAAAGGGTCACCCATTGGCAACGGTAATAATGCGGCATCGTGGAATCTTTGTATGTCAAGGAAAAAGCCGAATTGAAGAGCATGCGGTAAGAAGGATTGGATTCTGCCGTCGATCAGTTTCCTCGAGTGAACGGTAACAGTAAATTTACAAAAGCTGGATCATTGGGAACGGGGGCTCGTCGAAGTCCGGTGCATCGTCCGACATGTAGGAACGATGTGAACCTGATTGAATGAGCACTGATATTCAGTGGTTGAATGGCAACGAATCTCACCAGCCGAGTGTTCGCTGAAAGGAGAGCCTCGCATGGATGAATGAGATGGATAGGGAGAAAAAAGCCTTGAAGGACCAGCGGTACCGGTCTGGGCTTGGAGCTCATCGATACGAGATTGAAGACGATGAACAGTGTCTTGTAACTCTTGGGTACGGGACATTGTGTCCGCATATTCGCAAGGATCATCTTTGGGAACTCGGATGCACGGACCACACATGGGCCGCTACATAAAATGTTAAAAGTGACCACTGGTAATAGGGAAGTTCTCCGCACCTCGCCATCACACTTCTAAAGCAAAGATGGTAAGCCTAAATTCGATGGATGGCCGATAAACGGATACTTACTATCTTGAGGTGTCTACGAAGAAGTTAATCAAGAGCTTCCATTGATCATAGAGCCAAAGCTTCACTCACCGACAATTAAAACAGGCTTTTCCGCGCCGCAATGGGCGAACGGCGGATGCTTTATTGCTGTCTGAAGCCATGAACGAAAGTGATGTGATCTTCAAGTTCGGAGTAGAGGTTTGCGAATAATGCAGAGAGCATCAACAAGCTTTAAGTAGTATTCGCTAACCCGGTCCTCAAACGAGCAACTGGTGAGCACCGACATTGGCGCTTGCAGCCATAGCGTGCGCTCCGGAGTCCGCAGCAGTTGGCGCTCGCGCATGAATCGAGGGCGATGAGCAGGTCACGACCCCGTAGCCATCAGGCTCTGTAAGGCCCAACGCGACGACGATGAGGAATCGCAGCAACCCGTGATGCTTTCGTCAGCAGGGCTGTGCAGCGTTGCCCGCGATGCGCTGGCGCTGTTGCGAGCAATCTATCTTGTCCGTCAAAATGAAAAGAAGCGAAAATCATGGAGCAAACGGAAGTGGGTGCCGCAGTCAACGACAATGAGGAATCATTGACAGAAAATCATGGACTTCAGTGGGCGCACCCGCCGCAGTCGTTTGGAGGAGATGTTTCGGAGGGATTTTTGGAGAGCGCCCATGCGTGGTTCATTAATACTCGTTACCAGGTAAGCACATACTTAGAACCGCAGGTAGGGGAATGAAAGTCAAGCGTGTGGTGAGTCACATCACGTGCTGTCACATTCTTGGCGGTTGTCTCTATCCTCTCAATCTGATTCTGGAAGCTGGGTCTCAGACATTCCGCTATGGAGCTCGGAAACGGTCATCGGCGGCCACACGAAACCACCCTCTTCACGGCTCCCATCCATGGCATCGCTCGGTAGTAATCCTCCCGGTCCCCCAGTTACTCCGCCTTCTACACCACCACCCAACTATGGCCCAACGTCAGTTATCCAAACACTAAAGTCCATGTAACAACTGAAAGAAATCATAAAATAGGGTCTCTCCACAGCTGATAGGCTCCTTGCTGCAATTCCTGCTTGCGGGTATGCTCACCGTCCAACTTTGTGGGTCCACTCTCCATGAGGTTTGGTGAAGCTCACAGACAGTAGACATCTATCATATATGCTTCCCTCGAGACCCGCGTGGTATCAAGGCACTAGGTGTGATCATTGTTTCTTGCCGACATTCCTGCTCACACACACCCTCAAGTCTATCTGGTTTTCCTACTCATCTTCGCCCGTACGGTTCTCACGGGGACAGAAGTCGAGTTCTGGGTAAGTTTCGTTAATCTGCTGGTGAACATCTCGTTGCTATGTCGAGTTATAGTTTGCTTCTGGCTTCGGGGACATTCGCCGATTCGTCAACCCACACGATCTGCGGGTATACACACCCATTATCGGACCGTTGGTGTTGCTTATCGTGGAACTCTTCTTCTGCTATCGCATTGTCGCCCTGCGGGCAAAGGCATGGCCAATGGCCCTGCTCTCCGCCTTGGTTCGTTCTGTTCCGAGTCCGATGTCAGTCGACGACATTTTGACGATAACAAGTTTTCTGCAGCACAATGCGCGTGTGGGGCAACCTGTGGTATATTTTACTTCATTGGGGCTCGTGCTGTAACGAGCCCCCGACATGCCGCCTATGTGAACCTCATCGACTTCTGGCTGATATGCGGGGTTATAGCTGCAGTTCTCACAACTGGCACAATAACCTACATTGTCCGTTTCACGTTTTTTACGAACAGTATTGCCCCCCCTGATATCTTTGCAGCTCTTGACAGCAAGTGTGGCCCCGTCGACGAAAACCCTGATGAAGAATCTTATATGGCTGACGATTGAGACGACTGCCATTGCTGCGTCTGTGGAAATTGTAGCGTTTGTGCTGCGGCGCGTATATCCGGTATGTGTCGCACCCCCCGACATCATGATTACTCAACAGGCTCTCATGGCATATTCTAGACCCGAGCTTATTGGATTTGCCCTGGTATGATGCTACCCGGCATGTATGGTATAATTTTGTTGCTCTATTTTGGACTAAGTTGTGGATAGCTACGCGAACACACTCCTCGCTACTCTCAACAACAGAGCGCTCGCTCGTCTTTACCCGACCGAATTCGATGCTACCACCTTGGCCGAATCCACGATCGCATTTTCCGGAAACCCAGTTCCCACTAGCACTTGCGGCGCTGGCCCACGGACATTTGCGGCAGCGGCTTCTCTCGGGCGCCAGCCCAGCGTCATGAGCCTGCGTTTCGCAGCCGCGTTCTCGGCTGCGCGCACACCTTCAAGAGATAACTTGACACCTGAACTTCCATCCGTCGAGGATGAGTCAATGGCCGATTCCAATTCAAGCCATACGGCTCGGCGTAGTGGGACTATTCGTCGGAAGTCGAGTATGAACTCGCTCGCATTGTCCGACGCTGGGACTCTGATGGAGGGACAGATGCTCTTTGCTGAGCGCTCAGAAGAAGACATGCATGCTAAACGGGTAACATTCATCAGCATCTCCATTCCAGCTGGCTGACTAGGCTACTAGGCGGTTTGGCCGGGAGATAACCAAACTCGGACCGCGTTTGCTCAGAGAGAATGCGAAAACCTAGAGGACATCGAGGTAGTAAGAAAGCATAAAAATATTTCGATGTAATTCCATTTCCAAATGGAGTCGGTAGCAAAATTTCTTTCGAGGTCCTTTTCCTTTGCTGTGGTTGACTTGGCTCAGAGTAGGAGTCAGGTAGCTCATTTATCCACAATAGCCATGCGCAAACCCACTTACAATCAGGTCCGCACTTTCCTCTTCACGTGACATCACATTTCCCTCTCGCTCCCTCATCCTCCAGACGATGTCCTTTCTTCTAGGCCCCGTCTCTGGCGCCCTGGTCGCAGGCGGCGTGAGCTCCATCCGCATTTCCACTGCCACGTGTGCTGACCGAAGGTCCCCTCCAACAGCTCTACTACGGCTACTCGACCGTCATGCAAACGCGGTAAGTCTCCCTTCCCTCGTCCTCCAACTCCAACCCCCCCAACCCGAGCACTCGCGAGTACTCACCTGTCTGCGCAGCACCGAACAACACCGCAAAGAGTACTAGCCCCTTCCCTTCGCCTCCCTAGCCAGCAGTTCTGACCAGCCGGCCTCAGCCTCCACATCCTCTCCACCCGGCTGACGACCACACCGGCACTAATGACTGCCCCTCCACCAGCCGCATCTCGAATCTCGCCGACGCCATTCAGTGCCGTCCTCAAAGAGCGATGGAATCACGAAATCGGCGCGCTCGTCGCTGAAGCCAGGACGTGGGAAGACAGGGCGGGGGAGTGGGTCAGAGGACACGTATATGGTCAAGCTTCAGCGAAGGACAAGGGAATATGAACGTTTCTGTGCTGTCAAGGTGTGTTTGTCCTCACCACGGCCAACACAGAAAGACCGACTTTTCTTTAGCTACTTTTGCTACGTGTCCTCTTTTGCGCGAAGATCACAAGATGGGCTTTCGGAAGAGGCAGATAAATATATTTCCCATCCCATATGGCTATTGTCGAATTCGAAACGATAGATAGTGTAGAAGATGTGTTTGCCGCCGTTCCAAGATGCATGACACCCTTTCAAACTCGTGGTTCCTCTTCGACATCTTCCTCCCCATTCTCCGAGTCCCCGTCAGAATTCAATTCATGCTCCAATCCCTTGAACTCCTTCTCCTCATGTTCGTTTTGATTCCCCTCTTCAGGCGTGGTGCTCGCGCATGTGCTGCTCCCTTCTACAGAAAACCTCACTGGATGGGTACCCTTAGGTTTCGCCGCCGTCTCCGGCTTCGCGATGCTGACCTCTTGCACTCCAGCATGTTTTTCGTCGGCCAGCTCACCGTCTTCAGCAACATCTTCTTCATCGTCGTCATCGATATCATCCTGCCAGCCAGTCAGCGAGCACTAGCATCTGCAATAGAACATACCAGGTCGTTATTAGCCCTAGCGCCAAATGCCATGCCCCGCCCCTCCTCGACTCGATTATGGGACCTTCCGTGGTCATCACCCGCTCCATTGTTGCTCTCGAGGAACGTGCGACTCTTCGTATCGTCCATCGGCACTAACTTGTCGTCGACGCGTGCGTTCAGTGTCCACATGACGGAGAACGCCCAAACTTTGCAGAGAACCATGTTGACTCCGATGCAGGCCTGGGATCGTGCAGTCGGATATGGGTCGGGAAAGCGCAGCGAGAAGGCAAACGCAATGATAGACCTATTGAGAGAAATTGTGAGCACCTGTGAATATATGGACGAGATAGAATTACAGGATGGTAGGGAATGCGGCAGTCTGGAGACTGAGTCGCAATCCGGTTGTGACAAGGTGCTCGTCTTCGGGAAGAACATTGTGGCTCTTGCGATGGCGAACCAGAAGGTAGCCAGTGACGAAGGTCAATATGATGTTACCACCTGCAAAATTTTAGTGGAAACAGAGGACAAGACCAAGGACATACTCATTACGAGTGGTAAATAGATAGCATCTGCAAACAATCGTCAGCTCGATGCAATAAAGGTGCAGTTTAAGAACGTGCAGTATGTGACGATGGCATTGAATCTTCTGCCTGAGCTCGCAATGCGGACGGCACCCTGTAACAAATTAATGATGCTGACAGGAAATAACAAGCGGGATCTTACTGCGACAATGGTCATGATGAAGCCGAGAAGCAACACGAGTCCAACAGGGATGACGATTAACACATTGCTGTTGGAGAATCGAAAGAGGCGGTGGAGGTACCATCCCTGAACATATAGAGCGATGAAGGCCATCTGAAAGATTTTGGATATTAGGCAGAGAAGCAAAAGGAAGATGGGACTTACGAGCATGGCTTGAATAGCGACGAGGTCGCTGTCGGAGGGGTCATTGAGACGTCCAAAGTTAATGATGCATTTGCGCCAAAGAAGTCCACTACAAGAACGAGGTCAGAACAATGTGGATGTAGATAGAAGAAGACACAAGTCGACGCACAAATTCAGGCCCGATTTGACCACCGTTAGAAATGTCAGGAAAGCAACATAAATCCGTAGGGACCGAGGGTCGGAGGTGGAGAAAACCGTGAAGTATTTGACGAGCTGCCGAGATTCAGCAACAGGTTGTAAGGGAGGTATCATAGACGAGACGAACTTGTCCCGAGATGACGCCCTGGAGAATCAACTCGAGGCAGGTCCCTATGAGCTGGAACGGCCGAGTTAGTATGACCCAAGGCGGGGCAAGATTCAACGCACCCATGGACCTAGAATGTACGCTGCTGGATGGGCCAAGGAAGGCGGCGGCATAGGCATAGCTGCAGACATGATGGGGAGGGGAAGAGGTCTGTGTCTCAAAGGTCGCGAGCGGGCCCGTCATATCCCATTGCGGATGTATCCGATTTGGAGAGTGTCTCGGGCGGCCAAAAACAGGGTGGGTGTAGAATGTTTTGCTACACCGCGAGACATGGTGTCCAGAGGAGGATACGAGAGGCAGTGCCCCACGTGATGCCTTTCGATTGATGCTCTTGACCGAACTTGGTCCGCCGGAAGCGTCGCCGTGGCGTACTTACATGGTCCTGTGAGCACATCGGGCCATGTGGTCCTCGTCTTTTTTGTGCTTCGCGTTCTCACATTGCCAGCACAAAAGTTGTCTGAGCCTCTATTCCCTCCTTCCATCTCGTTTGTGCGACACCAACGCGACGATGAGCTCAAGCAAAGTGCTCACCCCACGTCCCCCATTGAACCGCGCGCGAAAGGAAGCACAAGCAGCTCGTCGTCGACAAATTCGCGCCGTGATACTTGTCATCCTCGCAGCTTGCGGCCTATACATGTTGTCCCAGTCGCAGTTGGCGGTGGCGACAAGCACGTCGCTTGTTGGAGCGTGTCGGAGTCTCTCGGGAGGAACGTTTACATCTGTACGTATTCCCTCATGCGTCTCTGTCCTCAATTTGACTGTGATTCTATATTCATCGCTAGATCTTAGACCCCAAGCAATCGCCTCATTCATGGGACCTTCCAAACAATCTCACCATTTCAACCTGCCAGCCGTGGACAAACCAGCGGGCAGTCTATCGAAACCCAGAGGAGAACGAGGAGAGTAATGCAGGCCCGTTGACCGCCTTTGCCGCAGAAACGCGCATTTTTATTCCCCAACGAGCGTTGAATGACAGCATCGTCCTCCTTCGCCGAACCCGTGGGCCAACTTCAAAGACCGTTCAGGAGACGGGGAAGGTAGCCTACATGCAGGCGCCTCCAGAGACAGACTCAGATTCCGAAATCGAGACAATTTTTGACCAAGACGATGTCCCGGTTCATGTTGGCGTCTACCATTCAGACCCCCAGGTCCTTGACGGACTGCGCGTTTGCACACTGGCGAAGGAAGACGAGCCGGAATCTATAGTCGGTTTCGGGGTATTCGTGAGTTCTGAAGTCGTTGATATCCATATCAGCTAACAACAATCTTAGCGGGACACGACCTACGACCGGAATCAATGCCTCGCATTGCTGGACGTATTACGCGTCCACAAACCAGAAGTGACCCGATGGATGCACGTTGTCAACCAATTGGTGTTTCCTCGCCCAGATGGGGACGACTCAGATCCCCTGGTTGTAAATGGCCTATTGAGCGACTTCGGGGGCGAGTACGAGCAGGATTTTTCGCCCATTTGGGACAGTAGCGAAGCACGAATTGTCTTCAACTCGCTGGATGTGGATGGGAAGAAAGCCAGTGGGCCCGTTGTATAAGAAAAAAACTGTGTACTGTGTATAGCATTGGACTCATGGGAGCCCTCTATAAAGATCATTGCCAGGTGGTCGTCGACCTTTATTTGTCGTCGTTGAGCTTGCAAGTTGCCACAGAACGAATGACGTAAACACTGTGACGTGACGATGCTGTCAATCAAACAGTCAACATTCTGTCATCTCAATTCACCTCCAGAAAACCAGTGCCTTGAACTGGCACAAGAATGCAAATCCGGATCAGAATTACTTGCTCCTACTTCGCGCGTGTGCGGCTATCGAAGTATATCCGAGACCCTCCTAATGGCCAACTTGAATGCGCTCCACCACTCTCATACAGTACATCCTGTTCTCGTAAGGACATAGGACATCCCTATCGCTTGCCCTAACCATGTTGGCTGGGATGCTCTCAGCAGCAGATTCGATTGGCCCGTGGGTACGTGGCCGCCCCCGCGACCTGCTGCATACTGAGCCTGGGTCTAGCTCGTTTGCACCGGTCTTGACTTGTTCTTCTTGGGTGTAATATCTACCCAGGTATACGCTTTATGTCGTGTCATCCACATAGCTTATACTCAATCCTAGATTGTCCGCTACTTCGACAACTTTGGCAAAAGTGACCCTCGCTGGCTTCTGTCCTACGTCGCTGGGCTCGCCTCGATAACATGCGTTAAATCATGTTTTAATTTGTGTGTTTGCCTGTACATTTCCTCCTCGACAGCTTATGTTCTTTTATAGCGCGTTGATCTGGCGCAAAATTGTCGTGCAGTTAGTTTTATGGGATGGCGTTCCAACTGTGGTGCCGCCAGACCTCGTGCTCGTCAAGCTGATAGGTATAAGTGCCATTCTGGTGCTTCGTCTTCGATATATTCTTCAACCTCTGTAACTTCCTTTCCACAGATCGTATCCACGGTCTGCTACGTTCAAGGCTACTATCTTTACCGACTGTACACAATGTCTGGCAGGAATCGCTATCTAGTCGCCCCCATTGCCCTTGTTCTCCTCTCGAGCTGGTGTTTAGCTATGTACACTGTGCGTGCCCTCAAACTCGCTTCGCTTGGCTCAACATATTTGTCTACTAGGACAGCCTGTACTTAACTGGTGGTCGATCTGTCCTGCGCAAAGTCTTCCGACTCTGTAAGCAAGTTGTATGCTCCATTATCACTCAGTTATTGACGGAATTTGAGATTACATTTACTTTGCAATGCTTGTCCGTATGTGCCTCCACAGCACAGCCGAAGCCCTTTCAACTAACCGGTTGTCTCATAGTCGGCGACGTAACCCTCACACTTTCAACCATCTTCTTCCTTCTGAGGCTCCGCCAAAACGCTCTTCCCAGCAGTGCCTGCCTTGTGAATAAACTCATAATGCTCATCTTCCAAAGCGCCCTTCCCGGAACGTCAGCGTGCGTGCGATTTGACCCCAAATAGCTAGCTCTACATACACTGAAGCTTGGCAGCATGGTTGTCAACTTTTCCGTCACCCTTGCATTTTTGGAGACCTCGCAGGTCCCACCCGCCAGCAGCATGATTCTCTCCAAATTATGGGCATTTTCCCTTATGTGGACACTCAATGCACGCTGTCAACACCGTGTCCAGCTCCAATCTGTGTGCGATACCGAAGGCGGTGCGCTAACGCCAACACTCTCCCGTGAAAACCGAATCTCCGCGTCGCTACAATTCAGAGCGCGGTCGGGTGCTCTGACTGAGTGCACGGTCCGTGGCTTAGGTTTCCTCCTCGTCGAGTTGCTCATATCTGCGTAGTGCCTGAAGAGCGAGTCGATCGCATAGCGGAGGATGCCACACTTCCACCTGACTGCGACCGTTTGCAGCACTGAAGATACTGTAAGATCAACTTGAAGACGCAGTTGTACGAAAAACCCTTGATATAATAATAGACGATTGACAAGTTGGCTGCGCTGCTCTCAACTGTGCTTGACTATCACCACTAAGTATGAGCTGCTAATGCTCTCCGGAGTCCTATGTGCCCCCGTCGCTAACGCTCACCTCGAATTCTCAGTCAAACCTCGGGCCATTAGCGGCAGTACTTATCTTCACCTTCCGGATAGCATCCAATACTTATGCGCCGTTGGCCATGATCGGTGGCCCGAAAGACTGCTATCTAAATCGGAGAGTCCATCCTTTGCTTCTATTCCGCAACTTGAGCCTCGTCGGGTTGACTGAAGATTACTTTTGAGGTTGAGACCGTTCATTCCGTAGCGAGCCTGAGCTACTGGTACATGATTATTGTATTTGTACTAGTATAGCCCTGTGCCACGGCGGACTTGCCTCAATTTGGCCCCACTGAATAGGATTGGAGTAGGTGGCGGACAGCCTGAGTAGCAATGCCTAGTCATCATGATTCATGGACCAGCTACGTAGTGCGGGAAGGTCAAATAAAGAGCAGGTTACTGATTTGACTTGCCAGTGCATGGTCCTCCATTACTCCAACTTGTCCAGCCTTCTATCATCCATGTTGGGTTCTACGACAGGCAGATTGGCAGCCGGACGTTTATCTCTCCGCTCTGTAGTGCGACGAATAAATCGCATTTGCGGCCAGTGGAGGATAACATACCAACAACACCCTCTGCTTCCACCGCGGCCTCCACCTCTGCGAGGTTCCTCCGTATGGCACGCTTTGACGGTGTGCAGCAGACCGGGATGAGGATGAGCAGCAGCACGAACAGCCCGCCAAGAACACCGCCGACGATGGCCGCCTTCAGAATCGTAGAGTGGCGATGGTGCGGCTCGGCGCCACTGCTGTGGATTCCGGTGGGTGAAGGCGAAGGATTTGCGCTTGTCGTGGCACTGGATGAGAGGACACTTCCCGGGACGTCGACCAGGACCGGCGGTCTCTTCACCGCACTACTACCCATGTCACCCCCGCTCAAGTTGTCGAGCAAGTAGTGGCGTCCAACTTGAGTGGTGGCTGCGTTCAAGCAGTCAATAGAGCAGTGGACTGCTGGAGCCATTGGGGAAGCGGGCCCGAGAATGGGAGAGCAACGCAAATGCTGGGAAGGCTAATTTTAGCCATCCACGTGGTAACAGCCGGAGTCAGATTCCAAACTTAAGTAAGTGACGGTAACTTTCGAAGAACACACTTATCTCCCATGCAACACCAACTAATCAAGCATGCAAGATGACTGCGTCTACCGCTCGCCGTTTTCTTTGCCATCGTTGGCAGGTTCCAGGACTGCGGAGAGTATGAATACCTTCAAGTTCTCTACGCCATGAACACCGCCCCACCCGGAAAGCGGTGACAAAAAGTATGCGGGGACGAAGGAAGCCCGGGAGGAAAAGATCCAAGTTTAAAGCTCATCTAGGAATCCGTTTCTTCTAGTCAGTGTCTTGTAACATTGAATGATAACACTCACCGTTCAAGCTATTTTGAATTGGCCCCTGCCTGCTTTATGTAGCTGGCTCTGCACCAGGAATGAGCAATACAGAATTCAGTACACTACACAACACAACACCGTAAGAACTACTCTCTTAAGACGGGACGGACGGTGAAAATTGCCCTCCCCTCCCTCTGCCTCTTCCTCCGCGGAACCCACCACGAGCACCAGCACCACCTCTGGCCCCACCTCTATACCCACCCCGCTCAATTAGCCCTCCGCCTCCTCCCCGCCCACGGAAAGGTGGTATAGCCGGTGTTCCCGTTGGTAATGCACCACCGCGACCTCGAGGATGCGTGTCCAAAGCCGAACCCTCTCCTCGAGGAATAAACGGCAGCGCATGCGCATTTGGTAGCGAAGCGTTTCCATGGCCATTGAGACTGACAATTCCTCGGCTAGGCAACGGGCCTCCTCGTCCACGGTTAGGATTGGTCATGATGGCGATTGGGGCTTGACTAACAACAAGTTAGTAGTCATTTTAGATTGCTTTGTGAGGCGTACTAGGCTTCAGTCGCTTGTCCGTCATCCCTGCGGGACAAGATTGGTGCCTGACGACTACTAGTAGCGATCTGCCCAAGACGGGTTTGGGGTCCTGCACCAGTCCAGCGGGATCGAGGAGCTGGTGGGGGTACTGGACCAGCTTTGGGTGCCGTGGACGTGACGAATTGGGGATTCGTCAAGTTGAGGCAGGTATTGAATTCAACAGAAGATCCACGGTATTGGGAGCACCTAAGAGAGAACAGCGTCAGCGTTGACAAATACAAAACGTGACCAAACATACCTATCGCCCATTGTCGTCCCACTCATGAAGGGCACATCCCAGACCACGTCCATCGTCTTTGCATTCAGGCCAATCACCACACCCTTCACACATAAGGGTACAGCACCAGAGTCCTGGACCATCGTTACTCTGTCTCCGAGCGCAAATTGTTGGGTCTGCAGTCGATAGACTGCATGTGCGGGCTTGAGGACAGCTTGTCGTGGGATGCCTTTGACGATTGCCTTCTTGATTGCTGAGGGCACCTTATTTGCGGAGATGCTGTCAGCAAGCTTCTCGATCTCCATAACTGTGTCTTTCCCCAGCTGGTCGCAGAAGAGCGAGACCGCCTCCATATCCCGTATGCCGGTTGCCTTTAGCCATGCTTTGGCTTCGCGGATGACACTGTCTGGGTCCGGGACCTGTAGAAGATCGGAAGCTTTGCCAATGGCTATAAGAGCCAAAGATCAGACTTGAATAACGCCTCTGTATAAGGAACCTGTAACTTACCGTCTCCACCAGCGTCAAGGGAGTAAAAGATCGCTGGAAACCTATTCTATATATTCATCAGTAAACGGGGGACAACCAGCCAAAACGATATACCTTGTAATCCCGGATGAGCTCAATCGCCTTCTCACTGAACTCCCAATGTTTCTGCTCCTTGCGTGTGTAGTCGATGACCTTGAGTGCTTTCGCGTCAAATTTGAGATTCAACCCAAGATTGGTTTTTTGTCCGTCTGCCGTTATAACGAGGAAGCTAGAGGTGATTTTCGAGAGTGCTCTCCCGGAAATACCGAGCATGTCCGCGACACGGAAAGAGGGGAAATACCGAACGGATTTGCGCGCCTCGACAATTGATTTAAATTGGTCGTTTTCGGCTTTCTCGGTCGGGAAGAATGCGAGTATAACTGAGAGTGTCGTTTCTGTCGTTGCAGAGACGGCCGCGGCGACGCCATATGCATGCTCGCCCAAGAAGAAAATCTTGCTTCCGTCCGGAAACTCTTCCGACAATGGCGGGGCCGCGCGCTCGAGAAATCGGGGGTCTTCGGATGCGACTTCTGAAATGGTCATCTGGACTGCGTGCTCCTGCTCCTTGTCCGCGTCTTCATAGTCTTTGACGAGAGCCCCAGATTCAAGACGTTTCATGCCTAAAAAGTGAGATCGGGAAGGTGAAGGAATGAAAGAACACAAACCTTTCAGTGGACGGACATGTAGCAAGACATCTATCATGCCGGTAATAACACCGCTCCGTTTCGAATACGTTGTCTCGATCCGCTCGGCCTTCATCTTCCAATAACCTAGTCCATGTGGTGTATGCGGGTTCGATATGACCCGCTGGGGCCCTCCAGAGATCAGCGACATCTTATCGTATTTGAAGTGCGAGTCTGAAACTGCAACAACCATTCCCTCCCGCAAGAATGGCCACCCAGTGAAAGTCCGCTTGCCGATCATTTCTTTGGCTATGTCCTCCGTCTTGCGCGCTTCGTGTGGGTTCTGGATATTCACCACGATTGACTTGTTTTTGCTCTCTGTCCCGTGAACGTTTACTCCGTGGACACCCAACACGGCAGTATGAGGAAGAGTGTTGAGGGAAGGGAAACCGGCAAGCGCAGCCTTGCCCATGAGAACACCATCAACGAGCCCCATAACCGGATGTAACCCGTCAAGAGTGGGGAGATCGAATGGTTCCATGACGCATGTGCAGTTATTGATCGGGGGGAAGAAACCCTCCAAAGAGGATGGGTAGAGTGTCGGCTCGCCGTGGCTGTAGCTAAACTTCGTGCTTGTCCCAAATGAATTGCGGCTTTTCTCCTCCGCTGTAAGTATTTCCTCTCGGGCTGTGGATTGAGCATTAGAAAGAGACTACAGTTTCAAGATGGCTTACGCTGCATTGCTTCTAGCAATCTTTTCTCGTCAATAAAGGGAATCTTGACAACCGCCTCCCATTCCGCCTTCTTCCCATTGAGGTCCTGCTCAAATTCGAGAGGATAGAAGTCGCGAATAGGCGAGTCAACGTGAAACATCAAGTTCTGAGTAACAACACCTCAGGTAAACTCATTAGGACCAACATCGAAACGGACCTGATATGCGAGGGGGATATGGTCTTTACTGGCCACAGGAAGCACCCCCATGAGTTGTTCAAAAGGCCGGAATGGTCGTCCCAGCTCGAATTTAAATACCATCTTGTCGATCCCGCGCAAGTCTGTAACAAGGTTTAGTCCACAAGGGTAAGAAGACTCGATGTCTTACCAGAGATACGTGGCGCATAATGATAGTTATAGAACCATCCCCAGGATGCGACACCACTGAAGTAGTAAAGCATAACCCATTGTAGCCCCTCGACATAGCGATAGACCAGATCGCCCATTTCTTCAGGGTCATCATACGAGATTTCCAGTTTGCCCTGTAGGAAGCTGGTAAGCAAGGATCAGAATACCAGGTCGACACACCTTGTAGTAATTTCGCTTCCACTCGTCCATCTTTTCATTGACGGAGCGGGCATGCCTCGCGTCAAATCCGCCATCTGTATCGTCGTCCGCGACTGGTGCTTTCTCATATTTCTTCAGCACACGCTCCACTGCCGCTTCCGCCTCTGAATCATCCTCTGAGTCCGTGCCTTCCCACTCCCCTTCATCTTCATCTTCATCATTATCCTTGTCATGACCACCGTTAGGCTGGTCCTCTTCGCTTGCATGTCCTGGAAAGCGCCATGTCACCAAACTCCTGTCCTCCTCGTCAAACTCATCCCATCTCAGTCCTAGATGGAGGTCCTCCGCTAGTTTGAGGATGAACACCCTATCTCTCGCTGGGAACTCGTTCCGCATCGACAGTATCGCAGTCCCTCGTTTGCCTCTGCTCTCCTCCACGAATGTCTTCACTTTGTCGAATATCTCCCGCTGCGACCTTGTGACGACTGCGAAAAGGACGTCGTTGCTGGCCAGCAAATGTAAGGCCCGATCACATACCAAGTTTATTCCGCGCTCGCGCCAGCTCCATCTCTTTAACAACCTTCGCCTGCTTCCCCTTGTACCAATTTAGATCCGCATATTCTTTCTCAAAAACCTCCAGCTCCCAATCCCCCATTTCGTCCAGCACGACTTGTAGTCGCTTTGTATTGATGACTCCGCTCTCGTTGATGTATCCATCCATTCCAGGAAGAACCTTTCGATAGACATCCCACAGACGCTGTAATCCATTCTCATGAATGTGCAAGTCCGGCAGATGAGGGAGGAAGTCATTCCCCACGAAGACCGCCAAGAGAATGAAGTCGTCGATGATGCGCTCGAGGTTGTATTCGAATCCGAGTACCGGTGCAATTTCTCGGAATTCGAGGTCCAGGTACTCTCGCATCAGAGAAAGATGGAGAAGATAGAAGTTGGTCGCGTCTAGTGATGCGTTGCCCCGTTTGCTGTTGCGAGAAGGCCCGAACTTGACCTCCTCACGGAGGAGACAGAAGTGGGGGTCATGGCTGAGAAGGGACAGCATGATGAGATCCGCGTCGAGACCGTAAAGACAGTGTCGGACGTTGGGATTGTAGTTGGGTTGCGCTCGAGCATGACGGATATATTCCATGATCTTATGTTCTCCTTCTCCAGGTACCTCGTGTCCGGATAGCACGACCTCAACATCGCGCCAATTTGAGTCCTCCGTAATCTTCTTGTTGACGAAGTATCGCAGCTGTTCGGACAATCTGGCCATGAACGGTGTTCCTGGCGTGATGCAGTTGCTGTCGAATGCCTTCTCTACTGGCAGGACCTCTCCCTTCGCCTCGGCCTTCTCCCGAAGTTCCCTGGCCTCTTTCGCTGTGCGGAATCGCCGACCCCGTTGTTGATTCATCTTGGCTCGCGGAGCAACCCCGTCAACGGCCATGAAGAACAGCTTCTTGGGTTTGATTTTCCCGAAGAGCAGGTCCACGTAAGAGAATATAGAGGTGAATATTTGCTCTTCTGACAGTCGGAAATGGGCGTCCCCGTCGTTAGGATGTGAGCCTGCCACAATCGTCAGCTCCGGGGAGAGAAGGTATGCCACTGTAGCGCACAGTTATGTATGATGCCATTGAAGTCCAAGTAGAGGTTGTCTGCGATGTGCACAAGTCAGCCAACGCCTGTTGGGAGTGCCAACCACAGCCCACCAAACTCTGGAATCTTGTTTTCCTGGATCAGCTGAGAAGTCAGCGGGTAGCGCTCTCTGCGAAGAGTATTCAATTACAGTCAGCGAAGGTTGCAAGCATATGAGTGTGCCACGTACGAGATGTAGCGGAAAAACTAGCTCCCAAAAAGAGTCTGTCAGCAAAAGTGCATCAAACACGAGGTTTTACCTTGGGGATACCTGGGGGTCGTCAAGACCAGAATTCTGCATGCTGAGGAGGACTTACCCATCGTGGTATGGGGAGACGGGAAGGCGGGCTTGTGGTAGGAGCGCGTAAAGCGATTGGGGGTCTGTGACACGCGTCACCTTCCTTCGTCATTGCAGCTCACAAGTACAAGATTTACGCAGCATGACACTGTTGGAATCGAATGCATATTTCTCGATAAGGACGTGATTTCAGAACACTCTAGGTAAGTACCTCCCTGGGATTCAGCCGGAGGGAACACCATTTGGCTCACACTTTCAATCCCATCAAATCCCTCGAATTCAATCATCTATACGTCGAAAAGAGCAAGGTACAAGTATCTGACTCTCATAGTTTAAATCCACTCGCAGCCCCGCCTGCCGTCGCACTGACAACCAACCGACCAGTGTTTTTCTCTGTTATTTCACATCGCGAAACGCGGGTGCCGCGCCCGGCCTTGTCAACAAATAGAGTAGTCGCATAAACAGTTAGATTATCTCCTCTGAATCAAGCGTAAGTAACTATCTGAGACGACGGAAAGGAAAGGACGTGCACTACAGCGGGTGTATGCCAATGAAGGTTCATGTTGGTGGTCATACTTATGCCATCGAAATTGCGAACACGGCCGAGAAAGACGTTGGTACCCAGTGTCGCACTGGTGATACATTCAACTTGTTCGTGAAAACAAAGGCCCAAGGGAGAAGACTAACTGATCAATGAGAAAGGCCGCACAAGCGCCATGCATTGTCCCAAACGCGTTACACATCTCTGTTGTTCAAGTTCTTTGGTGTCGTGTTGTCATATGCATCTCCGCGTACCTTGGGTAACTTCGACTTCCCACCACCCACTCGTCCCTTGCCCGTCACCGTCTACGCGCATCTCGACCATCTTCACACGCTCGCCGATGCTCTTCGCGAATGCCTCCTCCATGACCCCGCCCTTGATGAAGAACGCGAAAATGGCCGCGATTATGTCCTTATCCGTCTGCGGAACATCCCCTCGGATGTGCGTAGCCCATGGCACTGGTGGGATTTCCAATAACTTGGCCAAACGAGCGGTATTGTCCGTATTACGGTCACGTTCCACAGGCTTGGGCTTTGAGGAGCTGGAGGACATGGAGGAAAGGAGGAAACTTATGTGTGATGGCGCTCAAGTTGGGCCTAGCGGTTGGCCGCGGAGATCTTTGGTTGATTACTTATCACTGTGACACCGACTAGCAGCTACTGCAATTCTGGGTCCGAGTAGGGTTGTGTGAACCATGCTAACTGACACTATTTGCTACCAATATTGGCAAAGGACCGGACCCTCAGCCGTAAGGGATTTGAAATTTGTTTAAGTAATGCTGCCCAATTAAATATACATTTTAAATGATATATTTAATCTATCTGAACCTAAGCCCAACATAACAAGCTCATATGGTCCCACCGAGCAACCTCACACTGTCAGCGAAAGTAAGCTGTACCCTCTTACAAGTACATCAGCCCCTACCTTAGCTTACATAAATTATAAGGTTCAGGGACCCCCAAAAATTTTCAAAAAACCTATATACATACCTTACATAATATTTTAATATAAGTACCATTGTGTTTGGCCAAAATTTTGGACCCATGGAACATAAATTAAGTGTACCTCTGTCTCTACCTGGCAATATTAAGTAGACCCAGCCTGTGTTGCTGCCTGATCCAAAGCTGCTGCTGCACTTTGGGAGAGAGACACCTCTGTGCTGTAACTGCTGTTTCTGCGATCTCAGATGTGGGAGAGTCACTGTCTTGAACTTGAGCAGGCCTGTGTCTAATATCCTGTAGCTTACTTTTGAGTTTCTTCTTTAGAGGCATGAGAGGAGGAAGAGAGAGCTTGTCTGCACTGCTCAAACATGTGGCAGCCTCATGTTTTCCAGCAGGTACTCACAATATGTTAAGAAGTGTTACTTATGTGACCCAGATATTGATGGCCCTATTGTGGGCCAGTGTGATATTGAATTTCCTCAATTTTTGCAAATTTAGACTCTACTAATTGAGATGATTCCAATGGTACCCTGTTTGATCTAAATCTATAGGATTTAAGTGCTTGTGGCCAAGATTTGATTGGCTCAATGAAAGATCATGTCACTGTGACCCAACAGCATGATGAAATTGGCTGAAAATTTGTGGGTGGGTTCCCACAAATTTTTCATAATATTTCTATCACTTATATTCTTTCTGCTGGCTTTACTTGTCCCCAACTGTAGCAGAGGAGGATCCTGTCAGACTGCGGGTCGGGCCGTACAAGGACTTCTCCTAAGAACGTGCGCCCGGAGCAGAACAGACGGATCGTCGGGCCTGCGGGTACGGCGAGCGGGGTAGATTGAAACCGAAAGGGCCTGTTAACTTGGTCCCTTGTCGCTGTCGGTGGTTGAAGGTTTGAATCGGGTCGTGTTGGGCCCGATGAGTCGTTGGCACCTCCTTGCACGGAGACAGGTAGTTCTTCAGACAATCTAAGTGATAGAGTACATGGTATGCTATCACACATTATATGCACGGGCCCACAAAGGGGTGATTGGACACCCTGGCCTCTCCTGCTCCTCCTCGCCCCCGTTCCTGGCCGCAGAGGGGACGATCATACATCCCCTTGTGGGCCAGGCGCTACTCCTAACCTCCTAGCACTCCTCCCAGTCCCCTGGTGTCGAGTTGGGCTCGGCAACGGCTCGACACGTTGTTCTCGGTCACGTGCTTCCCACGTGTGCATTCCTCCTACTGGGGTGCATGTTCCCCATCGTCACATGCTGCGTGTTGCAGGCCCGCGGTGGCCCGACACCAGCACCGGAGTGGACGGGCCGGGTCTTATCTGTGACAGATCCAAAGAGTGTTAGGGGAACCCCGCTTCGGCCTCCTTCAGACCTTCTGAGCGCATCCAAGGTGCATTTGACCCAGGCCCCCTCAGACACTCCAACCCACCCTGACCCTTGTCCTCGGCCTCCTTTGCCCGCACAATCACTGATCCGTCAAAACCCTCCCAACGATCACCTTGGGACAGAGCCTGCGCCACTGCTCAGGCCTTCTGTGCTCTACGTTGGTAGCTACGGATGACCAGTATATAGTTGGCACCCTAGCAGGTGGACGAGTTTCTTCTCTTTGGATCCTCCCCCTGCTAGGCTTTTGTCACAGTCTCCAGGGTTGCCCTTATAAGGAGAATAAACTCTAAGGGTCCACCTGCTAGGTAGCTGACTATATTCTGCTTGTCTGTCGCTGACACAGAAGGCCTGGGCAGTATTGTCATGGATAAGACCAGCCCCTCCTCTCCAGCGCTAGTGCTGGGCCACTGAGGGCCGGCAACATGTAGCACATGACAATGGCCCATGGGGAATAGGCACCTCAGAAGGGGGCAACACAGATGTTGATGGGATGGCAAAATGAGCATACTGTGAAATTTTCAATTATAATATTTTCATGGTATTCCTGGTTAATACACAGGACACCCAAGATAACTAGAGAACAATACTATGTTGACATCTCAGAGGGCTGAAATTATGTCCAAAACTGTCAGTCAATCCAAATACTAAGTAATGGATTAAACAAGGATATGAAGGAATGATTAAATCTTAAATATACCAATGTCCAAGCATTCAGATGCTTTATCACTAGGAGAATAAGAATAAGAATAGAGCTGTGGTTTACCATAGTAATAACCTGTGGCATAGCAATGCTATGTGTTTGCTAGGCAACAGTGGAGCTGTTGTGCTATTTTTTTTTGGAGGAGCATTGTATAGTTGCAGGATGGCCGCCATGGTGGTACATCCTGGGCCCGCTAATTGTTCCAGGGGAAATTGGTGTAAACCCCAGAGAGCTTTCACAGCCTTGGAATACAGGTTTTATTGTCAAACCCTGGGTTTAAGAAACCTTTTTCTTTGCCTTTTAAACCTTTTATTTTGGCCCTGGTTGATAAGATAAGACAACTAAGCAGTGCTTTCCTGTATTGTTGCTAGGATATTTGTTGTGACTGTACAGCCTTTTGCACTGGAAATTAGTATATATAGAGGCTTGTAGCTAGAGGAAAGGCAACCAATGAAGTGAAACCCAATTTGATTGGCTACTGGAACAGAAATCTGTTTGTCAGAACTGGCTAGACTTGCAGATGTACAAACCAACCTTTCTTCTGAGAAATTTACAACTGTTTAATTGTTTGATTTTTTTTTTCATCTATTGGATTTACTGAATCTCTTGATCTAATATTTTGATCTCGTTTGTTTGACTTGAGTACATTTGAGTTTGAAAGTGCAATAGTGTTTCCTACATTTTCTGTGTTGAATCACCCTGAACTTGCATGGTATTCAGTCTAGGATGTTGAGTTATGAGGAGGTTAGAGTAGAGTTTTAGTTTCAAAGCTAAAGTTCTGTTTTAAGTTTTTCATAGTTTGAGTCATAGTCAGTGTCTTCAATGTGGGAAGCACGTGACTGAGAATGATACACCACCAACCTGTGGTGATATTTAGTGGATGTCGAGGCAAAATGTCACACAACATCATACCATAATGTCGGACGTGAGTCGGCATGATATCTGAACAGAATCCAAATATTGGATCTGTGTGATGTCGTGCCGACAGAGGATGTTGAGAGGACATCAAGACTGTGATTGGTAGCTGATAGTACCCAGTACCATTTCACAAATTGAATATTTTTTTTCTTATTTTTTCCCTGTTTTTATAGCGGCTTGAAAGAAATGACCACGTGTTTTTGCATTATGCAGTACGAACGACAAGTACCATATATTCTACGCTTCACTGGATGCCGAGGAGCTTGCAGCATCGTCAATATCATCTTGCTGCTGGTCCTCATGTGCACTATCCTCAACCCCCGTGTCTACATCACCACCACCTGACCCACCATCCTCCTCATCGTCGGTGTCGTCCCGTTGCCCAACCTTGCGCTTGAAAGCCCGGCTCTGCGTTGTCGGATCCCCGCGTTTTACTTTTTTGGCTGCTGAATTGAGGTTTTGGACCCAGGGCTTAGACGTCGCGCCCACGCCATCGCCGAAAGGATAACTGTCGGACTTGGAACCGGGTTTGGTGGGGTATTTCTGTTTGTTGAGCGTGTAACCGTATTGAAACGACCTGAACTCCATCAACAAACTTGAGACTTGAAGGTGGAACACCGTTTAAGCAATTAAACTTACCGTACATATTCCTCTGGTGTCGCATCATACAGCTCCTCGAGGTCGTCGTCAACCGTAGACCAGAACTTGTACGGTGGGTGCTTATTCTCCACATGCATACGCTGAATTTCATCAGGTGATGCGAATGAATCAAAGACAACACATACGATAAATGCGACACGGTGGTGGAGCTCGAGTGTGTGTTTAAGCTCTGGGCCGAATGCACGGATAAGCTCATCGGCGAGCTGAGCGATGGGGGTTTTCTTCATGATGGAGACGAGAATCTCCGGACAACGACATCAGGATATGAAAGCAATTGATTCAAAGAGGAGACACACCTTGGACTTCAATGCATTCTTCGCGAGAGTTGCCTGGCGATCACAGGCAGCGACGAAGGCGTCATATGCATCATTCTGATCAGTGGGAAAGCCGTATCGGTTCTTCAGGAGAATTGCCCCCTGTGTATAGAATATCAGTGAGAATCAACGAGCTGACGAACGCGCACACACCGCAATGGTTTTGCCAAGACTGGCATGGAAGAAGTGGAGATCGGGGAGCATGACAAGCATTTGCGCATATATCCGCATCGTAGTCTGAGCTCGTTATTAGTTTGTGTTGCGAACAGCCGTGAGTTTTCGTACATTCTGCGCGGTTGTGGGCTTCCAGTTTTCGGCGGTCTTGATGGCCGTAGTTTTCAAGTCTTCTTGGGCCTTGGTATCGCGTATAAACCACAGGATTTCGCGTTCCTCCGGATGCAACGTCTATGAAAGAGAAAAATGAACGATTTGCGAGAAGCGCAGCAGCAACACACCTCAAGGAACTCGCGAACAACTGGGAGCGACTCCTCGGAGAGCTTGACCTTCTTGAGCGCCCGTTCACCAAATGCCACGCGTTGGGCAATGGTCAGAGGCGTCAAGGCTGCCGGTGGCACCAGCGGGGGGAGACGTTGAGTTTCGGGCACCTGGGACAGTGGCAGGAATGGCGATGGCGTCAACAGAGTGGAAGAAGAGGCTGCCAATCGTCCACCGCTGTTATATGGTGTCAGAGGCGACGACGGTGAGAGGGTTTGGTCGTTTTGGGATGCGTTGGCACGCCGCTGCATCTCGAGAAGGGAGACCATGGTGATATTTGGTGAAGGTTGAGTGCAAGTCTGAGAAGGGAGCGTCACATTTGCGTCGCATTGTCCTCTCTCACAATCACCCCTTCTTCGTCACATCTTCTTCCAGCACCCACTCTCCGCCACCCAGACCACCGTTGCTCCACATCTGCGCAGGCGCTACAATGCCGAAGGCACCTTGGAAGGCGCCAGATGGTATGTTAGTCAACTTTGGGAGGACATAACATTGAAATCATTACCAGATATATTCGAGGAATCTTCAGATGGGCTGCGGGTCCGCTGCAAAATATGCCATGCAGAAGGGAAGGGGCGGGTTGGTGGCTGGATCAAGTACACAAGCGGCAAGCAACACTTGACCGTTGGCGCCCATGTGCAGGCAGCTACCAATTATCGGGACCGAGCGCGCGAAGAAGAAGCTGAAGCGCAGCGATTCAACGCGCCCGTACATCGCCACTGCATTCACTGCATATGAGCCCCGGACCCACAGTGTTTCGGCGGTGCGCAACGAGGATCTTGCCATGTTCCCATCTCCAAGCGGCGACTTGCACGACGCAATGCAAATCGATGATTCGGAGCCCGCGTTTGAGCTGCAGCGGCTCATGGAGGTTCGGGCCGATGACGTGGCAGCCGAGGCAGCGGCGCAGGCAGAGGAAGAGGCTCTGGCGGGTGAGGACTCGATTCGGGAGGGCTATCGACGCCTGTTGACCGCCGCGATTGCGCGGGGGGAGCTCGGGATGGAGGAAGAGGAAGAGGGAGATTTGACAGATTCCGATCACGAAGCCTCGGATGATGACCCGCTCGAGAGCGAGGATTCGACTGTCGATCCTGACGAGGGCAATAACAACTGCTTTCCCTATCCGAACAAGACAGTGAGAGGCTTTCATTTGTGAGTTTGGCAGAGGAATCTAAATCAACTCACAGATAATGCTGCTGGATGTTATGGACAATCTCGCGTGATGCCGTTTCAGCAACACTCAAATGAGTGTAATACTCCGCTTTGCTCAGTGTCTCGGTATGCCGAATGTACCAAGCCTCAAGCGTCTTCGAACAGTCCAACGCTCCTTCCAGAATACCATCGCTTCTGAGCCACAAAAGATCCGCACGTCTCTCGGAAATATCTTCTATATCAACGACATTCGCGCGACAATTGCGAGGGATTTTGCAAACCCTGTCGTCGCCCAGCACATTCACCTCTTTCCCGAGGATGTCAGCAAAGGGAAGCCAATTTCCGAAACGTGGCAGGCAGAGCGCTGGAAGGAATATGAGCCAACTCAACTCACACCAATGTTTTCTCGCGGTCAACGGCGTTTCTGGGTCGATGAGCTGGCGCGGCGACATGACGGCTCATTTGTAATTCCACGCAGTCTCGTGGTCCGGAACGGAGTGCTCAGTACCGATGCCCAGACGGTGACACGTTCAGTCGACGGGTGCTGGCATTACAATGAAAATGCACATATTGAGAGTTTCCCTGTCGATGAACTCGACTGGGATTTCACGTTGGTGATCGAGATGCTGGCGGCAGAGGGAGATGGTGCTCTCCGTTGGTCATCGGCGTCCAGTCCAGCTCCGCCGATGCCCAATCCTCTCCGCGCCAAGGTTGCCGAAGATGAGGATCTGGTCGTTGTCATGGCCGATATCTTCCAGGACAACACTTCTGGCAACGTCTCGAAGCAGTGGGACAAGCACCTAGTGACTTGCGTTCGCAATGGAAATCTTCCGGGGCGACTGCTGCAACAGGAATTCAATGTCAAATTTGTATCGAGTTCCCAGCATGCATCGTGTGCCGAGCAGTTTGCTGCAATCCGGGATATTGTCAAAGCAACTGAAGACGATCCGATTCACTGCTACAATGTTCACATTCGGAAGAAGACAGTGGTTATTCTTCGCCCGCCAAGTCTCCCCGGCGACAACCCCCAACAGTCCGAAGAATCAAGCCACATTGGCTGCAACGGCAACTATCCGTGTCGTAAATGCAATTGGGGCGGGAGCACAATCGAGAAGACATCCGAGGACGTTTATCACTGTTGCCATTTGCCGTTGGATGTCAAACGTACAGCGGTGCAAACACGTCCAACGTCTTGAAAACCAGTTGGCGCTTGCTGTGCAGGGCGACTTAAAGTCCATCAAAGAGCAGCAGACCAGCACCGGCACCAAGGACAAGCTGACCCAGCTCTGGATTGATCGTACACTTGCAGAGGTGACAAGATGAACCCCCTCCTCAATATCACTGGCCTCGATCCATCCCAAGACACCCCCCGTTGAGGTGCTGCATACGGTGCTGCTTGGCGTTATGAAGTACATCTGGCACTTCATGAACACCAAACAGTGGTCCGAGTCCGACCGTTGCTTGCTTGCAATCCGATTGCAGTCGACAGACATTTCGGGCCTCACAATTCCGCCAATCCGCGCCGCCTACATCATCCAGTATCGCAACAGCTTGATTGGCAAGCATTTCAAGACGTTGATGCAGACACTTGCGTTTGCTGTACACGACATCTGCTCACCAGAGCAATTTGGTCTCATCAAAGCAGCGGGTGACCTCGGGGCGCGTCTCTGGATTCCAGAGATTGATGACATGGACATCTATCTCGCCGACCTGAAGATCGCCATCGCAAATCTGTTAGATGCATTTGATGCTGTCGATCCACTCCGAATCCTTGTCAAAATCAAATTGCATCTCCTGGCGCACCTTCCTGACAATATCCGCCGGTTTGGACCTGCGATCCGATTCGCCACAGAAATCTTCGAGTCCTGCAATGCCATCTTCAGAGCTTGCTCTGTCCGGAGAGCAACCGTCTCTCACCAAGTCGTGATATTGCCACAAAATTTGCATCAATCGAGCGTGTCCGGCATGTGTTATGTGGCGGGACATGGTATGATGCAAGACGAAATGTTTGGGTACATGCTGGCAATGCTGTTCTGCGTCTCCTCCATGATGACCCAGTGTTCCAACGTCATCTTGGCTGGGCTCCTCCGAAGCCTATCCAACCTGGGCAAACTCGTTTATCATCGGAGAAGAAGCAGCCACCGGTGATGTGGTCACAGACCAAGTCTTGCTTACACTGGCGCGTGAATCTCGGAGATGAGCCAGTCGCCAATAGCCAATGGCGGTTTGCACTCACCATTATTGCCAAGAACGGTGATGTTATCCGCTCGGGCAGCTGGGTCTATGCGTCAAATGCGTTCGGGAAGCCCATTCTCGGTCGTGTTGTGGAGATCCTTGTGGGGGCAATGACCGTTGTTGGCATCGAACAGTTTGTCTGCACTGAACAATTGCATGCCGATCTTGGTTGGCCAGTTATCAGGCGGCCACGGGGCGAGGACATCACCCGAGATGGCATTGAGTCATTTGTTGTACTTGCAGCGGATGCGCTGCAGTTTATGTGCTCTGTTCAGCATGACTGCCGACAAGGGAGATGCAAACCAGTGGTGTTGGGAAGAGAACGACAGGAACGCGAGGAAACGACTCGAGAGAAGCTGTTGGTTCGGCACACAGATGATGAATATTTTATTCTCAATTTGGCGGGCCTATACAACTTTATGGAGCTTCGCCGCATTTTTACCTGCACATTTTACTCACCTCAAGCCACTGCACGAAGATCGCTGGAGCTTTCACAACGAGACCGCTGCCAAAGCCAAGCAGCTTCGAATGACAAATCGCGATAAAGCCGCAGAGAAGCGACGAGCAAAAGCAGCTGAGAAAAAGAAGCAAGCTGAGCAGGCTGCCGCAGAGGCTGATGCTGAGGTAGAGGCAGCCGAGAAAGGGTCGGGTGAGGATATCTTCGACCTTGTGGACCCAGATGAGGTTCCCGAGCTGGTACCTGAGGGTGAAAGTGATGTTGAGGAAGAGGAAGTGCCGTTTGTTGATGACATGGAAGACAGAGACTATTCACCTGTTAAGCGGCAGCAGATACAAGGGACAGCTACAGCTCCCCGGAGGAGTGCTCGGGTACCTGTAGAACGGACACGTACTTATTAATTATGCAAATTTTGTGTACATATTGTCCCAATATCAGGAATGAACATCTGTACTACATTCTGCCTGACATCAGCTTGATCCCCTATTAACATCTACTGGATATTATACCTAGATATCCAGGGCAAGTTATGCCAACATCCAACAAACATCAAGACTAACATCTGTACAACATCAAGGACTGACATCAGTTCAATATTGTGTTGGGTTGGTGGTGTATGTCAGGTCCAATGCCAAGCCCAACTTGCAGCATAGGGGAATGGGGAGGAGTGCTAGAAGGCTAGGAGTACTGTAGCATTTTATTCAGTTCGCATGTCACATGTCACACTAGCTATAAAATTCGATTTTTTTTTGCATGTCATATCATTTTGCTCGAAAACCTCTCCCAAAAAGGCAATTTTTGACAGTTCCGGGCTGGCGCCAAGAACTTCCTAATTAGGAAATAATTCGTATTAGATGTCACACTACTTTTGGCATTCGAATTGAATAAAATTTGACAGTAGTGCCCAGACCGGAAGAGACATATAACCATCTCCTCTATGGCCAGAGACAGGGATGCAGGGTGTCGGAAAAAAAATTGGTGCCTTATAAGGCAATAGCCTTATATTCGCCTTATAAGGCCTTGTATGATCACCTTGCTGCCTTATAATTCCTTCTTGTTTAGTCTACATATATTATAGCATAGTCCTATACTCACTATGTCAGTTAACCAGTCTCCCTTCACGTTGTCGTTTGGTCGTCGTTGAGTGAGAACACTTCTGTGACACAATATTGATGTCACATTAGACTTAGATTTGGATCGTTTCAATGCCATGGCGAAACTACATATTTTTAGCTCTCAAAAACATATCGGGGTCTGTTACATCCATTATCATGTACTCTTCGACGCCTTTCCCCCTCTCAGTGTCAAAAGCAGGTGCCAATAAAGCACTACAGATGATTGAATGGATCGAAATAAACTCGGTTTCTCTTTGAGGCTTTGCCCGAATACGGTGTAGCCCAAGAAGTCGGTCCTTTTCTGGTTGATTGATGACGACAGCATCAAGTGGCTGAACCAATGCAAATGGGAAGGTTTTCTGTTTCAGTTCAATGGAAAAAATGTAGACCAACCGCATTATGACGACACTTGTTGTTGTTCCAACAAAGACAGCATCATATCGAGGGTGCCTATGGAAATTCGAAGAGCATCTCAGATAGTCGTCAGTTTCCATCCAGTCATCTAAAGATTGGAAATGAACTTGGATGAAATCATAAGGGAGAATCTAGCAGAACGGATTTCAGTGTGTGTTATCTGAATCAAATAACGAGGATTCAGAATACTGACATGATCTTCTGGGAAAAAACTGATAGGTGGTTCGTCTATTGTTGCATGGCCAAATGCACGCAGGAAGTTGTTTAAAAAGGAAGTGAACTTCGTCCGGAAGTGTTGAAAACCCATATCTTGATTGTGCTCCTGCTCAAGCATTGAGAACGAGAGCTTTTTCTGCTTTCCGCCTAGAAGACTATTTCCAACCAACTCGGAGTCGTCTGGCTCTGAAGCCTCGGGATCTTCTGTCGGTTTCCTAGGCTCGTTTAACGCGTCTAGGTCTTCGATTTGTTTACAAATATATGTGCCAACAGTGCTGCGGTGGACAAAACGAAGGATCTGGTCGGATATTGACACTGTTAGTATGATTATATTGTTTTGGGACCAAAAGATACACCTGTGGAGCCACATCCTTGCCGTTGGTCAAATTGTGGTAGGCGTCTCGAACAGGACCATGCATCGACTTATCGATCTTGGTCCCGAAATTTTTGGTTGCGCCTTTTCGGAGAATGTCGTCAAATGCATGCTTTTGAAGGTGTGCTTTTGGGAAGGTCCAGTTCTTCTCCATTTGTGTATCCTTGCACTTCTCTGAATATTTCTAACCGTAGTCAGGCAACATCAATTGGCTCATAATGACTTTCGAAGTTAAACTTACCTGGATAAGCTGACCGAAATGCTGGAGCTCTTTCCGACCATCTTCCACCGCGTTTGCAGTCTGGACCCCAAAGTCTAGGTATGTATCCACCACCAGATAGCTGTGAATGCATTGAAGAAGGAATATACCCAGGGGACCTGTGAGAATGTTGTGTGCGGCAAAGATAATACCCTTTCCGATGCTTGTTACCGTCGTTGAAGCTTACGGTCGAAACAGCGCTGAAGTGATTAAGGTTCTGCCAGCAGGGGAGTGCGTTGAATCTGCCATTTGAGATGAGTAATTGGTCGTAATTGTTGGACAGTCCGTACTGCTCGTCGAGCATAGCGGTTTTCCGAGCCCCCAGGAGTTCAACATGTCGTTTGAGCTGGTTGAACAGATGATCCCCCCCCAGGCCACTGTGAAGTCCAATCTTCCAGAAAACATTCTGCAATTGAGCTTAAGTCCGGAATACAGCTCGGAGACAGATTTAAGTGATGGTGAACTCTACCTCGACGTAACGAAGGCCAACAGCTTTTAGTTCTTCTTCTCGGCGCTCTATGGTTGGGTGGGAAGCAGCCTTACGATAGACTGCTTGAGAGTGTTCTGTTGTTTGCAATGGAGCCGTTAATTCGAGCTTGGAGAGGTCTTCTGCCTTGACCAAGCAGATGGGACAAGGATGCAAGGCCCGGACACCCCAAATGAAAGCCATGACAGCGCTGAGATTGGTGGTTGAGCATTTATGATACATTTATCGACGGAAACAACTCACGCTTCCTCGTAATCAGCTGCAAGTATCAGAATCATGGGAAAGAGCTTGCGCATCTTGCCATCCCCGCATCGAACCCAAACACCGATTTTGGAGTGCTTCGCCAAGTCCTCCAGTAGCTTATAGAAGGACTCGTGCCATACGGCGTTCTTGAAATTGGTATAGCCTGGTTTCCCGGACTCCTTGGCATCTTCCTCAACCTGGTTGGTAATTCAGCTGCTCGAATGGAAAGAAAACAGAAAAGGCAACTCACGACTGGAAGCCACCCCACAATCTGCCCGCCTCCCCAACCAGTACCATTCTGTATACCAACCGTAACATTTGCGAGTCGCACGATGATTGGATATCCTTTTTGGGTACCAAATGTCGAAAGTTTTGCCTTGTCCGCATATAGGATGAATGGTAATATCTTGTAGCTGGGGTCAGAGTCGATAGCGGACTGGATTATTTCATAAGTGAAGCCAACTCAGATAAAATCGGATAAATGGCCTACCTGTGCATCCCAGTATGCTGATCCAGTCCAAGGTTCGGTGTAAAATGGAATCCACGACGTCCCATCATAACGAAATCGTCGTTCCGCATCCCAGAAGAAATAAGGCGCCAGCCGAGGGTCTTGCACCAAGTCTAGGCTCCAGTCCCACAAGGGCCGAGCATGCATCTCGAACTTTTTCTGTTTGCCTTTGTAAGCCACTTCGATCTCGTACTCCACAAACTAAGCAGGGGTGAGCAACAGAATAAGGAATGATATAAGTGTTTACACACGCTTGTGCACAGTTTAGATGCTTCTTCCCAACACTTGTTCAGGTCATTGTAGTTCTTGACGGTAAATTGAGCAGGGCTTGCGGCGGCACGGTTGATAAGTGCTATCAAGGTATTGACTGCCTTCCTATTGAGCATGTTGGTGTTCGCAAAGTCCGCAAACTCGTAATTTAGTCGTGTCTCGAATGGTAGCCATGGCTGCAAAACTGGTGGTGGCCGGCTTGTCGCTCCCAATGCCTCAAGCTGGAGGTATGCGCTAAGCTCCATGGACTGTGGTGGTAAACCACTGTCAGGATGGAATTCCCGTTTGATATCGTCTTTCTGTGGTGGTGATTCAGACGTTTCGGGCAACGAAGTAGGTCGAGGTTCATCGAAAACTTGTGTAAAACCTGGAGAGCTGAGCCATGATTGATAGCACTATGATGTTCCTACCTATATCGTGCAGAGGAGGATCTTGTTCCGTGTCTGAATCATCGTGATTGGTTTCAAGATCTGTAATTTCATGTGAGCGAACAAAATTGAAACTGCAGTTAGAGACTGACCTTTTGGAGGCCTGGAGTGTACTGGAGGAGCTGAAAACCTTGTTAGTTTGCGTGGTACACGAGCTTCAACTGTAGAGAACATACGTTCTGCCCGAAGGGCTCGCAAAAACGCAGCTGTCTTTCGTTATTCTTCCGCTCTCTTGTTGCATCCTTTCAAGTGGCTGCCTAGACCTTGAAACCGTACAGATTGTTGGCAGAGCTGATAGATATGACGAAGGTGGTCAGCAGGATCCAACGGGCAGTCCTTTGCGGCCAACATGGAGTCGGGTCAACGGAGATGAAGGTATCACATGCGCATCAACGTAGATCACTTGCTTTCTTCTCTGCATCGACTATCTTGGATTCCATGCTGGCTACAAGACTGTTTGTGTCTTCCCTGGAACCTCTCGCACTCTACCAACACTTCCTGGCAAAAACATATCTGCTTCAAGATCATCGACTCGGACTATCTCAAGATCTGTCAATGAATCTTTGGTCCAGCCACGACCACTCATTGCTCTGCTTGCCGACATCTCAACACCAGTGGTGCTGTACTTCGACCATCCAGGTATACTTCTTAACCGTTTGGTCAGACCAATCCATCGCTGATTCAGACATTTAAAGCTCTTTAATTGCCAACTCTAAATCGGTACAATGAACTCTTTACACTTGGTTCCAGAGACTTGTAACAACAATAACTTAAGTTGTTTTAGATTCCCGTCTTGCTTTAGCCTCCTTATCCCCAAATCCCAAAATTTCAGCGGAGAAAGCAACGATATTAGTTATAATTAGACATGTGTAGGTCCAGGGAATCATTTTGATTGAATCATCAACACTTCATTTCCCTTTGTGCTTCAACCACCACCAACCGCTTGCTCATGCCCTCTAACCCCCGATTGGATCATCGATTCACCCAGCCAAAGCCAGGTGCAAAAGAGGATGACTATTGACGTGTAGGTCAACAGTTATTGCGCGTTGAAAAACTGATCTCAACGTTGACAATTTCAGACTATCGATACTCTTCAGCAACAGCTGGCGGCTCTCCAGGCCTCCTCTACTGGCCCTGGCTCCAGACGGACACCCTCAACATCCTCTACCAATGCGGCGTCAATATCTACTGGACAGGAAATAGAGACCAGCAGCTCCAATGACGACGACGGGAATATCGATGGATACAAAAAGGCGGCGATGGATCTTGGAAAAAAGCACACTATTCTTGTTTATCCTTTTCTCAAAACGCCAAACTTCACGGAACGTCCGGCTCATCCTCCATCGATCCAAGGGGCTGCGCAGGTTAAGGCCTTATATGCAAATCCTACATTACTCTCGCAACGGCGAACGGAAGAACTCTATCTGGCTATCCCCGAGAAACTCCACAAGCTGGTAAATGCGTCGGTATTCCCTGGCTTCGCAAAGGAGGCAAGTTTCGTTCACTGGTATCCAATTCATCTTGACATTATTCTAGTTTATCCATCATCAAAGCGCTGAAAGATCCAATGTCATCAATGGCTTGCGACAGTGCTTCCCTCGACTTCTAGAGCTTGCGGGCCTCCAGTCTATCGACTACAAAAAGCTTCTATACCATGACAACAAAGACACAACTCAACCGCCCAAAAGCGCCTTCCCACCGTTTTTGCATCGGAACCTGGGAAAACAGGAGACGGATCGTTACCTCAACTCATTGGGTCCATTTGTATGTTAGCCATTTATATCCTAGGCTCTTGGTTAATTTGTTTGCAGGTGCTTCGGTTCATGCTCTTTTCCAATGCCAGTTTGAAGGGTGATGGTCGAAGCGTCCCCTCGGCCAAGACTTTGGGAGTTAGATGGGGTTCCAAAGATCCAACAGTGGGCGGAATAGCATTTACAGCCATTACAGTCATTTTATTCTCTGCTCTCAAATCTTAGTTGACAAGAATCTAGGTCATTCATATCGTTTACACCGAAACCTCTAACACTACGAAAAATTTCGAGGAAATCGGACGGAAGAGCAAGATAAATCTGGGGGCTATATTCGACAAAATTGTCCGAAACTTGCTGATGAATTGGGACACCCCTTGGATGCAGAATCAAATTGTGCCGTTCTGGAGGGCCATTGCGTTTGCCAACCTGATGATACGGATGAGGACGAAAACTTCTACGTCATGATGCAAGAGATCACATTGGGCGAAGACAATATTGAGCCATCGTTACCACCAGTTACACCAGCCGAGTATTATAACCCTTCTCTTGGGTTGTGGTTGGACGACAGTCCCAAATTTGCAGGTACAAGCCAGGAGCCGGGTAAGCGTTCAGTATTCGCCATTGATCTATTACTCATTCATCACAGAGCCGTCGAATATTGGTGTTGCAGTGGACCCGTCGCCACCGTCTTCCAACCCAGCTCGACAAAACATGCCTACCCAATCCCAGCCAATACTGTCAGTCATGAGCGCCTTAACGGAACCTCCAGAGAGCGATGTCAGTGATGGAGGAGAAGCGGAAGCTCTTGCCATCCCTCCTCCAAGTCAAACCCAGAAAAACAGAGATCGGGGAGGTCGGGGAGGTCGAGGAGGTCGGGGAGGTCAAAACCGTGGTGGTAAGCAACGGGGTTGTGGCAAGGGTACCGCCGGGACCAGTAGAAAAGGGAAGGAACGAGAAGTCAACGAGGTCTTTGATGCCGAGCTTGAGGCGGAGAGTGACCCACCTGTTCCCGTTCCACGGGCCCGACCTGCTCCTCGACGTCTTGTGGTCATGGACGAGGGTTCGGATTAATGGTTGAAATGATGGAGCTCTAATTTCTCAGTAGAATCAATACACGTGTGCATCTGACTTACTTTGTTGAATTTGAATAACAAGACTTGAACTGCGTTCATTGAACCAAAATTGGAAGTTTTGCAAGTGGCTTGGAGAGAGGCTATAGTGCATCTAAACCACATTGCTCGAGTACGATGGAGTAGCTCCATATGGCGGCAGTTCGGTGTAGCACGTAATATCCGCAATGTACACGATTTGGCACAAAAAGTAGACTATGACTGGTGTAGCACCAGATACCGGCATTTCGGTGTAGCACGTACTATCCGGGAGTCCACTGCACCAACTCTTGAGACTATCTTAGCTGGAGTGGCCACTCCAACCTCAACAGAGACAAAGAGCTGGGGGCTAACTTATGAGACGGCATCTGCAACAATGTGGCCACATTGTAGCAAATAGCATCCCAGAAAGTTAGCCAAGGCCACATGGGGGAAGCCCAAGGGCAAGGGAGCAGGCCGAAACAGCGAGACTTTATATACTCGCGTCGCAGGACACGTTGACCATCTTCTCAAAGCGCGCGTCCTTGTCAATGACAAAGCGCATGTGATCGATTTCAATCAAATCACTGCTTGTCAACAGACCACCACCACCACACGTCGATACTCTACGAGGGCGCTGCATGATGAGGTGGAAGTGTTGGGAAGGAGAAGACACGACGAATAGGACCGCAGGGGGGCAGAACAGAGGACTGGATTCAGACTTGGCGAGAGCAAGTTCGGGGTCAGATGTTGATCAGTGCCTGCGAGCCAGGCGGAAGTAGTTGTCTTTCGCTGCTTAGCACTCTCTCCTGCTCTTTCTAACTTTGCAACCAGGCCCATCGACAGTCGTTGGTTCAACTTGGCAACGACCATTGACAACTCATGCGCTTATATCGTGCAATTTAAAGACGAGACCTCTCGCGTCATTCAGAACTCGGAGCCTGCACAGCACCCTCTGTTGTCGCTTTTGTCAAGCATGGCGAGTGACTGGTTGGTCTCTCCGCGAAGCACCAAGCCCTTTAATTGTCATGTCAATGCGACGAACACCGTCTTTGATTCAAGCATCTTATTGGGAGGCAGTTCAAGGAGAAGGAGGTGTCGGTGACCCGAATTAAAACACTGGTGTGTGTTCGTCAATCTGTTTTTTTTCGTTATTATAGTGACTCTGAATCGGTTTGTAGGTGATTTACCGTCGTCAGCAAGGGTGACGGCAGGCCGACCACGTCCTTGCCCAAAACGACGGCTACTCTCGACAAGAACACATCCCATCTTCATATTCCCCCAATCTATTAAACAAAACACGCGCTGTAATACAAATCGCATGCTCTTCGCCATCAACAAGCCACTCCGTTCCGTTGTGTGTCGCCCTCGTTGACCACCCTCGATTAAACCTGTATGGCATCTCGCCTGCCTCGCCCTCAGTCGTCTCCTGAGCCCAGAGCAGGCTTTGCTCCGTCACTCAAACGTCAAGTCGTTCCTGAGGACGACATTGATGCCTTTCAACGACACTCAACAACAAGCTACTAAGGATGCTGGAAAAATTGCTGAATGTCCTTCGTGTCATTAACGAACCTGGCCGCACGGGCAGTGGCGGCTCTCGCCTACAGACTGGACAAAGACAGTAACAGCCAAAATTGTCGCTGTCTACGATCTTGGTGATGGAACTTTCGATATCTCCATTCTCGAAATGCACAACAACGTCCCAAGTCCACCAATGCGACACCCATGTTGGTGGTGAAGACTTCGACATTCTCCTCGTTGACCACATCCTCAAGGAATTTAAATCTGAGCACGGTATCGATCTCACTGGCGATCAGATGGCCATCCAGCGTATCCGTGAAGCGGCAGAGAAGGCCAAGATTGCAACCGCTCAAATGTTTATCACCGCTGACGCAGCTGGTCCCAAGCATATCAACACGAAACTGCTCCGTTCGCAGTTTGAGGCCCTTACTTCTTCCCTCATCCAACGCACTGTCGCTCACCGCAAGAAGGCCATGTCCGATGCTGGCGTGAAGCCCAGCGATGTCCACGAGGTTATCCTTGTCGGTGGTATGACCTGTACGCCCCATGTCACGGAGACTGTCAAGAGCGTTTTCGGTCGCGAGCCTAGCAAGGGTGTTAGCCCTGACGAGGCTGTTGCTATTGGCGCTAGTATCTAAGGTGGTGTTTTGACCGGCAACGTCACGGATGTTCTGCTTTTGGATGTTGCGCCTCTTTCCCTCTGAATCAGTAAGTTACTCCATTTCTGTCTTTTGGAGTTAAACTGACAGGATGATCACAGATATCGAAACTCTCAGTGGTATCGTGGCCAAGCTTATCACTCACAACACGACCATCCCTATCAAAAAGTCGCACGTCTTCTCGACTGCCGCTGACGGTCAAACTGCTATCGAGGTCAAGATCTACCAGGGCGAGCGTGAACTTGCGGACAACAAGCTGCTTGGTAACTTTAACCTGGTTGGCATTCCTCCTGCTCCCAAAGGTGTTCCCCAAATCGAAATCACCTTTAACATTGATGCTGGTAGGTCTATCTCTCTTTTTTCGCCATCTAAATCAATTCACATGTTACTAGTATTGTCAATGTCTCTGCCAAATGACAAGTCTATGACCATTGCCTCTTCTTCAACTCTGAGCAAGGATGACGTCAACAAGATGAGCAATACGCTGAGTCGGACAAGGAACGCCGCACAATCTCATCGAAATGTCCAACCAGGCCTTTTCCTTCTGCGCCGACACGGAGAAGTCGATCGACGAGTTAAAGGACCAACTCGATACCGCCATCAAGACCAAGATGGACAAAACCCAGGTTGCCTCGCTCGGACTCTTCCGAACTCTTCTGAAAAGTCTACGAGAAGAACAACGCTGAGCATGCCGCGCCATTGGGAGCTCCCGCTGAGGAGAAGGACGACGACAAGAAGGAAGAGAAGAAGGAGTAAATGCTCGACGTGGTTCTATATTGCATGACGCATAACCTAGACACCAAAAGTACTTTGCTACATCTCACCCCTGTAGCCTTAAATACTTACCCCCCCACTCAACTACTTATAAATACAACTAGCAGTGAACATCATGTGTGAGCTGCCACTTGTATGAGAGCATTGACTGTTGCTTATCAATGAGTACACCACCCCCAGACAGCAATATAGTGCTATGCTCTCCTCTTCTAGAAATTAATATGTAGTCTAGATTGTCTTTTACCTTTCCTGTATTGTAGTACCCTTGGTTCGAATCCTTCTGTAAACACATCATAAGTCCTTAATTTACTCCTTCATTACTTCCTTACATGGTTTCGGTTCAGTATAACAAATAAAGATCACTACTGTAACAAATGACTACAAAAAGGAGCCCTTTCCTTTTGATTTTTTTTTGGCCCTTTGATAACTACAGGACACATTATATAGCCTTTTAATAAAGCTCAGTTTTAAAATGCCTTATAAGAATACACTTTCTTGCAAAGATTGGCTTATATTGTAAGTGGACGTCAAAGTATAAAATGCCATATAAAGTTGGCCTAATTTGGCAGGATCACCGCATCTTGGCAAGATCATGTCAATTTGCCAAAATGATGCGATCTTATGAAATATGAACGGCCTTTTAAGCCGGAATTGCCTTCCAGCCTTAAATTGCCTAATTTGGCATTTTCAGGCAAAGAAAAAAAATTCCGACATGGAGGAGCAGGAGAGGTTAAGGGTGTCTGATTACCCCTCAGCAGGCCACATATATAAGGCACAATAGCGTACCCTGTACTTCATCACTTAGATCATCTATTATACTGCTCTCTCTGTGCAAGGATATCACACCCTGTTGATTCCTACCACATACCTATCCTTTTTGATCCAATCGTCGCCCTGATGACATCCCCGCTTGTCACTGTTCCTGTCAAATGTCTATGTCCTGTTGCATAGCCTTACTCTGACAGTAGTGTGACAAGTGCCATGGTGAAACAGCTACTTACAGTCTAGTTTAGTCTGACACCTGTTGCACTAGTATGTGACATCACAGGTGCAGACGGTATATAAGTAGCCTGCTAGATCTCCTGTACCCTAGTCCTTTTATTCTCATTGATTACACCAAACACACCTACCTGTTTGGGAGTCTGTCACACTAGTAACAAACTCCTACCATCTTACGAATCCTCCCTTTACTTTGTTCTACGGAGCCATCACTTGATCACTCATTCAGTTGACCCATCATTTGATCAAGCTCTGTTTGTGACATAATAAAAGGACTACCTTCGTACCCTCGTACCAACAACTACCAACAACCACCAACTACCAACCACTACCCCTATCCCTTACCTCTACTCCGCCACCCTCATCATACCACCATGACTACCAAAGTCATTCTCGCCTCTACTCCCTCGTTCTTCGATGGCACTCCAGCCAAGTGGAACAACTTTTACGACACTCTCACTACCTATATCGGTGCTTACGACAGTGAACTGAATACTGAGAAGAAGCGGATCTTCTTTACAGTATCCTTTCTTCGAAAGGCAGATGGTTCAGACTGTGTAGCAGCTGATTGGGTCCGCAACTGGAAGAAGCGTACTCTGAATCCAGATGGTACTCTTCGCACCTCCTATACTTTTGCAGAACTCATCACTGAGCTAGAATCTGCCTTTGAGGATAAGAACCTCTCACAGATTGCTCATCTGAAATTAACAAGTAATCGCCAGGGGCGTATGTCACTTGTTGAATTCTTGCAACAGTTTGAAATTCATGCAGAACAGGCTGGTTACTCACCCCATGCAGAGGGTGGTAACTATGATGCCTTCCTGGTGGAACTTCTAGAGGACAATGTGAATGAAGATATCATCAGTCAGATGTATGTTGGAGGGGATGTCCTGCCTTCCACATACAAGCTCTTCAAGGAACGATTGCTACAGATTGATGGAAATCTGCAGCGAAGCAAGATTCGACGCAATCGACAAGTTACATCTCCAGTACACAAACCACGAGCAGTACATCATACTCCCCGTGGGTTTACTCCTACCCCAGTGGGCTTGACTCAGAAAACCTCTCAGTCAGTTCAAGACCAAGTGGTACCCATGGATGTGGACAAGCAAAGGCAAAAAGGAAAGCCTTTCACTTGTTATAATTGCGGCAAGATTGGACATTTGAGCAGAAACTGCAGTGAACCCCACAAGCAAGGATTCAATCTTCGAGCGCTTTGCGCTGAGATTGATGGCTTGGACACTGGCAGTGAAGTTCTGCAGACTCTCGCTACAAAGCTGAGAGAACGGGGTTTTTGAAGCGCTCAGTGCCAATGGCCAAGGTAGCTGAGCAGAAGTTTGGAAGATATACAATTCTTGAACAACTAACGGATACAGATCTTGTTGATAATACCGATTCATCTCCTAATTCCCCACCTAATACCATTTCAAATTCCATATCCATTCCAAACGCAAGGCCCATGGCAGACTTGCTGCCTCGACAACTAGAATGAAACCTCAAGAACAAAAGGGGAGCAAGAAGACTCCGATGGCTCAATCCTTGGATAAGGAGGAAGCGCCAATTCCAGTATATAAACGAACACGAATTCCATCCACCACACGCATTCGACAAGCTGCACTTAACCAGCACACTACGAAACCTGATAAGCTGTCACAAGATCTCAAGGAGTTCTACAAGCACAGGAACCGGCATGAATTCATGCTTCCTATCTCTTTGACTATGCTTGACACAGGCAAAGTCCGTTCTGTGAATGCATTGCTCGACTCTGGCTGCACTTCAACATGCATTGACAGAGATTATGCAGTTGCACAGAATTTTGAGATGAAGGAGCTGGATGTTCATATCCTGCCAAGAAATGCTGATGGAACTGTCAACTCCAGGGGGAGAATCACTCATTATGTTGAACTTCAGATGAAGATTGGCTCCCACCAGGAGAAGCAACGATTCTTGGTGACAGGTTTGGGGAAATCAAGAGTATTCATTGGATATGACTGGCTCTTGAAGCATAATCCCAAGGTTGATTGGCGAGCCCACAAATTAACATTCAGTGGCTGTCCAGCAGAATGCAACATGACTGGCACTGAATATGGAACTGGTTGCAATGATCCTCTAATGGAGGAAGGAGATTCAATTCTTCTGATTGACTTTGCACCTGCTATTGATATTCGAGCCAAGGAGACACAATCTCAACGGTTGGCTGAAGAAGCTCGCAAGGACCAACACTCAGCAGAGATTCCTGTGCAATACCGACATTACACAGATGTCTTTTCCAAGGAATCATTTGACTCTCTTCCTGAACGCCGACCATGGGATCATGCTATTGAGTTAAAGCCTGGAGCACAAGCTGTTGACTGCAAGATCTATCCTCTGTCTCACCTGGAACAACAGAAGCTAGATGAGTTCCTGGAGGAAAATTTGGTAACTGGCCGAATCCGACCATCAAAATCACCAATGGCATCATCATTCTTCTTTGTCAAGAAAAAGGATGGGACCCTCAGACCAGTACAGGATTACAGGAAACTGAATGAAATGACTATCAAAAATCGATATCCACTTCCTCTAATCTCTGAACTGGTGAACCAACTTCAGGGTGCCCATTACTTCACAAAGCTTGATATTCGCTGGGGATATAACAATGTGAGAATCCAGGAAGGTGACGAGTGGAAAGCTGCGTTTGAACAAACCGTGGCTTGTTTGAACCACTTGTTATGTTCTTTGGACTCACCAACTCTCCTGCAACATTTCAAACTATGATGAATGACATTCTTCGAGATCTTATCAATGCAGGACATGTTATTGTCTACCTGGACGATATACTTATCTTCACCGAAACTCTTGAAGAACACCGGAAGGTTGTGGCCCAGGTGCTTGAAACCTTGGCTAAGCATAAGCTCTATCTCAAACCAGAGAAATGCCAATTTGAACAAACTTCAATTGAGTATCTGGGAGTGATTATCTCACACAATTCAATGAAGATGGATCCAGTTAAAATTCAAGGAGTTCTTGATTGGCCTGAACCTCGTTCCGTCAAACAGGTTCAAGCTTTCCTTGGTTTTACAAACTTCTATCGCCGATTCATTCGAGGATATAGTGAGGTAGCCCGACCACTTACAAAATTGACTGGCAAGTCTGGCTGGTGCTGGGGTGCTGAGCGCCGAGATGCTTTCCAAGGTCTGAAGTCTCGGATAGCAGAAGACGCTGTCCTAGCCTTACCAGCAAATACCGGAAAGTTCCGATTGGAAGCTGATGCATCTGAAGGAGCAGTTGGTGCTGTGCTCAGCCAAAGACAGAATGACCAATGGCGTCCTATTGGATTCATGTCTCATAGTCTCAATCAGACAGAAAGGAACTATGAGATCTATGACAAGGAGATGCTTGCAATCATGTCTGCTCTTGAGGAGTATCGACCAATGCTCATGGGAGCTAATGAGACATTCGAAATTTTCACCGACCATCAAAATCTCGAATACTTCAAAAAACCTCAGAAGCTTAATCGAAGACAAGCCCGCTGGTTAACAGAGCTCTCAGAATATGACTTCACTCTCCATCACCGCCCTGGTGCACTCAACCGTAAAGCTGACTTGCTATCACGCAGAGCGGACCATGACCAGGGAAAAAATGATAATGAAGATGTCACACTTCTCAAGAAAGAACTGTTCAGAGCAACAGACCTCCAGATAGAGAGTGTAGATGTTCAGATTTTGGAGAAAATCAAATCTAGCAAGGTGATTGACACTTCGGTCAAGCTTGCACTCCAAAAATCATTACCCGGTTGGAGTCGTGAAGGTGATATCATTCTCTATCAAGGCAAAATCTATATACCCCGTGACGAGACACTGCGGGAAGAGATTATTCAGCAGCATCATGATGTGCCAATGGTTGGTCACCCAGGAGAATATAGAACTCAGGAATTGATTGAACACAATTTCTGGTGGCCACGCTTGGGCAATGATGTCAAGGCTTATGTCCGGACCTGTGAATCATGTCAACGAACTCGCTATCGACGACACACACATGGATTCCTGAATCCACATCATGTGCCTGAAGGACCTTGGCAAACCATCTCCATGGATATGATTGGTCCCCTTCCCACGAGCAATGGGTTCAATGCAATTCAAGTTTGGGTAGACCTATTTACCAAACGGATTCATGTTGAGCCAACAACGACCGAGCTCAATAGTGAAGGAGTTGCAAGACTTACTCGGGACAGAATTATTCGGTACCATGGAGTACCAAGGAAGATTATATCTGATCGAGATCCACGTTATCTGTCTGGGTTCATGACTGAACTGAACAAGCTACTTGGGACACAAATGAATCCAAGTACAGCCTACAGACCTCAGACAGATGGACAAACGGAACGCATGAATCAAGAGATCGAACATTACCTGCGTATTTATGTTAACTTCAACGAGTCAGATTGGTCTGATTGGCTTGCACTTGCAGAGTTTTCATATAATGACAAGGTTAATGCATCTACAAAGACCTCACCTTTCTATCTAGATCATGGATATCATCCATGGAAAGGAATAGAGACATATGTTGAATCTAGAAATGAATCTGCTCAAGAGCTTGCAGATAAGATGAAAGCCATAAGAGATGATGCCAGTATAGCCATGCGAAAGGCAAAGGAACGGATGAAAAAATATTATGACAAGAAACGAACTCCGGCTCCTAATTTCAAGACTGGACAGAAAGTATGGCTAGAAGCAAATGAAACTGTAGATCAAGGTCGCCCCTCTGCAAAGATGTCAGATAGACGACTTGGACCCTATGAAATCCTGAAGAAAGTGGGGACAGCTTCCTACCAATTAAAGGTACCAGGCCTCGACTATCGATACCCTGTGTACAATGAAGAACTGCTGTCTCCCTATCATGAACCACCACCTCATCGTCAAGAAGAACGCCCAGGACCTGTTACAGTTCAAGGAAAACCTGAATATGAGGTAGAGAAAATCCTTAAATCTCGAAAGAGAGGCAAGGGAGTTCAATACCTTGTGAAATGGAAAGGCTACCCTTATAGTGAAAATACCTGGGAACCTCGACGGAATCTTACCAACTCTCAGGAATATATTGATGAATTCCTGAATACTCGAACCTCAACTATTTCCCTCTCAACGGTGGATTTGATCTTTCCCTAATCTAGTCGATGAGGACATCGAACCTAGAGGGGGGGTAATATCACACCCTGTTGATTCCTACCACATACCTATCCTTTTTGATCCAATCGTCGCCCTGATGACATCCCCGCTTGTCACTGTTCCTGTCAAATGTCTATGTCCTGTTGCATAGCCTTACTCTGACAGTAGTGTGACAAGTGCCATGGTGAAACAGCTACTTACAGTCTAGTTTAGTCTGACACCTGTTGCACTAGTATGTGACGTCACAGGTGCAGACGGTATATAAGTAGCCTGCTAGATCTCCTGTACCCTAGTCCTTTTATTCTCATTGATTACACCAAACACACCTACCTGTTTGGGAGTCTGTCACACTAGTAACAAACTCCTACCATCTTACGAATCCTCCCTTTACTTTGTTCTACAGAGCCATCACTTGATCACTCATTCAGTTGACCCATCATTTGATCAAGCTCTGTTTGTGACAAAGGAGAAACCACTGGCTCATCAGGCCCAATGGCCCAATTTGATACTCGTACTGATACCAATAAGGGACTGCCGTAACAGGCCCTTTCAGCTTGACCTCGACCCCACTCGCTTAGCTTGCAGGCCTGATGATTTGTCTGTTCTGTTCTAGGCATATGTTTTCAGAAGAAGCCTTGCACGGCCTAACCCAAAGCCTGACAAGCATTGCAGGCCAGAGGGCAACCATTGGGAGGGCATTGATGAATCCATGATGGTGCAGGCAAGAAAGAGAGTCAGACTGAGAACATAGATGGACCAGAGATGTCTCAGGGGAGCCAAAAGGGGCTCCTCTAATAGTCTTATTGTAAAATAACTACTTTTAAAAAGTGGTTTATGATAAATCAATAAAACAAAACTGCTTTCTCATTTCAGAAACCATTTCTTTTTCAGTAAAAAAATTTTGTAAACAAAAACTAGTACTTTTTGAATTGACTTCTGAGTGCCAAATTCACAGTAAACTGTGGAGTAAGTAAGTATGATCAATAACTAGTGTGATTGAATAAGCATCTACATAGATGGGCTTTAATATGAGCATATTAATGTTTTCTGAAGCAGTCAAATATAATACTGTTTTCCTTCTTCTTTATGAAGACCTCTCAGGGGGCTATTTTCTGCTGAAACCCATAGGATAGTACTAGCCTAGTATAATATTTAATATTTAACAAGTACAGAGCAATCACTGTCAATCAGTGCCCTAAATTGACCCTCAAGATGATTCAGGTCAAAGGGCCCAGATCCTAATATCTAAAAAAAGAAAGAATAAAATTGAGAAGGGTTCCTACCAAAAAATGGGCCCTGAAGTAGGATTTATTTATAATAGATAGTATGTAAAAAAATATATATTTTGGTAACTTGGAAAGATAACAAATAAAACTCCAGGAGAGTAGACTTGATTAGTAAGAGCCATTTTATAACTATGATTTGTAGCAAATAAATGCACCAAATATGCCACAGGATATACGACCCTATATATCAATAATCAGGGCCAGCACTAAAGTCTACCTAATTGTAAGGGCAACCCTGGAGGCTCCAACGAAAGCCTAGCAGGGGAGGATCCAAAGCGTGAATAAGAGCTATGGAAATACACAGAGGGACCGACCTAGCAGGGGAGGATCCAAAGAGAAGAAACTCTAAGGGTCCGCCTGCTAGGGCGCCAACTATATACTGGCTGTCCGTAACTGCCGACGTAGAGCGCAGAAGGCCTGAGCAGCATTGCAGGCTCTGTCCCAAGGTGACCGTTGGGAGGGTCTTGACGGATCAGTGATTGTGCGGGCAAAGGAGGCCGAGGACGAGGGTCGGGGTAGGTCGGAGCCGCCTCAGATGCGCTCGGACGGTCCAAAGGAGGCCGAAGTGGGGGTTCCCCTGACACTAATATGTCAGAAATAAGTGACAAATTGCCATTATATATGACAAATTACCCTTATATATGACAAATTGAGGTAATCATGATTCATAATGTGACACCATTTTTTGACAAAAATTTGGGCTTGAATGAGGTGCACTTACTGTTTGCAAAACATGGTCAGGAGCGGGGTAGTCATAATGGATGGTATATTTGATACCCTAATACAGAACTCGATTTCTTGTAATTCTTGTGACTTTTATTGCATATCCATCAAAGCAGTGAAAAAGGCCATTGTTTTTCTATTTCTTATATATAAATTCTACTCAGGGGACCATTTTTGTGTAAGTTTCGATGATGCATCATGATTGTGTCTGTCTCACGCTGCCAACGGCGCCTTTTGGCCGACTACGATGGCAAGACTGCCGCTTGAGTTGGAACGAGTGGTATTTGAAGGTGCAGCGGTGACCACAAGAGAATGTATACCCCAATTATTGTTGGTTGCTCGACGTGTCAAGATCTGGTGCGTGCTCTATTTCTGACTTGTGTCATGGCCAATGAAAAACATTCTCAACGTTTAGGATTGAGCCTCTGCTTCACGAGTCACTTGTCGTTCTCGATCATGGAGTCGCTGATAAGCATGTCTTCCCTCGCGCGGCCCACCTGCGCTCCGCCGCCATTAGTACGTTGTCAACTGAACGCCGCTCCTTTCTGGGGCGGCATGTGCGGTCCATCTGCATCGTCTTAGCCTGTGGTCCCGAGCCGCTGGTGACCGCGCTCCTACCGGACCTCCACCACCTCACAACCCTCTTCGTATATCCATTCCCAAGCCACACCAGGCTACTACCCTCGTTTCTCTCCTCCGGTGCTCACGCCGTCATGCCGGCTTTGACCCGACTTGAAGTGGACATCACTACGCTTTGGGACGCTCAAGACGGCCAAGTTACACAAATCTCCCACCATCCACATAATTTCTCCCACTTGACGCACCTTTGCCTGCACGACTGCAATGGCGAAGCCACACTCGCATGGAACCGCGCCACCCGCGAATTCCCGACGGCAGACACCAATCAAATCCATCTAATCGCGTCTCTCCCTGCACTCACCCATCTTGCCTTTGACGACGGCAGCATCCCACTCCAGCCGTGTTATGTCCTGCTAGAACGCTGCCCGCGCCTCCTCGTCCTCGTCCTTCGCTCTACAGTAAATAAGCGGGACGCCCAGCTGCGCCAGCTCGTTTACTTCCACCTAGCGGCGCTGCCGACCGGTAACGGTGGTTTCGCTGACGGGGACATCCGCTTCGTGATGCTCCTTAACTTTGGCCGGCAGATGAATCGCCGCATAAACTGCTGGCTCGACGAGGAGCCGCAAAGCGACAGGCGGCAGTGCGACTTCTGGGCTGTTGCAGAGGAATTTGTCGCTCGTCGCAAAGAAATATATGCGCGGGATCCAACAGACGCCAGAGACTGGCTCATAGACTGGTCGGAATTTGAGACTCGGAGTGGTTGATAATTTGTTTAACCGTACAAACGCAAACGAAATGCCCTGCTATAATCATTCCAGTTGAGTAGAGTACTGTGCCACAGATCAATCCTACAAATCGATTCCTCGTAACATTACAGATCAAAGGTATATAAGCTCGTAACTAGCCATGTGTGTCGTCACGGATCGTGATATCTCTACAACTCAACGCCCTCTAGAATTCTCCTCCCTGGTTGCGTTCGACATGATGGTATAATTATGCGCGCTCTTCCGCGCAGACTGGAAATACCGCGATACGTTGAATGGCGCTTGCGCTTCCGGCTCGGTGAGCACGACCTCCCCTTCAAGTTGGCCCTGAGCATTGGGCGGGGCATACCACCAGAGGGTTGTCTGGATGTTTTCTCAGTAATTTGTACCGAGATATGAGACACAGAAAGGACTCGGACGCACCACACCGACTGGGAAGGTATAACTGGCCTGCATCCCACGGAACTCAATCGTAGCAGCCACGTCTACCGGATTCCATGTCGATGGCTGCCCGTCGTTCGCTGAGAAGCACTCTAATCAGTTTCACATCTTGCAAAAGAAGGGGACACACAGTTGAGCACAACGATCGAATACCGATTCCAATCTGTCGATTTGATTCGCTTGGTCGCAAACGCTGTGACCGCAAGCTTTGATGCCTGACTGCCCTGAACAGACACTCCGATCCGGCGACCCCATGGCCCGCCTGCATCCTTCGGAATGCTCGCCTTAGAGGCTGCCGCCAGTGCGTAGACTAATGAAATATTTAGCCCCGAGAGGAAAGAAGAAAGCAAATCAAGCAACGTACACTCTTGGTTATATTCGAAACTGCCATCCGAATCCACTGTCACAATGGGCCGACAGCCTCCGCCGCAGCTACTCGTGCCAGGCAATCGGGGCTCGCCATCCGAGTCAGCCGCGATATTGAACATGAGCCCGACATCGGCGCCTTGGTTGACCGACCCAATCCAGAGGTTATTCATATACCACTTGATGTCACCCCACCAGTCCGACCCGATAGTCCCCGCACATTCTGTGAAGTACATATTTTTTGACGGCCATGCGGCGTGGAAGGCCGCCATGTTCGTGTACGACCCAGAGTAACAGTGGAATGCCACGCCTGAATACGAGTCCCCATTGTCGTTCATTAGCGTGACCGGGTACCCGCTGGCATCACCCCAATTGTGCTGTAGCCAGGGGTGAGAAAACCGATTCCCGAGCCTCGAAAATTTTGACACCCACCTCATATCCAATCAGCTTAACGCCGCTAAGCCCGTTGTTGTTCAATAACGTTCTTAACGCCGCCCCAACCTGGCCTTCTTGTGCTGTCATCTGTGGTGAGCCGCCACACAACAAACCAAACTCGCCCACGCACCAGGGGTCCAGGTACAGGTCGGATAAGTCGGGTTGCTGTTCTCCGGCTCGTTCTGTCCAACAGGTTGTCAGCATGTTGATGAACACCAATCGAAATGACCAAGGCGCACCTGTACCGATATCGCAAAAACGTTGATCCCTTTCGAGTTAAAACCTTGCACGGCTTTCAACAAATATTTCGGATCTGACCAAGGAAAGTGCGTGAAAATAATGGCCGAAGATTGAAGAAGCAAACGCACAAACCGACAACATGTTTGACGATATCGACCCGCCCTTCATCGTGCCCGTTGTCTTCATCCAACCCGGCTGGCCACCATTGAGTACCTAAAACAGAGCTTATAAGCCCACTCACCGGACTCCATGGCAAGATATGGATCTTCACCGCCTAATCACGAGTCATAAGGCGTGAAGGGAGGACCTGGTGACGCACCGGATTGACAGAGATAATGTCCAGCAACACCGAGAACAAGTACGAAGGGGCGTTGTTGATGTTAAATGAGTTGAAGGACGTGTCGCCACTGACGTCGTCCAGGCTGTATGCTTGAAAACAACAATCATGCGGTTAGCAACCGTGCGTTGGGGAAGAAAGATGGGCGGAAGAAGAGAAGGGCAGTGATCGTGACTCACCTTTTGCCGAGAAGTCCGACGCTCCGATTGGGACCCGGACGTACGAGAGCCCGGCTGCGTTGGCGCCATCCTGCGCAGAGAACATGTAGTTGAGGATGCTCCAGTAGTTGCCCGAGTTGGTGTTCTGGAGGCACAGTTAACGGCTACCTCGGATATTTCACGGACAATCATCACCTTGAGGTTGTTCAACGTCAGTGCCGCGGAATCAGCTATTTTTGGGTATCAAGGGCAAGCATGATGTCATTGGCAACCAGGAAAGACGCACTGAGGGTGCCTCCAAAACCGTTCATTGTCTGGAATACGCTCGTCTCGGTGACGACGATGTCAGCCGCAGCGGCGTCGCTGGGGTCTACGAAGTTGATGGGCGGATTCGGCTTAAGCGAGGTGAAGAGCTTCGTGCGGTCCCATTTCGTTTGCCACTGGCGAGCGATTTAAGCGTTAGAAGAGAAGACCAGCATGACGCACGATGTCCCATATTTGCTGCCCTTCCACTAGGCGGGCGACAACAGCGAGTGTGGCAAAAGTAAACGTACAATGAGGGAGGAGCATGGCGAGAAGGACGGTGCAGGCCAAGAGAGTGGCGGGGGTGATGGAAGATTGGCGAGGAGGAGACCTGCGGTCAGGGAGCAGACGACGTGCCTTTTAAGCCGAGCTGCCTTCTCACAGAAAAAGAAGAAGAACGCAGAACGACATAACGTGACGCGACCAATCAAGACAGGGGATCTTCTGCCAGTGGCTGGGTGAAATAACTTGGCAGCGGAAATACGCTGGGCGAGAGCGAGCTCCGGGAGCTTTCTGGGAAGTGATGAGCCGGAAGCATTTTAGTGTAAGGGAACGCGTAGCAGGGTTGATACTGACTTGAATGCTCATGACCCGCGTACGCCTATTGGTGTTTCTTGATCGACGCTATAGATAGACGCTTCCATCTCCAAGTAACAAGCGACATCACGGGGGAGTGGAAGCCTGTGGAGCACGGGCACGTGCCGGGACGCCAGCAGAGGACGGGACGAGAGCCGGCGGAATGCGTATGGGACACATGGCGGATGCTGAGTAACCTAAGCTCCGCGCTAGTTACCGGTTGAACCACTAGTAGTCCTCTCGTCCACCTCCACAGCGTGGTTTCGTCCATCTCAAAACGAGACGATCAGTCAGCTGAGGCGAGCTACGCAAGTTGAACACCGGCGCTCCGAGTCTTCTAACTCGGGTCTCTTCATTGGCCCTAGGTAGTCCTCGATACCGCCCCGGCGCCGCTGACGCTACGTCCAGATTTCGAGCACAGAACTTGACCTGGCAGCAGTACTCGGGCTTGGCCGTGGCCCAGCATGGGAACATAAGCTCGAAGTGCAAATTCAGACTCCAGAGCCGCGGTGCTCAGCTGCATTCCCGATCGTCGTGGGCCCCGGCCCCGAAGCACGAGCAGCCTGCGGAACCCCGCAATAACGGTGCTCCAGCGTCAGCTATTCTCGTCGCGAAAACACCAGCGGCAACGAAGAGCATCGGAACCCAAAGCGATGGCATTGCTGCATGAAGGGCTTGTGAGAAGAAAATGACGTGACACTATTTCGTCACAGTGTTGTTCCCGAGAAGGTGACGGTGACATTCTAATCAATTATGAGTGTATACGAAATCAGTGGGACTGGGACTGGCCCAATCCCACTGTTCGTGCCCAGTCCCACTGATTCACGTCCCATCAGTGGGATTCGTGCCGTCCGACGTGACGCATGCACGAGTCCCACTGATCAGCGGACCTGTCGCGGACAAGCGGGTTGCGGCGCCGGCCGCGGCGGCCGGGGTTTTCCACCCCGGACCCCGACCAGGGCCTTGCCCTGGACCCACCCTGCCGGGGGCTTCGCTCGCCGCGGGGCCCGCTGCGCGGAGCATTATCTCCCCTTCTTGGCTTTTTCTAACATCCCCGGGCTCAAACTTCTCTTTCCGCACTGGGTTGCGGCGCCGGCCGCGACGGCCGGGGTTTTCCACCCCGGACCCCGACCAGGGCTTCGCCCCGGACCCCACGCTGCCGCGGGCTGCCGCTCGCCACGGAGGCCTGCTGCGCAGGGCTTGGCTTGATCTCCGTCGTAACGCAACGTCAAGCGCAAAGGCATCAGTCCCACTGATCAGACTCGCTTAGTGCCTGATCAGTGGGACTGGGACTGATCAGTGGGAGTGATGCGGACTGGACGAGTCCCACTCCCACTGATTTCGTTATCCCTCATCAATTATCACACTGGGGGAGTTCAAACATAAACGGCGCCTGTTTCAATCGATTATATGCCTAAGATTAAGATGCCAAAAAGGATTTTTTTTATCTCCATTTACACCCAAGAAAGATTCACTTATATGCTCCAGGGCCCTGATATATATCATATATGATATAAGTGAGTATTTATCATATAAGTGAATATCTTTTGTGCAAATAGAGGTATATTTTTTTCCCCTTTTTTTGGTACACATATAATTGATTGAAACAGGCCCCATTTATTCTCAAACTCCTGCAGTGTCAGCTCACAGCCAGGTTTCAGAAATGTTCACTGGGTAAAGGCAAAGTTTTGTAATAAACTTCTTTGACCCTACAGAGTGAGTCTTTTTTTGGCGATAAAACTTTATTGCACAATCTTATGCTTACAAATCAGTATCTTGGTGTAGCTACAAAGTGATATAAAACATTGAGCTTATCTACTAGGTTGGAGAATAAGGGCTAAAAGGGGGAAGTATAGGAATGAGTTTTGCTGCTAAAAAAAAGAAGAGTACTCCTCACAGCTGTGATTCAAAAATGTTTTGGTAGGAAACATTACTGGGAATATATGAAATTTTAAAATGATTCTTTTTCTAAAAGACTTTGAGTTTTTCAGCCCAAAAAATGCCTACTTAGCTGGGGTGAAAGGATTTTCAGGACCAAACTATTTAATATTTTGCCATGAGTTTTTAGGCAAGAAAAAACTTTCTATATTCCCTGTAACTTTTCCTACTTGAACATTTTTAAATCACGGCTGTGAGTCTTTTGACTAATTTTCCAGCCTAATGAATGAATACAAGAAATTGGAAAGTTCTAATGTGTTTCTGAACCTAGAGAATGTCAAGTGTTTGAATAAGTTTTCAAAAGTGTAAAAATTTTAAGACTTGTGGGGCGGCAGCAGTGCTGGTAGGATGAAGAGTGGAAAAACAACCAAGGTCCTTGCACTCGATAGTGAGTTGTGCCAACTAGTGCATCACTTTTGCCAAGGTGTTACTGTGTGCAGTCAAATGGACCCGGAACTGCTCGACAAGCTGTACCATGATCACAGGCCAACAGAAAGTCCATGTGCCAGCTCTATCAAGTTTCTCATTGGCGAAAAAGCTACCATGTTGAAATGCGTGTGATCCGGCAGTAGGTGGGGAAAGTGGAAACCCAACAAACACCCAAAACAACCAGATCAAAGCGGGTGAGGTCGGGGCTCCATGCAAAGTATATGCATGCTGCAATCCATAAGGAGGAAGTGATGATGGCAAAGCTGAGTGGAAACCATAGATAGATGGATGGTGGTGGTGATGTAGGTAATGTGGATGTAGATGTGAGTGTGGGTGTAGATGTGAGTGTGGGTGTGGGTGTGGGTGTGGGTAGTGTCACGGATAAGACCTGGCCCGTCCGCTCCGGCGCTGGTGTCGGGCCATCGCGGGCCCATAGCACGCAGCACGTGACGATGGGGAACATGCGCCCCAGTAGGAGGAACGCACATGTGGGAAGCACGTGACCGAGAACAACGTGTCGAGCCGTCGCCGAGCCCAACTCGACACAAGGGGACTGGGGAGGAGTGCTAGGAGGTTAGGAGTAGCGCCTGGCCCGCAAGGGATGTACGATCGTCCCCTCTGCGGCCAGGAACGGGAGCGAGGAGGAGGAGGAGAGGCCAGGGTGTCCGATCACCCCTTTGCGGGCCCGCGTATATAAGGCGCGATAGTGTACCCTGTACTCTATCGCTTAGATCATCTGAAGAACTACCTTACTCCGTGCGAGGAGACGTTATCGACTCATCGGGCCCGACACGACCCGATTCGAATCTTCGACCACCAACAGCGACAAGGGACCGAGTTCACGGGCCCTTTCGGTTTCGATCTACCCCGCCCGCCGTACTTGTGGGCCCAACTATTCGTCTGTTCTGTTCCGGGCGCGCGTTCTTAGGAGAGGTCCTTGCACGGCCCGACCCGCAGTCTGACAGGTAGATAAGACCTGCTCACCATATCATAAGAGGAAGGACCTGCCCTCTCTAACCACCAACCCAATATGCAACTAAACCCCAAACCAAAACAACCTCCTCCTAATATGGCAACAGTCACAGCCACTGTCACATTGAATATATTTATTGTTGTTGATATATTATTTGTTGTTTTTATTATTGTGTCGGATAGCACTGAAGCCAGCATCAAGAGCATCAATCAATATGCCATATATGGCAACAATGTTCCAGACATGGGTCGCTCCATCATGAGAGGGGCGACGTTCCATGTTAGGCAAGACGCGTCCAAGCAGCATAGTCATAGTCTTCGCAGGTTGAGCCAACTCCTATATCATAGGCGGCCTCAGACCGGCAGCGTTGACGTTGACAGCTGACGTTGACGTTAACAGGTGTTCCTCAATATAATACCCCGCGGGGCCGTGATTGTAAACGTAATGCGTAAGCTCGCTTAGTCAGATCAAAAGAGGCGCAAAGTGGTGAGGGAAACCCGGGGAGGGAATTCACTGTCTATCTAGGTACAAAAGGCCCTCAATATATACCTTTTTGCTTGTCACTCTGTCACAGTGCTGCGGTCACCTCGTACCGCCTCCGTTGCTCGTACCGCCTCGCGAGGCTATCCTCCGTTGCCCCGTTTCCTTGACAATTTGTAAGCCTTAGGTGAGCGGCTTAGCTGAGCCTTACTCAGCCTTATTCAGCGCTTCTGGCTTGCCTTTCGCCCCTTCCTCGCTTCTTCGCACCCTCCCTCGACTGTCCACCACCCGCCGCATTGCCCGCTCTTCAATGTGCGATGGATTGTCAAGCTGTAGTCTGTGACCTCTGTCCTACCTGCCAGAATCCTGCTAGTACTGATTATGGACTGGCAGTTCAGCTTGTGAGAGTGGCAACCGGAGTGGCATTGGTGGCCTTAGGGCAGAAAGATATCCATGTCCTTGGGGCTTTGGGCAGGGATCCCTGCCTAGAATGCAGAGACTGCAAGTGCTATAGATCTGTGCATGTCACCTTGGTGCTGTAAGGGCAACCCCGGAGGTCTGAGATCAAGGTCCTAGCAGGAGAGCCTGAGGATCCAAAGCGCAAACATTGGTAAGCAAATACAAATGAGGCTAACCTAGCAGGGGAGAATCCAAAGAGAAGAAACTCTAAGGGTCCACCTGCTAGGTAGCTGACTATATACTGCTTGTCTGTCAGGAGGGCATTGACGGATTGGTGATTGTGCGGGCGAGATGGACCGGGAGGTTCCCCTGACAGGTATTGCCAATCTTATCAGCACCCACCTTAATAGACATCTGTAATGAAATATTTCCTTTTATAGTATATCTTATCTTATCTGATGGTCACCTGGTTGGTTGGTTGCCTGGCCAAGGTTTCAAAACAAAAACTGGCATGTGCTCCACCATTCACATCATGATGCCCCCTTGGCATTTCAGCTTTATTTCTTCATAGCCTGGCCTGAAAATTAGAGGAATAGTTTAGCATACCTGTCCTCTAGTATAAAATTTCTGAAAGATTTATGTACTCATTCACACTCAAATTTTAATTTAACAATAGTGGTGTGAAATCTTGTTTTTTACAAGAAGTTAAAATGGGGGGGAGTTTAAATAGTGCTAGATCTCACAATAGACCTTCAGTTCAGTTAAGTGCTTATGAATCTATATACTGAGGAACACTACAGTGTAAGTATTGCAACACAACTTGTCGCAGGATGTCACGAGGCTGACAGCCAAAACATGGTCAGGAAGGGGGGGTAGTCACAATATATGTTATATTTGATACCCTAATACACAACTTGATTTCTTGTAAATCAGATATAATTTTTACATCTTTTATTGCATATTAATCAAAGCAGCAAAAAATGTCATTGTTTTGGACCACTATTTCTTACAAATAAATTCTGCTTAGGAACCATTTTTTGGCATACTAACTACTATACAATTTCCGCCATAAATATGGACTTGTATACCGGGGTCCGGTACCCACAAGCAAATTACAACCGGTCAAACTGCCCAGTGAATCATTTTCGAGGCATCGAATTGATATTTCAAGACCCTGCACTGGCGGAGCGAAACTCGATCGTCGCAAGGCGAGACTGGCCGCGAGAGCCAGACTGCGGCGGCGCACTGGCGCCGTAGCTTTCGTTTATCGATGGGAGGTCGCTCCGCGCGTTGAGCGTCCACATGAGGGAGAACGCCCAGACCTTCGAGACGAGCATGCTGCTTGCGGGCGGGGCCTGTGACATGTCCACCAGCGTACAAGTGAGGAGGAACGTGAGCATCATCCTGTCAATGGTAAGTAGCGGGAGACACTAACCAAATTGAGCGACAAACGAGAGTGTGCCTGGCGCTGCGCTCTGGAAGATCACTCGAATGAGCTTGGTAAGAACGGTCGCGCTGCGGGGGAGCGCGTTCTGACGGAAGCGCAGGAGGAAGAAAACGGTCCCGAGCGTGAGGGCAACGTCGCCGACTGAGGCCAGTCAGTTTTGAGAGCCAGCGGGATAACAGCGACATACGGAGGATCATGAGAATGTAGATATAGTCTGTGAGGATGGACAACAGTGAGCGTGCGACAACAACCTTTGGTAGAGCATTGACATACATAGCACAAGGATTCTACGCAGGATACTGCGGCCGCCTTTGTTGAATTGGCTTACCTGACGGCAAATATTTATGTTAGCAGCGAGAGAGAGAGAGAGAAAATATGGAACGCATGCGCACACTGTAGATGGAGAGTGACCACCCAACAAGCAGGACAAGTGCGATGGGAGTAATAAGGTAGTAGTTCTTGGTCGACATGATGTAGAGGCGGTAGATATAGTAAATTTGGATGTACAGCACAGTGGATAGGATCTGTCGAATAGTTGAGTGTCGGAAACGCGGGCATCCAGGTGGACCCACAACTATCGCAAGCATTGCTGTTAGCTGGACGTCGACGGGGTCTGATGCAATTGTGCGCGGGTTGCTCAAGTCGTACTCGGATAGGTGAAAGCCTGTGATGATCTTGTGCCAAATGAGTGCACTGTTAAGAATGGCCTTATCAGCGAGTGCCCCGGTCATGACCTTCGTTACCGTACAGATTCAGGCCTGTCTTGAGACACGCCAGCCAGGCGAGGCCAAGTACATACCAACGCAGCCAGCGGGGATCAGTGCGCCCGGAACAATGGAAGTAGTGGGTGATCTTCAAGCGTATAAGTCTGTGTCGATATCGATGGCGTGTGACGAGCGACACATACCTGCGTGGCGAGGACACCTAGGAGCAGGAGTTCGCCGGCAGTGCAGACGAACTAGAGAGGATAGATGATTGAGAGAAGCGCGTGATGCGGGGGGAAACATACCCAAGGCCCAAAAGCTTTGTCTGCCGGTGAGGGCATCTTGGGATGTGTGAAGAGGTGTCTGACTTGGAAAGCCTAAAAGGAGTCGTTGTAAAACCATCCGCAAGGTCTTAAATCTCCGCCGCTGATTGACATGACGCTGAAAATCCCATCCGTTCAACCGGCAGACGCATCGGCCAGAAGGGCAAGTACTAGTTGAAGTGGGGAGAGGACAAAACGCAATGATGCACTAAAAGTTGATTGAAATCCTGAGAAGTTCGAACAACTCAACAAATAGGTGTTGGCTGCCAATCCAGACGACAGTCTAGATTTTTGCTCGTTCTCCATATCCACATCCTCCACCCAGGCTTAACTTGGGCTCGCATTTGCGCTAAGTAAAACCAAGGCCAAAACCGTTGCTAAACAACGGCGGAGGCCGGTCTCCCCATTTGGTCACACGTGGCCATTCGGTGAATCATCTCATCTCTTTCTCTCCCTCGCGTGCTAACAGCCACCGCGGCCCCAGCAATGCGCAAGCGGAGTATCCAGATCCTAGCGCTGCTGGCCGGCTCTGCGCTGGTCATACATCTCGTACGTCTGCCATTCGAATTACCGGTTCCCGTTGACGAGCCCGCGTGCTAGTATGTCTCGCAAACCTTCAGCTTCTCGGGGACGGATGGAGAGTGGTTTGACTTGGACTACAGACCGATGGGCAACGACGGTCACGCCGCACACGAGCAACACCACGAGCAAGGCATGGGACAGAAGAGGCCATATCCTCCGCCTAAACGGCCACCGCCTGGTAAGGGGACAAGTGGAGGTGTGGGCGGAGACGCGGCTGCCGTAGAGAGAACACTGCTTCAGGCCGACATACGGAAACGCGACGCGGTAGTAAGGGCATTCCAGGTGTGTGTCATCTCAAGAAAAATCGCGTACTTTTGCTAACCTCCACCAACAGTACGCCTGGTCAGCCTATGCGACCGACGCCTTTGGATACGACGAATACCACCCGATGACCCACAGCGGATACAATCTCGGTGGAGGAGGCGGAATTGGCTACACAATCGTTGACGCAATTGACACCATGCTGCTTATGGACCTCAAGCCCGAGTACGCACAGGCGAAAAAATGGGTCAAGGAACACCTGACATTTGACCGTCAAGGTCAATTCAGCACATTCGAGACAACTATACGTGTTCTGGGCGGGCTGCTGTCGGCGTATCATCTCAGCGGAGACAATATGTACCTCACGCATGCGACCGACCTGGGCGAACGGTTCTTGTCCGTGTTCGACACCTCCTCTGGCATGCCATACTCGACCGTCAACCTGGGAGGAAAGAGTGGAGGCGGGTCAGCACTCAGTGTCAGCGAAGTCGCAACACTGCAACTGGAGTTCAGGTACCTCGCGGAAGCGAGTGGCCGTGAAGAGTTCTGGAGGCCGGTGGAGAAGGTCATGAAACTTTTGGCCAAAGCAAGGCTCCCGAGCGCATTGGTGCCGTATGGCGTGAGGTATGTCGCCGTTTATGAGTAAACCGTAATAACCACTTTTAAAGTATGTACGACGGGTCGTTCTCTCAGACGACGATTCGTATGGGCAGTAATGCCGACTCATACTACGAATACCTGCTGTAAGCCCCCTCATCCACTGCATGCTCTTATAAACTGTTTACCAGGAAACAATATTTGCAAACGGTCTGTCCTCAATGATGTAGTCTTCACGCTCATTTAGCCTCAGTCTCAAACTGAACCCGTTTTGCGCACCATGTACGCCGATGCGATGGCAGGCATCCGCAAGTACCTCCTCAAGACGACGCCAGCAAAAAAGCTAACTTATATCGCGGAGCTTAAACCCTCTGGCGGCAGCAGCGACTGGAAAGCGTATGTTTTTACTAGTACCGCTACTTTTGCTGAAACCTTCAGGCCTGATGCATGGACTCCACAGCCCAAGCAGGAGCATCTCGCCTGTTTCCTTGCTGGGTCATTGATGCTGGGGGCCACAAAAGTCCATAGGGTTGATCCAAGTATGTACCTTTTGCTCTTTCTCTTGATTTTGCCTCACGTTTTGCAGCTAAACCTGTCTCTCGCCCACCGCTAATGACTGAGTTGACACCAACTGGCCAAGCAGACTGGCATGCGGGTGTAGATATCCTGGATGGATGCATGGACACACTTAATACCGCTACGTGAGCGTATTTTATGGCGTTAAATATCCGGCTTACCCTACTCGTAGCGGACTTTCTCCGGAAGGCGTAACCTTCCGTACCAAAGAGCAGCCTGGCCCAAAGGAATTCCCTGAACGCGACTGGTATATCAACGGGGCCCAGTATGTGCATTTACCACACTTTCTTTTTCTCCCTCATCATCCCCAGCCAATACCAAAACCCGCCGTATGACGCGCGGTACATGCTTCGGCCCGAAATCAGCGAGTCGATTTTCCTCGCCTACCGACTGACAGGCGTCGAGCGCTACCGCGCCACCGCCTGGAAACTGTTCAGCGCGATCGAGCGGTACTGCAAGCTTCCCGAGGGCGGGTACGCGACGGTGATGGACGTCGACGACATCAACGTGACGTACGACAACAAGCAGGAGACGTTCTTCCTGAGCGAGACGCTCAAGTACCTATTCCTCACGTTCGCGGACGAGGCGGTGCTTGACCTGGACCGCATTGTGTTCAACACCGAGGCGCACCCGCTGCCCGTGTTCGTTCCGAACAAAGTGAAGCCGCAGTTCAGCGAGAAGGAGTATGTGCCCACGGGCATGGCGGATGATTAGGCGGGGGTTAAGGACATGAAAAAAATACAGATCTTGCTTGCTATCGTATCGTACTCGTATTGTTATTCTCGTCTCTTGCGTATTAGGTCATTGTGTACATTTACCTTGGAGTAGTAGAATGGAATCATTCCTCTTATAACAGATTGATCCACACAATATAAGTGGTACAAGTGACAATAGCACAATATATGCTTATGATAAATTATTCTGAAGCGTCGTACTGGTTATACTTAGGCTTATAGCAATTGGTACACTGACATACTAGTAAGTAAGTATGTATACTTATTTCTCAGCCCTATAACTTAGCATGAGTATCCCCGGTCTAGATCTCGAGGTAGCTTCAGTGCAGTCAACACTAGCTGTCTCCAAGCTGAAAGTCTCCCTCTCAAGGCTGCAAGTTTTCACACAGAGCAAACTCCTCGGTTGACTGATGTCGCCGACAATTCCCGTGTCGGCCGGTGACGTGGCTTGAATCGCCCACGTGATGCCGCCCATCTTGGACACCGACCACCACCATGCACCTCGACGACCTGCCCGTGGACATCGTCCGCGAGATATTCGCGTGGTGCGACGTCTACACTGTGCTGCGCCGGCTTATGCTGGTACAAAACCCTCCACATGTGAACATCAACTTGGGATTGACTCTACTCCAGGTTTCCCGGGACGTCCGGCGGCTGGCGAAGGAGAAGTCGCTCTGGGTCGTGCTGGTGCGTGACCTGGCGCTCCGCGGGCTGGTCGACGTTGCGCCGCACAAGCCCCCGCTGTCCGCACTGTCTACTCGACAGCTGGTAGCGATGGTCCGCCACGCGGTAATCGGGCCGCACAGCTGGCTGCCTGCCCCTATCTTGCGCCCCGGACGGTCCGAGTCGGGGGCCACGCCAAGCACAACGCGTGCTGTCACGCTGTCCGTGCCGGCGATTGTGCCCACCGGGAATGGATACACGCCGGTCGAGCTCGTCCCGGGCGGGCGCTTCCTCGTGTTCCGCACGCACATGCTCGACGTGATGCAACTCGTCGACCTCGCGTCGGGCAAGTGTGTCTGGCAATCGGCCGAGCGCGCCGGCGACCTGCCGTTCTCGGTGGACGTGTCGGCCGAGGGCGGCGTGGCAATTATGGTGGCTGCGAATAGAGCGGGGCTTGACGGCGCGTACACGTAAGAGTCCAGGTCACGTTTTCTTCTTGTGTTTGATTCAGTACACGACAGGGAGATAAAGGCCTGGCAGTACTCACAGACCACGCGGCTTGTCGAAGAAACGCTGGTCGCAACGCTGCCTGTTGCGGTCCAAACACAGCATACACTCATGCTGACGCCGACACAGTATTGTGTGTTCCGCACCGGATCACGCGACTATTACGAGCTGGCAGTGGTAGACATCCGGCGCGCACGATTCGCCATGCTGCGCCGTCCCGCAAATGACCTCGTGGGTGTTGTTTCCCAAGTTGATCCTTTCGTTTGACACTATTTAGGCAGACTACTGTATCTTCGGCGAATATATCGCCATTGCGAGCGGGACATCCAAGTTCCTCTCCCTGGAAGAGTCGCTTACGCTCGAGATCTACCCATTCCGCGCATTTGTCTGGCGATCCGTGCACGACTGGGCCACGCCGCTCTCCGAGCTCCTCGGCTCTGTCTACATCCTCCCGGCGTACAGCCACACGATTGCCACGCCGTGGCTAGCTAACCTATTCGTGTCCGGCCTGCCCGACCCGCTGCACGCGGGCCGCTATCGCCTCCGTGTTGATACGCACGCGCGCCACGCAAACCCCACCGCGGAGATGCTCGCCGCCTATCACGCCGCGCGTGGACCGCACGCCCGCGCGCTTGCGGAGAAGATCGCACTGCCGTGGAGCTTTACGTACGTCTTCGGCCCGGGCGGCGGGAATGGCCCGATCCGGCTCGACGCGCCGACCGCCGCGTGGCGCGCATCTGTGCTCGACACGGACACGTCTTTTGCGGGGTACGCGCTCGCGCGGGGGCAGCTAGTGGACACAGTCGTCCACCCCGGAGCTGGGCTGTCGTGGATGCGCGGGCCACGCGTGGTGCCTGTGCATGCCCGCAGTGCAGGCGACGGCTCGGAGTACGGGACCCCTTGTGCATTGGCAAGGTACAGTCCGACCGTGGTCAGCCTCGTACCAAAAGCGCCTGAAGACGCAGAGGGAACTCCTGTTGTGCTGACTCTGCTATATTTTGAATGATTGTCTACTATGTAGTATAATCTAATCTCAATCAGGACTTGGATATGATTCCAAGGCACTGTGCTGGTCATCTGTCCAGAACAACATCATGATTATGGAGGACTTTCATCTGAAAATGGGGCATGAGTTGGTAAACTATCATACATTTACCCAAGGAATATTTACCTAATGAATATGCAGGTAGTAAGTATTATCATCCTATTTATTTGAACATATTCCACATATATTCCGGCATGATATAATTGTGGACAGCACGACCTGGCACGGGATCTAAAGAGCACGCGGCCATCTTGTATGCCAGGTCGTCCTCTTGTTTTTTGTTTTTTGGAAAAATAAGAAAAACAGAAATTCCAGTGACTCGGGGCTCGGTGATAAGCACAGCAATCCCTAAAGCTTTACAAGTAGTATACATGTTTCATAGTCCGTTGTCATGGCCGCAACACTATTCTTATCAGTGCTCCTCCTCCTCCTCCAGTTCTTTCAAGTCCTGCTCAACTTCCAAGGCAAAACGATTCGAACACGCTGGACACGTCTCCTCGTCCTCGCCGAGACCCTGGCAGCGCGCGGCGCGGCGTCCGTAGTGCACAACCTCCTGGTGCCGTGCGAGATCGGCCGGTACCATCTTCTCCATGCCGCGCAAGTCAGTCAGCGTCGCAATTTCGAGCCCTAGTCCATTGCGAAGACAATCCGCAATGCGGCAGATGCGACACGACTTGAGTTCCTTGGCGACGACTTGGGTGTAGGTATAGCTTGAGTTGGCGTGGGCGGCGGGGAAGAGGTCGAGCGCAAATTCAGTGCTCAGTTCAAGGTAGTTGGTCGAAACAATGCAAGCTTGCGTATAGTCGAGCGGGGTGTGCAGGTCTCGGAGCGCGGCAGGCCTTTGAAGGAGAAGACGGATCTTTTTGCGTGGGGGCTGGTTTGTCGTTTGAGCAGAAGTAGAGGAGCGGGTGTTATGCATGGTGAGTAAGCGGTCCTTGCGATTGTTCAAGTGAACCTCCAAAGCGGCTTCGTTTGCGTGTTTTGCCAGAGCACTAAGTTAGATTATTGTAAGCAGGAAATGTACTAGTAGTAGATTCGGAACCCACATTTTCTTGACGGCAGTGACACTGACAAGTTTGGAAGCATTGGTCGACAGAGATTTCTCAGACATGTCTCTAGTAGAGATTGTGGTGACACGCACAGGGACATAAGATGAACAACTCACAGAACAACGAGGCCCGCATCCTTAGCCTCCTTTGGTCGCACATCGTAAGCCGAAAGAGCAGAAGAAAGAGCAGCGACTGAATACACTTCTTTAACCTGACACAATGTACACACGCGCTGAAGGTTCTATCAGTGCCTGTCGTCATGGGCTTATATACTAGTAAACGCACTTGGAGAAGCGGGAGGAACAGTTGGTCCGTGTCCTTGCCGCAAGACGAGCACTGGATGTTGAAGCACAGCGAGACGATTATTCTGGTTTGCCATCCATCAGCACTAAAGACCGCGGAGAAGAACGATCCACACATGCCTGGGCGAAAGGTCCATTTGATAGGAATAGAGCGTGTCCATCAGCGATTTGCCGGAGGAAGTGTCCTTGAGCATCTGCAGCAGAAGCGTGTTAGGCAGTTCTTGGCGACTACAGAGAAACTGATGACGTGCCGCTACCCATGAGTCCCATCGTCGATCGGCCAAGACCACCGCGCGCCAGAAGAGCGATACACGCGCAACGGTGGCCAGATGAACGGGATCGAGATACGAGTCTGTAGGCAGTAGTAGATAATAACGTCGGGAATCATGATGTATGTGGCACGTACAAATGAGCAACTTCAGCTCAGGAGGGAGGGCATTCAAGTTCAGGCAGGCCTCTGCCAGTGGTTGACGACTCGGAGTCGCGTCACGAATCCCAAGTGGAGACGCGTTTTTGACCCTGGGCGCGTCTGTTTCACGTGCCATTAGTGTGTCGAAGCAAGGTTTAGAAAAATCCGGCCGGTGTGCAGATGAGGGGAAGAGGGGAAAGAGCAAAAGGGTATTGTGACGCCGTCACTTTTGGTCTGATTGCCACTTGTGATTAGTCATGTTCGCACGCTGCCATCGACTTCTCTCCATCACTCCCACCACGGTCATCGCAAAGTGGCTTGCGGATGGTCTAGTAGGCGGATTATGCGATTATAGACTTTCTCATAGTTGCTCAAGCTCAATTTCCCGGCTTCCTCAAGAACTCATCGATGAGATTCTGCAACTTGTGACTCCAGAAATCCTTCCTGCTTGCTCACTTGTCGCCCGTTCTTTCCGCCCGACCAGCCAACGACTTCTTTTCCAGACGCTTATGCTGAACGAGAGTCATATGGAGGCGGACTCTGACGAAGAGCACATGGAATGCCCTGTTGACCGTCTGCTTGCTGTATTCTCGTCCTCGGCACATCTCCCAGCGGCAGTGCTGCACCTGTGCCTTAGCGGCGAGACAATATTCTCGTTTGACTCTGTGGAACTGCTGCTGCCCATGCTGACTAATATACAGCGCCTCTCCCTTCGCCGCTGTTTATGTACTTCACCCCCCATAATTTCCGTCATAGAAAGTCTGCTCGCGCGGCCTACGATCCAAACGATTAGTCTCTGGCGCGTGGTGTTTCTTACAATGCAGGATGTACGGACTGTCATCGGCCACGGGCTCCCGCCGGAGCTGCAATTTCTGGAACTTGAGAATCTAGAGATTTGCAACGACGGTCACAACGTTTCGCCAATCAGAACTGTGGAGAGTAGAGTAACTCAACGCAGAGCGCGATCTTTCACGCTGTGCATCCCTGGTACTCTCATGTTCCAAACTCTCAAGCCAATGCTAGACTTTACATGGACGCAAACCCTCGATATTTGTGTTTCCCGCGGCATTGAAGCAGAAGTGCAGCAAATTCTTGAAAGGGCGACTAATCTAAGGGAGCTTAGGATGGACTTGTCTCTCTACACAGGTAAGCTCAGTTGAGGAAAGTAGCTTTCTACTAACACACCACAGGGACGACAACATTTCTCGATCTCCACGCCCTTACATCGCTCAATATACTGCGAATGGCGTTGCGTCCTGTGCGATTCGGAGACGAATACAACCCCATCCGGCTCACTGCAGTACCCCTCATCTCGACAGCATTCCCGACCTGTCCCCTCCGTATCGTCGCGATTGAGTTGCAATTGTACAAGATCGCACAACCCATCGCCCAGCTGCTCTACGATTCGGACTTCCAAACAGTGCTGCTCCATGCCGCGGAGATGGTCGGGCCAGTCGCTGCCCATATCGACATTGCCTCCATGCGAACCCAGCCCTGGCCCCTGGGACGTGAAGCATGTTCTCAAGTCGATCCGACAGGAGCTTCCGGAGCTCGAAACGCGCGGAATGCTGAAGGTACGGTGCATGCGACACAAAATGTATGTAGACCGTGTCCATCCAGAATGAACATTTGAACTCGATTTACAATTTCGGTCCAAACACGGCGGATCAATGTCGCCAGTTTTCGTCCGACGTCATCGCGTTTTTGCGCCAAGAAGCTGCTATTTCGGCATAAATTGGACGGGCTGCGCGGGGTTGCCCGGTTTCCACATGACGACGAAAAAAATTCGCGTCGCGTTGCCGTAGCCGAGATCCTCGGTCCCGGACCGAGCCCCATTCACCTTGTCTTTTTTCCACGTTCTCCCTTTCCCCTGCATTCAGTCGTCCGTCCAGCTTCGCGGATGGACACGAGTGGGCCACGCTCGGGAGAAAAGTAACAACGGCAAAACGTTGCTGCTATCTGCCTCGTGGGTGCCATGGCCACTGACTCATTTCCGCCGGAGCTAAAAAAAAAGTGATACAGCCATTTGGGTCTAAAGCAAAAACTCAAAACGTGAAGAGCGAGCGCCTTTCGTTTTTTTGCTCTTGTCCTCTCCCCTCTCATCTCCGATGCCGATGCACGAATATACCTTCGACTCCGCCCATATCCTCCAGAACGCCTTACGCGACACATACCTGGCGCGTGTCTACACCACGCGAACCACTTCAGAAGCGCCGTTTTCGCGCCAGCAGACTGTGCTCGAGCACCAACCGACGTCAACAGAGGCAGTCATCGACTGGCAAGCGAAAACCTTCCGGATTGGGACCGGTGCTGGGACAACAAAGTCGGTCGATAGCCTGAAGCGTAGCCCCACGTTCTCCACGTGTGTATTATCTCTGTCTTTTCGTATTGCTGAAATGCCCTCTTATAGCTCGCGTTACTGGCGCTGGGGCACCGGCGAAGAATATAAGGTCAAATATTCTGATGGCAGCTGGACGGTGCGTGGCGGTTTGCCCTACACACCAGTTTAGTACTAAGTGCCAGGCAGGTCAGCTCGTCGACAGGCGCCCTCATCGCCTCCCTCTCTTCCGCAACCGAACACATTATCCGTCAGAACCTCAACTCGCTCCCCGTCCTTCGGCTCGCACGCACTGTCGCCGATGAGACACAGCGCCAGTTCCTCATCCTCTTGCTGCTCTACTCGGAGACGAGGAGGATAGAGCGACAAACTTAGTTGTGGTGTGTCTTGCACCCCATCGGCCTTGATCTGTATTGACCCAGTCTTTTGTAGCACCGAATATAATACCTCCATATCCGTACACTAATAGGCCTACACCTACGACCATCATAATCCCCAACTATCTTATACTTATAAATTACATGGCTTTGCTCTTCATCGTCTGTATCATTCCTCTGAGTCGGACGGGAATCGAGTGGGCTTCTCCGGCTCCTGGTTTTGTGCATCATTCTCAAGCCCTCGGTGTGCTTGCTCGAACGACGCATTCAAGTTGTTGGATGTCGGGATTCGAAGCTACGAATTTCAAGCATGGCCATCGCAAGGTGTAATGCGGCTCACCACAATTGAAGAGGTCCGCAGAGGAATCTCCCGATTCTGGGTGTACGTGCGGTCAAGTGTCTTCCGAGAAGAACGGCGCGAATTAAGGCTAGATGCTGCTCGATAAGAGCCGACTTGGTAAGTGCTGTCCATACCTGGCAAGCAAGGAGTTGGCAAAAACTGAAAGAAAAGAGTAAAATCAGCATCAAACAATGGCTGTAAGTTTGCTGCGACTTACGTCGAGCACCAATAGCAAACATCGCAAGCCAGACGACTGGAAGATGTCAAAGACGTTAGTAATCCAAGAATGAGGAGTACATACAGCTGTTCTTCATAACTAAAAACTATGACGATGATTAGATCGAGTCCCGATGAGTACTGGTTTGGGGCTTACGAAGACTAGCAGTATGATTCCAGAGGAACTGCATGCAATTATTGGGGAGAAGTCCGTCCGAAAAAATACTGACCTTGTCAAAAGACCCGTTTCTGTCCATGTAAGTGGCAGCACAATCTCCGATGACGGCGTTCACTCACCCACAGTCCATTTTATGAGCTGGTCGACCAGGGCTAGCGAGCTGTGTGGCGTCAGAGTGTGTAATTTTTTTCTTTTTTTTTTTTTTTGACTATGCTTACCCCTCCGCAATCCGATTTTTTGCCTGATACAAAACCGTCGCAAGTGTGACGGTTATGATGATGTCGTTGCCCACGCTTACCACCCATGCCGTGTCCAACATGCCATGCCATTGTACCGCAAAGCTCTCTAGGGAGCGCATGTGTAGCCCCAGGCCAAACAACGTCGCTGTCATGCCGAGCTGCACCAGGGCCAGCAGCCAGATGACTACGGAAATGGGTCGGGCATTCGGCGCCAGGACTGATATTCGGAAGGAGAAGAATGACTGGACTAGGAATGAGGTTATCATCCAAGTGGGCCACAAGGGGAGTTGCGCGCACCAGCGGGGCCAATTATCCCCGATAGAAGAACAGCCCCTCCGAGACTTTGAGGGATTGGCGTCAAGAAGGGATTCAAATCTTGCCCGTAAGAGGAGATCGTGTATTCGTAGAGGCTCCCACCGACGCAAGCTGCGTGTCCCAGCTCACAAATGCTATGAGAATATGTGAGCATCGGTTTTGGAATACTTATTGATCCAGACTTGCCACACAAATGCAACCTACCCTCAGCAAGAGATCAGCGCGTCAAGTTGAGAAACAAAAGAACCTGGTTACGAACGAAGTACTTAAGCCACGCGTGATCATTTGGATATCTACTGTAGTAGAGGTAGGCCTGGGTGCATGTTATCCCAAAGAGGGTGAATGAGCATAATACACCGATTTGATACACCCCTGAGCGGTTATTAGCTGAATTACGAGGAAGAAGCAGGTTGGCGTCCCGAGAGTAAGGTGCGGATTGAAAGAGCTCATGGGAGAAAAGGAAGAGGACTGTTGTTGCACGCGCGGAGGTGATACTAGTATACCGCCCTGCGCGCAAATTTGGCCTAGAGGAAAGCAAAATCAGACCTATCAGGAACATCATAATGCGGCAGCACATTTAAACGTTCAAGTGCGGGAAGCGGTCAGTTCATAACTGTGTTGAAGCATTATTACACTGGTCATGATTGCAATTTGCACTGATCTCACCAAAATAGCCATTTTTTATCTGCCAGGTCCGTCGCATACATTGAATTTGTTGTAGAGTTTACACGGCGAAGATGGACTCGGATGACCTGAACATTCGTTGGAATCCAAAGCCTGAGTGAAATACTAGTACATAATAAAAGAAGATGGAACCCACTGACACACCAGATGAGATGGGTACGCCGCGGCTGCGCAAGTGCTAGTGACAAGTGCGGCAGTTGAATCAACGCGACAAGGAGGTAAATTCGATACGTACCGATACCGCAACGTTATCACCTTGAAGCCAGGAGCTACCCGCTCAATCTTCGTCATTGATAGCGTTAATGGAAGAGTCTCCCTCGGCAACCCGGACTCAGAGTGCAGCTCAGAGAGTTGTCCGTCATGGAAGATGAGTGTTTTTACCAAGTCATAGAGCGAGTCGGGAAATATCAAATTTGACGTGTCCTCATGGTAAGCCGGCATTACGTCACGCATCTCGCTTTCCTTCGTCTGTCATATGGCTCCGTACGAGGCAGTCCGCGGCAGGCGGGCTTGCAGGATACCGGTTTCGCCTCGAGAGATTCTTCCAGTCGAGCTTTGGGACCTCGTTCTCCAAGCGGATCTTGTGGATAGCGAGCTTCTCTCCCTAGCAACAGTTTGTCGGCTGTTCCACTCACTTGCCATCCGGATTGCTTTGCGGCAGTCGGGTTTGGGCCCAACCTTGTATACGGACGAAGAATTACACCCTACTCCCCACGAACTACGCATCCTTTACCTGTCATTCAGCACATTCGCTGTCCGCCACATCACCGTCAAATTGGTGCTCGCGACACTGCGCAGGGACCTTTACTTGCTACACGCGGTAGTTAATGCTTCTAAAAGTCTTATAAAGCTTGACTTGAAGTTTGACTGTGATCTCTTGACGGCCCCAATCGATGACCGTGCTGGTCTTCTTCATTCCCTTACCGATATCCTGGCTTTGGTCGCACAAAGAGTATCAGCACCAGTGGTCGTTCTATTCGACCAAGAGATGTGGCCCTGTCGGCCAGAACATATCCTATCTTGGAATTTGCACTCCTTTGGCGGGCAATTCTCTGCTACGACCGCTCCACTGACGAAGGAGCAACGCAAACGACACCATGAATTCGTCGATGACGATAGCATATTCCGGCGGACGGAGGCAACGATGTACAACGGAGAGCAGAAATACGTCTTTCGTTTGGCAACGCTATCCTCGGCCTCTATCGACTGCACCCCCCACTTCGACCAGCGAGCGTTTACCTTGATAACATTGGATGCCGTCACCATCGACTTCATCAGTTTTTATCCTTCGCGAAACGATCTCCGTGGCTCCGTCATCCCGGTCGTACTCGGTTATGCAGTCCTTCCTAACCTCCATACCGTCCACTTGCACTTCCCCTCCGACGATGGATCACATATTACCCAATTTTTGGCCCGGCATACAACCGTGAAAACAATCGTCACAGCGCACACCAGCTCGTATCTGTACCGAATGCAGACGCAGGAAAAGAGCCCCCCTGTCAACCTCTTCCCTCCTCTCAGCCATCAGGGAATCACCACCCTGGAAACCGACTGTTTCAACCGCCAGGCCTCTCCAATCTTGCCCAGTCCACTCCCGAGCCTAATAACATCACCTAATCTGCGGAATATATTGTACTCGCTTCCCGGCCGACCAGGCCACCAGTTTGTTGAACCGTTTACGGCGGATCTACAACTCATTGCGACTCTTGTGCAACATATTTCGCTCACCCTCGAAAGCGGCCCATCAGGCGATGCAAGTGAGCCGTTGAAGGCGCCGGTTGTCCGTGCCCGCTCCCGAAGTTTGAGGCCGCGGCGACTGGGAACTTCCCTTCGGAACTCTCGTGAAGACGAAGGCTTCTGGTACGACCATCCGACAATACTCGCCGTCGTGCCAACCCTCAATCCGGTTCATCACCTGACGCTGACCCTCCACTCCATTGCCGAAGCTCGTCGAATGCTCGCCCTCGTTGCGCTACTTCCTGCACTCGAGTCGCTCAAAGTCGAAATTTTTCCTGAGGAGTCCCTCCTCAGCTTCGACGATTCAGACAGTGATACTTCGAAAGACACGGCAGCCCGGAGCGAGGCTGTGAAACGACGGGCAAGGAAAAGGCGAGAAAAGGCAGCTGAAGCCAATGTTTTTGCTTCCGAAATCCGAAGACAACTTCATGTAGCTGTAGAAGTGGATGTCCAAATATTTTGAAGGATTTATCCGCTACAATCCCATCGTCTTTCGACCCTCTTGTAACAATGTTAGGCCCAGCCCGGGGTAACAATGTTTATGACTTATATTTAGAAGAGGACACCATGACCGTGTCCAGCCCGTGTCTCACGCGGTTATCACGCATACAATGTGTTGCACCCAATACCATGGAACAAATTCGGGACATACTGAATCGTCGAAGCTCACCGGCAACTGCTTTTAAACAAAGGCGTACTTCACGTTGCAGTCGAGTCACTTCTCTAACAGCCGAGTCGAACAACACCAAACAATATCATGCACAATTTCAAGTTGCTTGTCCTCCTGCCCTCTGCTGTTTTCCTTGCCGCTCAAGCCCAGTCTATCAACAACGGTAGCGCCGAGGGCTCTGGTACGATTGAAGGATTGACTTGGCAAGCCGCGGGTCAGTCTGTCTGGCCTTCATCTTCATAAATACGCTACTGACAGTGTATTACCATGGCCAGGTGTTCTCTCAAAAGGCTGCACCCAAGGCACCATTGTCGATTGTTATTCTATGTTTTTCTCTTTTGATCCAACGGTCAACCTCGACCCCGGTTTCCCTTCGTCTCCCCGCCAACGCGATGAATTTCACTTCCCCACGCTTGCCCTCGGCGCATCGTTCTCGTATGCATGGAAGCAATACCTCTATGCATCCACCGGCACCTCAACACATTTTTTTCATCTCATGCAGCTATTTGATGATACAGCCGGCTCGCCAGTGATCACTCTTGATGCGGTCAATGATATGGTGTCCATTCATGATTATGTTCGTGGAGATGGGGAATCATCCTGCGGATCTGCAGCATGCCCGACGACGGCTATTGCCAATTATCATGGAACTACAGTCACCCACACTATATCGTAAGTTATTATTGTCTGTCAGTTTTTACATCGATTTACAAAAGTTTAGTGGAAAGACTGGTGCATCAGGCAAGGTCTCCTACAAGGTCACCCGAGATGACAATGGCCTTCAAGTAATTAATTATTCAGCAACTGGTGCAATGGGAACTGGGAAAGGATAGTGAGTATTGGATATAACCCTCAACTTAACTTTGTTTATTCAAAAAATTGCAGCGTTAAGTTTGGGGCATATCGTGCTGCTTTCAGCGGTATGACAACCATGAAGTAAGTGTCAAATTAAAGATTATTTAGTAATATCTCAAGTGTCACCAGTGCTGTTGTTGGTGATTGGACCTCCACATAAGAATGATGATCCTGTTCAACTGAACAAGATTGCTGGCACTGCCTGTGAATTTTATTATAATTTGTCTAACAACCCCAAGTTTTGAGAAAATGAAATCATACCTTTACATTATACAGGCCCAGATCATCATTATCCCTAAAGCAACTGAATCATGTTCAGTATTTATATTTAGCATGGTTCAATATCATGACAAGAAATATAAGATCTAAGTGTTGATCATTTTTTCCCCTATTATTTGGCCTTTACATTGATGTAGCCATTACATTGATGATTGCGCCTGTGTATATAACTCCTTTGCAGTTCCTCCTTGTTTTTTGTCTCTCAGTATCTTACTAAGTGTTGATTACTTGACCATGATCAAGACCTGCTAGGCACTATTAGATTCCACGAACATGGTAAATGGGCAATGGTGCTGACCTATTATGATATTATTATGCCAAATATGTGAATATTATAATTGGTCCTTAGCAGTATAATACTGCAACAATTTATTCAATTTGGCATAAAAAAACTGTATGACATTGGTGCTGAAATTGAAATTTCAGCATATTTAGCAGTCCAGAAGACTGTCAGAAATTTTTGACACTCTGATGGTCATCTGACATTGGGTATTTGAATGATAAGTTGTGATACTTTGAAATGTTTGGGTGCTGGAGGACCAGTGTGATACATGACTGCTGAATTAAATAAATTGATACAGTATATCCATAATATAATATAATATAACAATAATGTGGAATATTATATTATTGATTTTATTATAATACATTATAATACATGATCCTGCTACAACAAACTTTCAATATTTTCAACCTTGGTTTTCAGCATATGGTTTAGTAGCAATACCATATAATGCTCTAGAATATTGGCTTCCCAAATCTATGTTTAGAGGATACCTTTCAGTCACAAATCTTCAGTATATTACCCTTTTTTTTTTGGAATTTATGGCCACATTACAATATTAATAGTATGTTGAAAGAGAATGTTATTTATCTAGGTGGAATATCCTCTCACTCTGGTGCGTGATAGTGAGATATGTAAGTCTTTCTCAACTGACAGTATTATTGAGTGGATATACTGACCCATTTCATTCAATTAGGCTGGTCATGGTCACATCAGATTTTTTGGCCGAAATATTTCGGTGGGTCACAGGTCACAGCCAAAATTTTGGTCCCAAAGTGTCCCAATCGGGCAGATTTTCAAATTTTCCACACCTGCGGCATGCTAAATTTCCTAATTGGGTACTAGGTCACACGAAATTCAGCCTGTGGCCAAATTGAACATTTCGGCCAAATGGTCACAGATCACAGGCCCGCTGAATTGATTGAAATGGGTCAGTAATATGGCTCCAGAGGCTGCCTGCAATATAGATATAATGGTGATATGAGTACAATATGATATTGATGCAATACCAGTACTAATATGATACACTCTGAGCCTCAAGATATGATACCAGTATAAGTAAAATTCACAAAATTGCATATCATGTCTGTATTTAGACAGCACTACCAACAGGTAATAATTAGTGTTATCAATATGAGCAAGAAGACCTACAAGAACAAACATAGAAGTAGTATCAAGTAGATATAGGCTGGTTTCAAAGTTTGTGAGTTTCAGGCTGACATCTGAGTTTATAATATATATTATGCTGGAGCCATAATATTAATATAACATAATATAGAATAATATAATTATTTATTCTGGTGACCAGGCATAATATACTCATAATAATATAGCATGATAATGAATCATAATATAATAATGGCCAGCACTAGCATATTAGGGGAGTTCACGCTAGGCTGGGCAAGCTGTTGGGCAAGAAATAAGAAATTAAATGAATATAGTTTTTCAGACTTGCCCAACCTGAACACCGAAATTCGGTGTGCAGCTTTTTATTTGGGTTTTGGGCAAGAATTATATTAAATGCTTGCCCAACACCCAAAATACTAATAACCACTCATTTCTTTGGTGGGGCCACCATGAACACCCTGGGAAAGATTTTGGGCAAGAAATAAAATATTATTTATTCAAAAACTTGCCCAGCATCTTGCCCAGAGTTTTGCCCGCCTACTGTGAACTCCCCTATTGGATGATATTGCAAACTTGCTACCAGTAGTACAAAATGGAAAAATTCTTCTAATGTTCTAAACCTAGAACTTGACAACTAACCAGAGAAGGTGGACAAAAGACCATATGATATTTGTGGCTCCAGCAACAGTTGTGTTTTGGCAATTATACTCAAAGAATTAGCAATAGTAGAAATCTCTTCCTCTCCTCCTGCAGTAGTTTCACTTGGGTGTAAGTAAAGTCAAGTAGACTAAGTAGACTGATGCTAAGGATTGCTGTATCTGCAGTAGATACTAGACAAGTCTGATAAGACAGCTTTAAGGCAGTTGGGCTAGGACTCCTAGGTAATAAGGCAAGTTTCCTATACAGAGATATTTGTACATGTCTTGAATAAATCAGTTCATTGACAAAAGCTCAAACTTAAATTAGAGTAAGTATAAAGAAGCTTGAGATCTATATCTTCTGCTACCCAATATTCTGATTATCTCTAATAATACAGAGGAGCCATGCAAAGATTCCTGGGTGTTGGTAGTATCCCAGAATGTGCATATTATAAAAAGCATTTTATAATTACAGAAATCCACTAACTGACACTGAGTAGCAACAGTGTATGCATGCTAATATGTGATGTCCACCTCCAATCTCCAATGCGCTACTGATACATAGGCGGGGCATCGGTCTGGGCCCGCAACTGTGCCATCTCTCTCCTGAGATTCGCCAGCTCGGACCGCAACTCCTCCGTCCCGGACCCGCTTGTCGTGACCCCACTCCCACTCCCGCTGATGGATGGCTGTGATCGTGAATGCGCGTATTGCGAGTCCGACGCAGGCTCTTCGTTGAGCAGCCGGTCGCGCTCGAGGATCTGCGCAGACTTTTCGTGGGACATGGCAAATGGAAGGGGTGTTGTCTGGCCTGGAACAAACGACCGCCCCTGGGGCGGGATGCTACTCTGGAGCCCTATCGAAACGGGGACCGTGGATTCCGGAGACCTCCCCGACATATTCGTAGAACCCTGCGTTGTCCGACCGCCCGTCGCATCAAGACTGGGCAAACTCGGTGGTGGGCGCCATGGCCGCGGCACGGTCGTATTTCGTTCAGCATTGTCATTCCACCCTCCCTCGTCTTCTCGACGCCGTCTCTGTCTCCGCAGGAAGAAGAATAGGGCGATGCCAAATACAGTGAGGATGAATATCCCGCCAATAACACCGCCGGCAATGGCACCAACATTGGCCTTGCTGGGGACGGGCGTTGCTGTGAAGGGAAGTAATTCCTGACGGAACAATGATAGTTTTGTTGGGTACACTGAAAGAGATGAGTCTGGCGAGCTCTGCAAAGAACGATATATGCACACCTAAGGGACAGAACGGATAACATAGCACCTTGCGCGGGGGTCGCAAATCCGTTCGGGTAGGCTCCTTGCGCGACACCCGCGCCGGTTTGGTAATTGTAAATGTTGGCAAATGTGCCATTGGTCTCGTTATGAGATGCTCGTGCTCGAACACCAGATATTAATGTGTTGCGCGTGGGCGACGAGACAGATGAAATAGCCGCGGCAGTGAACAGAGTCCAGTCTTGCAAATTTTCAGACGACACAATGCGATTGGAAATGGTTGCATACCTGAACGCGTTATAGAGTTGCTGTCACTACTGAGAGGGACACCGAAAGGGCCGGTGTCTAGACAAAGGTTATGAGGGTGAGTATAGAAAGCAAGAATCCATAACATACTTGACAGTTGTGATACCTGGACCTGGTATACTGAGTCTGGAAAAGCGCCAAGACCCAATAACCGATCCGCAAAGAGGTTATACATCAGGCCCGAGGTAGCTCCCTGGTTATACTCCCAGGCCAGTCCGGTTGTTGAACCAGCGGAGTACATTGCCCTTGAAGTCCACGTTTGTGTAAGACGCTGGGCGGTGTCCTGATTCCAGTTCATCTAGTGTTCGTTGTAGATGATGAATCATACCGTATAGCTCTTTTGCGATGCTGTATCACCAATTGCTGCGCTGATTTGCGCCATCGCCCGGAGGCCGACGATGGCCTTGACTCCAAGGTTTGTGTTATTGCCATTGGTTTGATGAAGTATAGGCTCAGTGCTGTCCGCCGATTGCTGCTCGGGACCAAAGGTGTGGTTCGTGAGAAAGGCGGCATAAGACTGGAAGAGAGTATACTGCCAAGAGCTTAGAACGCGATGGAAAGAAAAAAGAAAGCCTACATATCGTGCAAGTATAGACCCATCTCCACTGCCCCGAGCGTGTGCTAGTGCGAGAATTATCATGTTGCCGGAATCTGAGTATTTCATTATCAAAAGCAAATGCGGCGATTTTGAGTAGATACATACGCTCTAACCCAACTCCCATAGTGTTCGCGGTATTTCCCGGCGCCGTTGGATAGGAAGACCCTACAAGCGTCAATCGAGAAGGGCTGGCAAACGAGCAGGATTACCTAAATCTGGGGCGGCGTAGCCAACAAGATGAGAGCTTTGGAACCGCAGTAACGGCTCAATGAGGAGCCCGATGAGACTGGAATTGAGGTATACAAGGGCAGGCATCAGCGCATATATGGTTTCCGTGGGGTTAACCCGCCTGGTAACAACTGAATAATGAGCAACGAGAGGTAGGGTCCGGAGACATACTGGGTGTTCCCCACATCTTTCATAAACGCCAACACGTCACTCGTATTAAACCCGCCCATCCCATTGAGGTTGTTTGAGACAGTGATTTCGATCCCGGCCAATGCCTGGCGAAGCCCCAGCGATATGATGTCCCCATATTCGGTGGAGACAGCGCCTGCGTCAGAGAGAATCTTCTGATCGAGGGCAATGGCCCGAGATTTGGCAGAAGGGAAGTCGATTATGAAGGCATTTATCTGTCTCTCCAACTCAGCATACGACGCTGGCAAGGAAAGAAGGCATACCGCATCTCCTATGGTCGCATATTTCGACCACCAATATCCATGCCTCGCGACTTTATCGTATGTCACCACTGGATCTCGTAACACACCCACCGCCCAAGCCACAGTCGGTATCGTGCTCACGTTGCCCAAGTCCACCATATGCGCGAGTATGGGGAACTTGCCACCGTTGTTTACTAGCCCAGACGAGGTATCAGTCAAGTCAGAGGTCAGTGTGATTGCAGTGTCGTTGGTAGCCAGAATGGGCCGAACATGCACATCCGTGCCAATGACGGTCTGTCGGCCAGGCTGATTCTAGAAGGTATTCAGCGATACAACGGGAAAAGGGTACCGGAAACACAGACTGAAGCGATAGCATGAAACGCAGTCGAATCTTCCGGCACGTCTTGGAATATGGACGATGGCGAGGTCGACTGCACTTGCAGATAGACTGCATTGGACGTTTGTTGGGTCTGCCAGTTGATTGCTGTACCCATGCCATTCGTTACCCATTCTAAGGACGGGTTAGTCCGCAATCAAGCGCACGGTCCCGAACAACACCTTACCCGCGCTGATATCGGCGTAGAGCTGCACATTGTAAATTTGCCCGTCTGTCGAGACCCCATCGACATAAACATAGCTAAACGGGAAGGACTGTCGGGCAAGGTCGGCTGGCTGCAACGGGGATCCATCAGCACGTCTATATTCGACAAGCAGGGAAGCTTACCTCGATAGGACTCAGAAACGTCACGTTGAGATCCATGGGGCCCGCGATGATGTTGAGAATGGTGCGTGTCGGGGTTATGGAAGTCGAGACCCACGTCGCAGCTTTTCCGGGTACGGGACTCCCCAGCCAGTGGTATGCGACACCGTTGACGCGAATGTAACCAGCCCAGCCGTCAATCTAGCACGCTGAGCAAGAGGCTAGAAAGCATAAAGCGATAGCTTACATGCTGGTCGTTCCAAAAGTTTGGCCAGGTTGTCATCGGATTCCCTCCACCCCTCGTATCGAGCCATGTGTTCAAAGCCGGTGAACGCACAGCGAGAGGAACGGCGGGTGGGAAGAAGGTTTGCGGGACCACTGCCGCCGCAAGAAAGGCCTCAGAGAGGAGGAGCAGTCCCAAGGGCAGCATGGCCCGTGAATGGAAAGGAAAGGGAGCGGTGGGAGCTAAGATGCACCGCCTACATCGGCGTTCTGACCAGGTATTGACGGACGGGATGTATGTGACGTGATTCTATCATCCATCACGGCGCGCGAAGATGGCTGGAAATAGCGCTGCTGCGCAAGGAGCTCAACTTGTGGAATGCAGCGCATGTGCACATCCACACGCAAGAAACCGAGAAGAACAACCGTGTACTTGAACCGCTACGGCGTACAGCGTGTGTAAGTCCACTGATCTCCAAAGAAGTCGCACGCTCTTCTACGTACAAGCACTGGTGACTGCCCTCTTGATGGAAGAATCAGTTTCACCAAGTTCCAGTCAAACCCATGTCCATACTACGACTCCATAGGTAATTGTCCAAATTGGAGTTTGGGCTTACATACACCATATCAGGCGATGCCATCATCCGATCGTCTAATCATTTTTCCACCACGACCAAGGTTTGCACCTGTGGTTTGCCCTACCATTTTTTCCTTCACTCACTCATCCGCTCACCTGCGACTTGGATGGCCTCTTTGAACTCCTACAGTACACGCGAGTTACTCATTTCTGGCTCATTGAGTGTGCTAAGACTCGTCACAGGACACTTCGGGAATCGGTGAGACACCCGCCGCGGCCCTTTCCTCATTCTCATTGCGACCACTTAGCATTAGATGGCCTTGTCGGTAGAAGATCAAATTGGGTCGTGGGTGCGTTCCGCTGGTAGCAAGCTAGCACACTCGTGCTAAATTTGGCTAACTCACCGTCGACCAGGTAGTTGGCACTTGCTTGGACTCCCTGTTTCTTGGTCTCGTCATGACTCAAGTACGCTGCCATATAACGATTTCGCTGCTGAGCTAAAAATTCGTTTAGATTGTCAGCTACTTCAATACATTCGGTCGGAACGATCCCAGAGCGCTTCGCCTATATGTGTGTGTGGGCTGGCTGGCTTGGAGTGTCTGGCGTCGACGTTCAGCTTGCAAGTCATCACCTTTAACTCGAAAGCAGTGTGCTTTGACACTCATTCCCGGTCAGCGCGCTTTCATGGCGGAAAATTGTCCTCCATTTCGATGAAACCGACAATGCAAAGGCGCCTACACCATTAGAGATTGTGATGACGGGCATATTGGGAATTCTCGTACGTCGCTGCGCATATGTAGTGCATGATATTCACTTCTCTTGCTCAAGGCGTTTACCACCGTATGGTCGGGCCAGGGTTACTACCTCTATCGCCTCTATAATCTGTCGAATAAGAACTGGTGGATTGTCATCGCCATTGCCAGCAGCGCATTCATTTCCTGCGTATTGTGTATCACGGCGGTAGGAACTGTTCAACCACAGCCTGAGATCTCTCTCATACTGCCTCTAGTGTGCGCTTTATGTGGGCAGGGGTCTCACCACCGCCGTAAATCTTTGTTCGTCATTCAACCCTGCTGTATCAACTATCTTACTCAAATACTGTCCCCTCCAGACTACTCAGCTTATCCTATCGTAATCGGTACGCGGAATCGTCATTTGCTACTCCATTAAAGCATTGGTATAGTCGCCGATGTAAGCCTTAGTTTATCGACCACCTTTTACCTCCTTCGATTCCGCCACGATGCTTCTCCGGACACAGCCAACACTGTCCGCTCCCTCGTCCTCTTTATATTTCAAACCGCTGCTCCAGGGACATTCATGTGAGTTATTCGACCGTCTCACGCAATTCCACTAATTTGGTCACCATCATCCTTGTCCTCATTGCAGTATTGCCCGATACGTCGCAGATCCCTGGTGGGAGTCTCATGATTCTGGGAAAGTTTGGGCCTTTTCCATCCTGTGGACCCTCAACGCGCGCAGTACCACTCGCAAACGGCTCCGTCGCTCCGTCTTGAACTCGACACATGTTCTCGCTGTGGGCGACTCGCGTGCCGTCTTTTCGACAATACGTTTCCGGACAGAATCAGGCGCTCGTCCTAGCAGAACTGCTACGGTTTGCATTAACCGCTCCGCCCAACCCACCGAATCTGACCTTCGTCAGGAATCCGACTTGAACGAGTCGATGTCCACTGGGCAGCCAACGAGGCTAGAAGAACCTTCTATATTTGAAAGCGATGGTGTCAGCGACATTAGCTCGTTAGCTTGCACTGTTGGGGGTGGACCTGTGGCTCGGAAGGGGATATCGGAACCAGGTCCAGTTAGGTGACTGATGACTCTGAATCATAAGTACTTGTGCTGGTCTACATATGTACTAACTTTGTACACAACCGCCGCCAGTAGTCGTAGCTGTACTCGAGGTAGAATATAATAAATTTGAAAATTTGCACGTGTGAATCCTGATGTCACAATGACTCACATCTCTTCTTCCTCTTGTCTTTTTCCACAGTTTTCGACTCGGACTCCACTCCAACAAACGCGATGTTAGAATGGTGCAAGACCATTCGCCGGCGCGCGGTAACATTGATACTGCTTGGCTCAGAAATCATTCTATATCCTGTCTGAGACAACCCGCGCTTGGGGCCCCTCCTGTCGAGGAGATTGGCTCTCTTTTCCCGTTGGGTACATGTCGACCTCAATAGTCTCTCCCTCGATACCCCAGACTGTCGGCGCTCGAGTGCGTTAGATCCGGGCCAGTCCAAATTGCAACTGCTAACAATTGTGTCTAGCTCGTCGGCACAACGCTTGACCTTCTGCTCCTGGGACTAGTCTCTGGTCAAGTGTGTACTCGCCGCTGGCAGCTCTAGCGCCTCGTTATCCTAACTCTCCACGCAAGATTGCCAAATATTGGGCTCGACATCGACATCGGCGTCGTCGACTGGCCGATCCCTTGGTCCTTCGCGTTTACGTGGCCTGGTTGGCCTGTTTGATTTGGTGCAAGTCTAGTTTAAACTTGTGAGTTCCGCCCGGTATTTTGCGCATCGTCGATTTCTTTTAACTGTGCCCATACTTAGTGCCTTGGTGTGGCAAGTCGTCATCGTCCACTTCGGCGAGGCTCAAGATCCAAGTATTTTGCTCATGGTCAACGACGTCGAGCGCCATCTCTTCGGAGTGCTGGCTATTCTTGTGAGCATCTTCTTAAAACAGCCCTTCCCATGTGCGATTGTTCGCTGACATCTGAGTCCACTAGGTTATCACTATCGTTTGCACTTCGCAGGCTTATTACATCCATCGACTCTATATCATTTCGAACAAAAACCGGCCCCTTGCGATCACTATTAGCGTCATGTCCTTCACATCTTATCTGCTAAGTGTGCTCTCGGTAACTGGATTCCTCGAGTTCACTTAAGTACTTACAAGCCGGTAACAGGCATCACTTTTTATGACACCTGCCATTGTCACCGCCCACTCCGAAGTTGAGCTTGCAACAAAGTTCTGTGAGTATATAAGCTAAAATTCTCCACGTACATTGCTAACTAATTAAATGCGCAGTATTTGCCGCTTATCCGCTAGTTATTGGTAAATCTGCCTCGAATCCAAGACGCGCCAGGCTTACTGACTGTATCCCTGTTAGTTTGCGATCTCAGTCTCACACTTATAACCGCCATCTTCCTCTTCTATTTCCGTCGGCATGTTCACCCTACAACGGCTACTGTGCTGACCAGGCTCATCGTCTTGATAATACAGACTGCCGCCCCAGCAACGATTGTGTAGGCACCACTGAACCGCTCTTGCAGTCATAATGATATACTGACGCTCCGTAGAACAGTCATCAACTTCGTCTTGACTGTGACTTTGCCTCATTTCTCGCAAATTCCGCCATCGGGGGTTCTGTCGGTCGGCAGCATCTGGGCCTTTTCGGTCATGTGGTCCATTAATGCGCGCATCGACCCTGGGGTGCAATTGCCCTCTACATGCCATGGTGGTGTTTCCGATATCGTCGCGTTGTCTTCCCAACCTAGTCTCATCGATAAAGTGGGTGCACGCTTGGTAGCCGTTCTTGCAAACTGAATATTCTCCTTAGGGTTCACCCACACACAACCTTCAAGTTCGTCGACCAAAACCACGAGCCAGCAAATCTACCCATTCCGACGCCACTAGTTGTGTCTTTGTTGGCGCAAAATCAAATTATCTCGTGAACAGAGATAGTACAAAGCGCAGACCCTCCTGCGTGTCGAGAGTTGACTCAGAGGATAGTGATGTCGAGCTGAGTTTTGTTCCGCCGAAGCGGGAGGGTATGCCAGGTATAGATAGAAAGTATGCTAGGCCCGATTCTAGCTTGGAAGTTGTATAGAATCTCAAAAATATCATCAAGCTAACAGTGCTGAAGTTAAAGAACACAATCGAGTAGTATGTAGTACAAAGTATATGAATTATCAGTGCAGACATTAAGATGGTTAAAAGTAAGGTGAATTAAGAAGTATTAGGTCATGCTGTCCGTCAAGCGGTATGGAAACGCCAGACTTCAGGCTGGCCAGGGCTTGACGGGTAGTAAGATGATGATGGTGGGGACAAGCCGCGGAACCGGGTATGGCCCATAAGAAGATCGACACGGCGAAGACCGCCTGCCTTTTCTTCTTCATAGCCTCGATGACCGCGCAGACGCATGTAGCGGGCGGCATATGCGTCCCGGACGCGGCGCATGGCGGTGGCGCTGCCAAGCTTCTCGTACTCCTCGCGAGACACGTGCGCGCGGAGGGCGGTATATAGGCCGCTGAGGACGTCCGCGACGGTGACAAAGCCCGTCTGTGCCGAGGCGGAAATGGATATGGCGTAGGGCAGGTGGGATGAGGCGAGCACGAGCGTGCTCTGAGGTGGGTAGGTTGCAGGTTCGTAGAGAACAGATGCGGGGAGCTGGGAGGTGTGGCTGGTCATCGTGGAGGGCGATAACGTGAGATCATAGTGGAGGAGCGGGTGCTCGTCATAGGCCATAGCTCGGTGGGCAACTGCTTGATGGCGATGGCTTGGTGCCGAAAGGGTATGTGCGCGACGGGGACCGCCATATCTTGTCGAAGAGGGAGGGGAAGACTGCGGGAGGCTGGTTGGTTTCAATTGCGGAGAGTAGTATGTGTTTTCAGTGGAGAAGCGGACGTGTCTTCCTGGCATGCACTTGGGGGAGAAAAATAGCCTCTGTGGGCGGTTGATGATACAACGGGGCCACGAGATGCCCGCTTTTAAGCTCTGACGCTATCATATGTCCCGACTGCTGTGTCAAAAACAGCCTTGATAAGCGCAGTGAGCACAAGACGGATGGGACCCATATGGAGATCTAGCGCCGCAACCCCCACTCTGTTCGTTGACAGTGTAAATTCCTTTACATTGCACGTTCCACAGCTTTTGCCACTTTGTGGAGCGGAGGACAGTCGGAGGCCGGAAGAACGGCCATGGAATGTCAATGCCGCTAGCATAGTCGGCGTTGCGTCACCGTTCCGGCTGTGCGGGATTGGCGGTGAAAGTCCGATTACCGCATTAGGGAGGGACAGTGCGTGGCAAGACTGCGAGCATCGTGTTTCTTGACTCTGTTGTTGTCTTTTGACAGTGGCGGGTGGCCAGCAATTCAGAAGTAGAAAGCGCCTCTTCAGCACCGTTAGCCAGAGTGGAGCAAATTGTGCGAGTCATCTTGGAGTCAAATGGCCGATGCGCTGATTTTGCTGATACTGATTGGTGTTCCGCCCATGGTCCGGTACGAGGTCAGGCGACGCGTCATCGATATCAATATGGCCAGGGTCCAGCACACCTGCAAGAGTTTGTATATTTGTCATTTGATTCTTGCTGGAACATCTTGAAGTCGTTGAAGAGTTGAAGTTGCTGTTGACGAAATGATGGTGTGACGAATTTCGGTCACGATCCTTCACCTCGACGACGCCGACAGCGACGACCGCGAGGAGTCGAACTCGTGTGCCTCTAGCTTTATGCTCTCGCCGTCATCGTTCTCGTTTTGATTCTTTTCTCATGAAGGAACAGCACATCTCTCGAAAATGTGAAGGTGAGTGCTTACTCCTTGGCTCCTGCCGTGGCGTCAACTAACCCGACCTCTCCTAGTGGCTGAGCCTCCCTTCATTCCTCACATCGGACCACTCCCGGAAATCGGCGTTCTCAAGCGGGACCGTGCCGCGTAATCCTATCGTCGCCCTGCTATAACATCTCCATCCCGACTATTTCTGCACCAGCATTCGTTCTTGGAAGACCACATTCGCTTCGTGAGTTTTGGGACTATGCTTATTCTCGTCTGACAACAAGTCTGATAGTCCGGATGCCTACGTTTTTCGACGCACTCGACTGTCTGCAGCTCGCTCAGTTTTCACCTCGTAGTGTTTGCGGCATCTAGCCTCGTGGGGAATTACATAGCAGTTATCCGTGCGTTCCTGCTATTACTTGTCTGCCTCTTCTCTGACCTATAATTTTTTAGTCGCTGATTTAAAGTTGCTAGCTTTCAAACTCAAGGAACTATGGACCTGACAGCATGAGATGGATATATCCCTGGACCCAGATACTTGGCTTAACGCCTCAAGTGCGTAGTCGAAATAATGTCAAGTTACGAAAGGCTTACCATCCTTCAGCTGTTGGAGTCATCATAATCGACAGCTTACGAGCGGTGGCAGAGCTAAGACGCTGCGGCACAAATAAGAAAGGGACTGGTGCATCGGAAGAAATTGGTGGTTGAGGTTGACGATCACGGTGTCGAATCTCGCTGGAGCCTCACCAGCGGTTCCGCGTGTTGCAGGGCCTTGGACTGTCCCGAAGTTGTATACCCGAACGGATAGATGCGTCTTCCCTCTATAGCCAGCCATATCCGTACATTTGCTTCCGTCCAGATAACAAAGAGAAGAGATGCTCAGTCGGCAATCTCGGCCCGACGTCGTCAGTGGGCAAATCCTTTGCTTTCAAATCGCACCTTCTCACTCATCCACCACCACCATGCCTGCCGTTGCAACCGGGAAAGTCCTTGTCTCTGGAGCCAACGGCTACATTGCAGTTGTGAGCATCCGTTTCCCGAGGCCTTCATTGCTGGATGCATGGCTCACGGTTCCTGACAGTGGGTGGTCCGTTCGCTGCTTGAAGCCGGTTTCTCAGTTCGTGGGGCTGTACGGTCTGCGGATAAGGGCGCCCATTTGAAGCAATTGTTTGCGTCGTATGGCGAAAAATTTGAGCTGGTTATAGTGCCGGATATTACCAAGGTGCGGTTGTTGACCACCCTCGTCGCAGGCTAATGTTATTGCAATTCAGGAAGGCGCTTTTGACGAGGCGGTCAAAGGGGTGGATGCTGTTGAGCACACTGCATCGCCGTTTCATATGAATGCGGATGACCCGGCGGGCAAGTGAATCGTTTACCGGGTTGTTTCGCTCTGACAAGCTTCGGCTCTAGAACTGCTTGAGCCTGCGATCAAGGGAACAGAGGGAATCCTTTATAGCATCATGAAGCACGCGTATGTTCATCCTGCTGCATCTACTACTGATTTACATGGGATTGGTTGCTCACAGACCCACTGTGAGGCGTGTTGTGGTCACGTCCTCTGTTGCAGCTGTCTTAAGCATGCTCGATAAGCCAAAGGTGTTTGACGAGCGCGACTGGAATGACCAAGCGGTCGCCGAGGTGGCAGAAAAGGGAAAGGAGGCCAATAATGGATCGAAATATCGAGCGTCAAAGACACTGGCCGAGCGCGGTAAGTAATTTGCTCTTGTCAACAATGAACGATGAATGCCAACGTTCTGGTAGCGGCTTGGAAGTTTATGGAAGAACACAAGTCACAAATTGGGTGGGACCTCGTCTGTCTAAACCCGCCACTGGTCCTCGGTGTATGTTCCATTCGAACGTTTGTATGGAGACATAAAGACGTTAAATACGCTGCTATAGCCCGTCATCCACGCCGTATCCTCCCCTGACGCGCTCAACACATCTGCATTGATGATGTGGGAGGCCTTCACGAAGCCCGGAAAAGCTGTCGGCAGCGGGTCATTTGTGGACGTCCGCGATCTAGCCACGGCTCACGTGCAAGCGCTCATGAACGAGCCGGCTGGGGGAGAACGCATTATTGTGTGCGCAGGGCCATTCTGCTGGCAAGACTGGCGTATGTACTTGCAATTGTGCTTCGAAGGTTCATTCGCTAAAGAGGTTCCACAGTGGACGTTGTCCCTGCTTCGAACACCAACTACGAGAAAGGAACACCTGGGGCAGGGAAAAGTTTTGTCCACTTGATCATTTTTGAAAATGGAAAGGCAAAGAAGCTGCTGGGTCTGGATTATCGCACGATGGAGCAAACAGCCAAGGATACGTTGGAGGACTATGAGCAGAAGGGGTGGATTGCATAATCGTAGTGCAGTATGCAGTAGGTAGTAATACCTATACTAGGTATGTACAGTAGAACAACCAGTAAGCTGCTAGTAAGTATGAACATGAATAAGTAAGTATGGACATGAATAAGTACTTCATTATGATAATGAGGAGTAGTACTCGAATGGAGGATAATCATATTGACGTGAAGCGATGGACGAACTCAGAGCTTCTTACTTATTAGCATCCATATGAGCCGCTCATCTTGAAGGTCCCTTCGTCCGGCTGGTAGCGTACGTTAACGGAGCCTCGAAGGTAGAGTGAGCTGTAGCTGTGATTCGTGAAGAGCCTCTGTCAGTCGCAGGGTCCAGGAAGTTGAGGAAAGCCGTACCGAGCGGAGGCCTTGATTCTGCCGATAATATCTTCAAATTCCGCGACGGTGTATTTGTGCATTTTCCATTTGGGTGGGGCAGAAAGACCGAGCAGTGCAGCAAAAACAGCGGCATCTGGACATACGCCATCATACGACCACTTGGCGGTGCCGGTCTTGCAAGAGGGCTTCCACTAAGAACATCGGGGTTAGCAAAACGTAGGGAACAGTGCGAGCCTGAGGAGAGCACACACCGACATCTGTTTCTTGATCCCCGACACACAAGCACTCTGTAGCTTTTCCGCCCGTCCAGCAACTTCAGCAGGACTCTGCTCCTCTGGCTTGCTCTGTTCAACAGCGCTTTCCAACCATCGAACATATTTCGCCACTTTAAGAGCGTCAGCGGCGCCAAGACCGTCAGAGGCATCGCCGTCAAGCACGGCCTCGACAAGCTCTTTTGCGTCGGTAAAGTCGGTATTAGATCTGGCACGCTTGCGTGGGCCTGTGCCTTCTTCTGAAGCGCGTTTCGTACCAGCCATAGAGTCAAGTGAAAGAGTAAAAAACGCGTGGTGTCACTGTCACTGTCACGGTGGTCAGGGTCGCGGTTGTGTCCTCGAATTCAAATTTCACCCCCGTTCCCATGACAGCTCTGTCGGGGAACCGGATGCGAGCGCCAGATTCAGATTCGGTCCGTGACCCCCACAAAAGAAAAAACACTGGCAGATGGTACTTATTCCATTGTTGCCTACTATAGACACATGCTCCCGACTATTGCCTCCTAAATATACTTTTCTTGCAGCCATGGTCCATTTTTACCGTCCATCAATGATTGTTGTTGCGTCCTCATCTCGTCCGGCACCAGACTGCCACTAAGTAGTGCCACACGGGCCACCACAAGGCCACCGCCCACGCACAAGTATAAATGCTCACAGTCAGCTTCCACGGACCCTCCATTCTTCCCTTCATCCGGCAGAGCCGTTTATCTTTCTCCACCAGAACTTGACGTGCTTTCCTACCTTTCGTTCTGAATCGTTCCTCAATCAAACATGAAATTTTCAATTGTTGCTGCCATTCTTAGCCTTGCTGCGACCGTTGTTGCCGGACCTGCGCCTCTGTTTTTGCGGGACGGGACATGCGATATCAAGAGTGAGTGATATTTGGTCACCTCTCGATGGCCAAAGCTCACTTAATCCAGGTTGTGTCCTTGATCTTGGACCCAGCGTCCTTGGCTGCGCCTCTGCTATTGCTCAGCTTGGTGCCGGTGCGTGACGAAAACGCCACCCGCCGCCCGATTCTCTAACTCGACACCAACAGACCCGTTCTCCGACGCCGGCTGCCTCATCGCTGCGGCCAAGGATGTGAAGCAGTTTCCACCATCCTGCAACGGATGCGCTGAGCAGTTCGGCGTCACGGAGGCCATCGGCAAGGCCGCCTCCTCCGTCGAAAGTGGCCTCGAAAGCATTGGCGGGGACATTGCTGGACTGTTCTAGTGTATGACAAAGTATCGTTGGAGGGCGATGATACAAACAAATCTAATCATGTAGTGTACATGGTCGGCTGAATACAGAAAGGGAAGAGTCAGTCGACGTATTAAAAGGATGGGCCACGCGAGAAAACAGATCATCGATGACCTGGGGCGGCATCCCAGGCATAGGCCCCCTGCCCTTCGCCTCCTGCAAAGCCTGTGTCGAATGCAGGTCCCCGGCCTGGACTGGCAAGTTCTCCTGGCCCAAGTTGGAGAGGAGCGTTGTCCGTGTAGAACCACGCGCCGGAGTCCATAGGCCGATGCCCATACGTTGTTTCTGGTTGCGAAACTTGGGTCATTTGTGTTTGGATTTGGCCACTGCTTGTCCCAAAGCCAAACGACGCAATCGTCGCCCGTTCTCGTCTGCTTCCGCCGCCACTACTACTCCAACTGCCCCGATTCGGGCTGGTATATGGATCGCTTGTGTTCCACCCGCCAAAACGCGACATGCGGGCAGCTCGCTGGGCTTCCCGGCGACGGCGAAGAATAAAGCGAAGGATGAAGAGACCGACAAGGGCGGCAAAAACGAGGGACAAGATGACAGCAAGTCCAATAAGCCCCCGATTGCGACCTGTAGTGTTCGAACCAGATGTGGCATTTGAATTGGACTCCGTGGAAGGAGATTCATTGCTGGGTGAAGAAGATGGTGATGCAGGGAGAGTTTTGAAGGCGGGGAGAGAGTTGCTTCGGGTGGTCGAGGCTTCGGGGATTACAGAAAGAACGAAGGAGCTGCGAGGGGAGTTAAGTCTTCTTGTAGCGAGTTGCAAGAATTGTAATAAACGAACTTGAATAAGCCGCGATTTGAAGTCGTCGTCGATTTAGTGCTATAAAATTAGTCATCAGTAAATGCAGTCTGTGTTGGTGGACTGCGACGTACTCGGTGACTATGCCATCTATGAGGGTCGTATTTTCATTTCCAGCTGTGCCAGCTGCACCCGTGTTAGATGTCGGAATAGCACTTAAGGTATTTTTGGTTGTTGTTGTCGTCGTGACCAACAACGTCGTTGTCGTTGTTCTAACGGATATGAGGTTGCTGGAATTCATGATGCATGCAAATAGACATACGGCGGCCTCTTTTCCGTCGTCGTTTCCTCTGGTGGAGGCCCCGGCTTCGAATCCTGGTGGTCCGAGTTACCAGAGCCCGAATCGACGATTGTCAGCTGCTTCCCCGCTTCTAGCTGAGTGATAGTGTCTCCAGGCGAGAGTCTGTAGCGTTGGAATAGGTATATTGAGCACAGAAGAACTAGTAGAATAACGCACGATAGCTGGGAGATCGGCGCGAGCAACACTTGGCTGCAGTAGCTTTTAACACAGGTGATTGGTGAAGAGAGTGGAAGCACGCACCCAGCCGTCCTGAAGACTACTCCAACCGTCCCACTGCTCTCGCCGCTGGGGTTTGCTATAGGGGTGACCGCAAGAACACTGTCGGTTTGCAAACTTCGTTGCATGACGCCAAACGACTGGGGGTCGCTAGCGTCGCGTGACCATTGGACAAGAACGATGTTGCCGACGGGAAAACGGTCCCCAGTCAGAGTCAGCGTTAGTGCATGGCTTTGAGCACAGGCAGAGAGCACGCTAAAGTGTAGATCCTTCAATAAGGGCACAAGTGGACAATCCGCAACGCACAAAAGCAATGTCCGAAGAAGGGTGGGCATCGAAAGCAGCCCGCTGCTGTACACCAGCTACGCTTTGAGGTTGGGAATGACTAGAGCGGGGAGGGTAGACGGTGGGGGTAGGAGGGAAGGAACACGGGCTAGGGCGTTCAACGCTTTCGACGTGTTCGTATGAAGAGCAAATGGACTTGCTGATCTGAACGCGTGCAGTGAATGAGGTGCATGGAAACCAGTGTGCTTGGCGCTGTGGCAGATGAGTCGCGACCGTTGTAGATCCTGGGGTGTGGAAATCAGGGACATGTCAAGAAAGGTTGTTGAGGACTGTTTGGTCTGCGGATCACTCGCTGGTCGATACCGCGAAAACCTCCTCAGCTATTTGAACTTCCAAAGACCTTCGGAATCGAGGAAGGAAATAATCTGAGTATGCTTTACATAGCTTCTCAACCGGAATCCAGAAAAGTGGAAGAATACCGTGACCGGCCGACGACTTCGGGCACTGGGCGTAACGGCGTTGGCCGGGCGCCAGGCCCTGACCTAGACTAATTTACCTCCAATTTGCCCATCTCACAAGCTCACAATCAAATCCTCGATTGAACCTGGGACAACTTGCACATTGCAGCCTTGTAGCGGTCCGTGAGTTTGTCCGAGTCAAGGACATATATTATGTACACTGTGGCATATAAACCATTACTCCTAAGCAGCCTAAGCAGAACTTGGACTACTTTGGTTCTCATACGCCGGAGGAGGCTGGGCGCTGTTCAACTCTCTAACATGTTCCTCCAAGACCGCGAGTCTCTGCTCCAGGAACTGCTCCCGAGCGGACACAACTGTTGGCGCGATCGTCCGCCGCTCATGATCGCCCTCGTCAGTCGGCGATATTAGGAAGCTTAAGGCTGAGGGCGGGGCCGTTGGTGTCGAAGGCGTCACGTTGGCGGAAGTACTAGTAGATGCCGAAGCGACGAAAGTTGAAGGCAGGGATTCCGAAGGCGACGTAGAGCTCGTATCGACTGGAGCAAGAATAAGGATCCCGACTCAAACGAAGGGAGACGATGGGACATACACATTTTGGTCCTGCCTACGGTTCCCGGCAGCGCTGATTTCCCTATAGTGGCAGCAGAGAGAAATGAGCTTCCAGCGAACGTGGAAGATCCTTGTGTGGGGGTGGAGAGTGGCCTGGTTCTCGCTGCGAGCGAGACGCTCGGAGCTCCAAGCTCGCTAGGCTCATCGACGTAGGGCCGGACATCTTCCTTGCTCGGCATATCTCGCGTCAATGCCTGTTGTCGCCGCCTGCAGAAGAAGAGCGCCAATATAGCTAGGAGGACGCCAAATAATCCTCCAATGACACCGCCTGCAATAGCCCCAGCATTGGGTTTCGAATGCCCGGAGTCGGGAGTTGTTGAGCTAGAAGAGTTAGATGGCCTATTGAGCTCCTTGTCAGGCAAAACCTTTCAGTAATAGTTATGGGGTGTAAACACACACATTTGCGCCGCGACTCTGATCACCGCATAGTCAAACAACGCTGTCGTCCCATTGCGACTACTCTTTTCCACAAGCCACGAGATAGTATGATTTCTGGGGTTCCCGTCGGGGTCGGTGGGCAAATCCGTGACGGAAAACAACAGGGAGTTGAATACAAACTGTTCGTCTCCGTTGTAATAATGGGAGTCCGTTTTGTTGACGCCAGAGACGCTGAACGATATATTCCCGCCGTTGGCTAGGTCGATCCCGTATATCCACGCGGCAGTGCCTACAGATTAGCGTGCGTTATGGGCGATATACCAGACCCACCAATGAAAGTTAACTGCCCTACGCCACCCTGTGTCCCGTCATGCCACGTTCTGTTGTGGATGCTTTTCGGTTGAGGCTGCGCGGAGCAGAAATTACAGGGCGTTTCCGGCGTTATCGCAGTCCACGCTGGCGTATTGGCGACAGCATCGCTCCACCAGAAGTAGTTCAGGTCCGTGTCGTCGACGGTCAAGTTGGTCAGCGTCACCGCCATGACCGAAGGGAAAAGGAGCGTGGGGGCGAGGACGGGGACGCGCATAGGAAAACGATGGTGAAGAAGAGAGCAGAGCCAGCACAAACAAGAACGAATATATTTTGAAAGCAAGGGTCCGTCCGTGTGCTGGATTTGATGGACTAATTCCAAAATGCGCCGTCATCGAAAATGCCGGGCGATCCCAAGGCGATCCAGGGGACTCGGACGTGTCGGGTCGATCGGATTGCGAACGAAAGCGGCAAGAACGAGGTACGGTTTGTATCTACGCCTTCAATCGTGCTTGAGGATTGGTCAATTCCAGTACCTAACCCGACGAAGACTCTCTGCGTCATAGCTGAGCATGGCCATGTGGACTAGAGCTGACTAGAGGATGAAGGAAGGGCAAGAGCAAAGACACACGTGTCACTAGAGTCTCGAAGATCTTTATCATACTCTACAATTTCGTCCTGAAATGCGTACGGTGTCTGTTATAACTACAAATCGTCAACGTCAAAACTGGTAAGATAGGATCGGTGTCTGTCTATTCATCCATCGTTCGCTGCAACGTGGCCTCCTCCCGTCGACAAGTGCATTTTTTCTTTGACCTTTTGGACTAGTCTCGATCCCTTTCCACCCAAGAAACCATCGCGGTTCCGCTCCGAGCCGTGCTTTCCATCAAGTTCTTCCGCAGAAATTGAAGTCGACGCAGAATCGAAAGCAGTCTTCTCCGCTGAGGGCTTGATCGGATGCTCCTCGGCAATGACAGGAACGGGAACGGGCGTTAGAGGGGTTTTTGGCTGCTCAAGATCAATGGCTTGACCAAGGTCTGCGGAAGAACGATGCGAATGGGATTTGGCAGTCGACTTGTCCTTGGCTTCTCCATCGGCAGAATCATCAAGAGACGAGGTGTCGAAGCGAACGGACCCCCGTCGGAATTTCGCTGGCTTTGTCGGAATCTGAGCCACCACGTTTTCCTCCTTCACTTCCTGTTTGTCCCCATCCAGAACGAACTCCTTCTCTCTGGCATGCATCCACAATGTCCCGGATGATCTCTCAAGCTCATTCTCAGGCGACATCGTGACTCCCTCGTCCATTTTTACAGGAAAATAAGCTCCAGCATGAGTGACTGGTGGAATGGGTGTGAATGGCGGAGGGGCTTGACCGTCATGAATGGATTCGTTTGTGATGGGCGGCTGGTCGTTGTTTGTGGAATGAATGGATGGAGGAGAACCGAGGGGCGAGTAGCCAAGTTCGGCAGGCTGTTTCATGGACTGACTATCGGTGTCGCTAGACAACTCGCTTGGGGCGAGGGAAGACGAGGTTGGTTGACGAGAAGGGGAGGTACTATCCGAAGGCTCTCCCATGCTCGAAGTTGCGGGCGTGTTGTTGGGAGCAACAAGAAAGAGAGACATTGTGGATTCGACACTGGCGGCGTTGGGATTCGGGGCTTCCAAGGCTGGAGGAGTAACAGATGATTCTAAAAGGTATTCAAGTTGGTGAAGTGATATGATTTGGACAACGCACCAACGTCGCTTGCGTTGTCGGCACCTTGAGCACAAAGTTTTTTCAGAGAAGAAGAGTGAAAGGTAGACGGTATATACGCACAGGAATCTAGGTCGCCTGTACCGTGACCATCGAGCCCCACTGCGAATAATCGCGCCGAAATGGACGCTGCAAAAAGAGCGAGGTCAGATGAATGGCGTGCAGGCACGACAGGAGATATACCTTCATCGATGGGGAAATCATCATTGTAGCGAGTCTTGCTCATGCCTCCTGCACCCTCAGCGTCAAGCGGGAAGGCCCCAGGAACCTTTGGACCTGGCGACTCCAACGCCTCGCGGGCAGAGCTTTCGGGGCAATTGATGCGAGGACGCGTAGGAGTGTCCATTTGCGAGCTAAAGAAGGGGGGTAGGTTTGACGAGATGGAGGATGGAGGCAAGGCCCGTCGCGGGTGAATGTCTCATACGCGCCTCCATTGCTGTTGGCAAAACGGATGGCGTAGTGTGACGTGACGACGACGATGACGACGCTGTCACACAACCAATCTCTGTTCTTCTCTGTTTTCAAAAAACTTGGTGCGTAAAATCCTTTACTGTAAGTATCAGTCTCCAAGCTTCAATACTTGTGGTTTCTGAATCCCACCTGCTCCACGATCTGAGGAGATAGGTGGCACCCGTTTTTTTTTTTTTGTTAAATATGACCAGCAGATGCGACGTTGTCAATGTAGACCATTGGATATGAATATTACGCGTACGCTGTATACCAATCGCACATCTCGGGAACCCTCAAAGTCGAGCTACCACTCCACGTGAAAGAGTCAACGCCGAAGACTCCTGGGCCTTGCACTGATATCTCTGCACAGGAAATCGAAGAGAAAATGGCACAAGACGCTCTTCGATCTCAGAGAAGTGATCCTGTCAACACCCTTTACTTGCTGAGGTTTTCGTTTGACGTAAAATGCCGCTGAGGGTGCTGTTGGATCGAAGGGCCATGCGGGCACATGCAGGCGCCTCCGCCACTCCCTTGGTCTACTCGGTAGTTGGTTTTCTGTGGCCTGCCTATCTTGCGCTGATTGACCTTTCGGAAAAGCAGTAATCTCAATAAGTTGCGAGCTTCTGATAAATCCATAACTCGCTCTCGCACAGGGATTTCAAGGCCTTCCGTGAACGTTATACGTTCGGTCGTCATAAGTAGGCGCGATTGTGTCTATGGAATGCCATCGATCAGCATCTGCGCTGCCTGCTAGAAAACACAACGAGACACGGTGCGGCAGACCCGGGTTTGAGCGTTGCTCTTGACCGACTGTTCCGACGGCAGTTCTTTCCAACTCAGCATGCATTCCGCGCCCTCTCACACGGATCACACTCCGCAAGCCGTCGGATGCCAACTGCGCACCCCCGGTGGTAACGACGATGGCGATGGTGCACTGTTCCGCAAGCTATGTTCACTCTGTATAGGTTATCCTCGCTTATATACGGTGGGCATAGCACGAGCGATGTGCATCACCGATATCGATATCGACATCCGCATGGATTGAAACAGCGCCTGAATGACGCTACTTTTTCAGATCCCCGAGGTCCCCGGTGCGGCCTGTCACCATGATCGCAAAATGATCGACACAATTATACGTCGTTCAGATCCCGAATATATCTACATCGTGTGCACGTTCCGCTGTCGATGATATAGTACTATTCAATCTCTATTCAATCTAACAAACTAAATACGGCAAGGACACCCCTGTTGACCCGCCGAAAATCCTTCGATATTGAGCGCAAATTGAGCGAGGTCGCGGTGAAATGCGGCGGCGCCGTGGGTGTAGACATCAGATTCTCTTTCAGTGAACCTGCGAATCAACTGTGAATCAACTTAGAATCAACCGCGAATTCCTGCGAATCCCGCTGTAGATCGGAGCATGGCCGTGATGTGAGTGGATACGGGCGCCGGTCGGGGGTATTGCAGTTCCCCGGGCCGTCTAGTCACGTTCAAGAAAATGGCCTTATCGCCGGGCACGTGGACGCGAAGGCTTGCCAGACGTCGCTGCAAGGAGAGAACTGTCTTTGTCTCTGGTGGGCGACATCTCTGCGTCTGTCGACGTCCCAGGGGACGTTGGAGAGCCAACATGATTCCGGAGATGTCGGCGCATGTTCGAGTTGACATTGAAGGCTCGCCCGCAGCCTGGGTGTGGACAGCGAAAGGCTGTGAGATCAGTCAGCTTGAACAAAGAAAGACAGTTGGCAAGAAAGACTGACGAGTCGCGCCCGTGTGTGTGTTGATGTGAATGCGCAGACTGCTGGGACGGTTGAAGCGTTTCTGGCAGGTCGGGCAAATGTGTTTCCGAGCGGACATGCCAGCCTCATCGTCGATGTCCCCATCAGCGAGGTCAAGTGAGCCATCTTCCGCATCCAAGCTGGTTTCCGAGTGCAGAGGGGACTGGGAGCGTGAGCTTGATGACAACCCGCGGGAAGGCGAACGCCGCGAAGACCGTGACCGCTCAGGGTCGCGGCGCAAATCGGCCATGGTCATTGGGGGCGATAGAGAGGGCGAATGCGCATGGAAATTTGTCCTCTCGTTGCTGTTGCTCAGAACATCCAGCAAGGCGATTGTGGGGCGTTGTGCGTTAGTGGAGTAAGGGTGTGGGCGTGTGTATGGCTTGAGTGGCGCCGTCTGCGGCGTCTGGATGTTGTGGGTATATGGTCGCTGGAGATGCATTAGATGTTCGGGAAACATCTCATGGATGCTGGGGAGCGAAACTAGGTTCGTCGAAACTGGTGCAGAGGTGGTCATGGTCAGGATGAAAGAAGCGGACAAGGGTGCAAACTGTCAGCCTGTGTTCGCACGGACGGTTATAAAGCGGCCTCTGACCCTTTGCTTACCACGGACCAGCCAACACCCGCTGATTGTTATTCCCGGACAGCAGCCGATTTCCTCTGCGGCAACAACGATCGCCGAAATGGGGTTAGATTTGGCGCCCAGCCCGCAGAACCAAACGGAGGATCGACGTACGCCAAAGTGATTGACATGGCACGCTACCCGTCAATCATAAGCTCAGCAATGGCGCCTTTCTTCGGCGGCGCGTTCTGTGTTTGGCCCTTTACTTGCCTGATCGTTTCTCCGCCCTCACGGGCGCGGTAGTCCCTCGAGCTCCCTGCTCAATGCAGCCACCGGCCGCAGCAGCGACCCGTTTCCCCCTCTTTTTGCTCTCTTTTTCGCTCGCCGATCACAATGACAACTGCGGATTACGCGTTGCTTTAAGATCTGCGGTGACCAGTTTCTCCGTCCCCTCGGATATCGATGATCACATCCACATCGATCCTCAGGGCCGAGTAAGTCATCGGTGGCCGGCGCAAGGTAAATTATTCTGGCTGTCTGGCTCTGGGCGGCCGTCTGGGCATTGACCGCCCTCTCCACATCCCACTCTTAGTACGCCCTTCGGCCGAGCCAAACGTGTCGCAGGCCGATCCCGATCCGATGCCGTGCGGATCTGTGTTTAGCAATCAATACTATCAGTGACCACGGTCGCGGCCCGGTCCTCAATCATCGGAGCAATTGATGATGGTGACGAGCCTCAAGGTCCCGACTTGCGGAAGATCGAAAGCAGCACATCCATGCTTGGCTACACCCGGCATCCGATCACAAGTATTGCAACAGAAACCATTCAGTCACACTTTTGACGTGTGGCGACGATTGCCGACTGCCAAGCAGGGACCCCAGGCCACCGTGGTACCTTCGGCGTCCGTGCCGACAGCACGTGACACTACACGTCACCGATCCTGCCAGCGCACACCTTCTCTCAGCACCACGTTCCGGCCCGCAACTGGGCTCCCGGCATCAACGATACAAGAGCGGCCTGTGCTGCGAGTGCGCCGCCTTGACGGTGTTCTATCCTTACTCACCAACCCGCCGGCAAACTTTGCTCGCCGCTCATGTCTCGCCTTCTCTTGATGCCGCGATGTTTGGCCCGCCCGTCAACGAGCTTCGGAAGTAGTCTTGGATGCTCCAACGCGATGTAAGATGGACTCCGACCTCTGGCTCAATCTCGCGCGTTCGATTGTAGCGCTACTGGTCACTGCCAGGTGAGAACTTGACGTCAAGAGTCCACTGGCACTCAGGCTCTTCGCTCGTTTGCCGCCGATGATTTTACAATAGTCAAGGCACTTGGCTTTTCTGGTGCTGCGATCTCTGGCGACCCTAACAAAGACACTACATGCAATGACTCGGACAAACTGGAACCCTCTGTGCGCTCTACAATCATATCTCTCCATGGCCCCAATTGACGCTGTATGGAGAGTCAGACAAGGTATCGAGTCACTAATACTATTGACGATAGGTGAGCATGCAAATCTTACTTTTTTTTACCGTTTCATCTAAGTAAAGCTGACTGGTGTGGTCCAACACGGCCTTTACGCCTCTCTGGTGCCTCCGTGTCCCGCCCTGCTAACGATCGCCGCCGCTTGCTCCTAACTCGGATCGGTCATAACCTGGACGATGACCGCCGCTTCAATCTTAGGTTTATAGCACTGCCCGTTTGGCGACTTTACCGCGGCCCACGCGCTGTCTCAGCTTAAGTAGCAGCAGCAACATCAGTAAAAGTGCACAAAAGTCTTTCAGGTCTTTTAGGTCTTTGGGCAAGACCAAAAAGACCTGAAAGACCTGAAAGACTCAAAAGATGCTGGGTCTTATTCCAGCAGCGTCCTGGTCTTGGGAAAGACTTGAGATCTTTCCCAAAGATCCCAAAAGACACAATTAAGACCTGCTTTAAGACCTGCTAAGACTCTTAAAGATGCAATGCAAAGAGTGAATAAAAGTAATAAATTCAATATAGCTAATACAATTTGATAACTACGCTCACACTACCGCTCTACCGGGCCAGGGCCGGGAATCGTTGACCGAAACGCAAGCGCTTCGGCCAGTCCAACCCCGAACGTGAGGGACACAGAAGAGGCGGGCGGGTCAGCGGGAGACAAGCGCTGGCCCGTGTGGGCTGAAACCTTCACGGATTGCAGGAGCAACCCGTCTGCGCCAAATCCTGCATTCTGGCGCAAAAGGACCGAAAATTGGTGGCATGGTAAGGCAGGGAAGGCAGGAATAGGAAGTTGTGGCGGGCGGGAACGCGTCGGTCGTTGGCCGCCGTTTTCACGTCGTTGGGAACGGAGGGAGAGGCGGAGAGGTGGGTAGAATTTGGCGGGATTTGGCCCAGGAACGAGCGCAGGGTGAGCGGGACAGGTTTCGGTCCAGTCTGACTGGTACATCGGCCGACGAGCGGGAACGGCGGGAGTGACGAGCTCGGTCTTCGGTCCTCGGGAAGCGGAGGGGCGTCCCGGACGCTCCTCCGAAGATGGCGCGAAACGGGCAAGAATCGCTTGCGGTAGGTGGGGAACAAGTCTTGGCTGAGCGATGGCGTTCAGAGCAACGATGATGATATAGTGATCGGTAGGCGACAAAGGTCTGGGAGGCAGTCAGAGGATGTTGTAGGAGAACACCGACGACGTACAGAGCCAAGGCTCGACCATACAACAAGCCGCAATCCCCTCCAGCTAAGCTACAGCACCCAAGGGGTATGCACCGGTCCAAGCCGAGACGTCAGGGGGGAGGGGAGGGGGGTGGTCTGGTGGCCTTAATTCACTTTTTTTTTGTATGGTACAGGTGGCTGGGAATGCTATTAATGGTCTCAGAATATATATAATTCTTATTGAAAGCAGATTTTGGGGTTGTTCTGAGACATGTACAATTATTTTGATGAGAATTTCCTATTTGGGTGGTGATGCCTTGGCCACCTCACACCCAAGTCACACCTGCCCATGGCCAAAATTGGTCTTGCGATGATGCCGGCAGGGTGAATGTTGGTGGAGGGCACAAGAAGGGACAATATATATAGAGCCAATTAGTAGTACTGCATGAGATTCTCACCAGTTTCCGGTGCCCATCAAGAAGTTCCCTTTCTGGGACATCACGTGCGATCACGTGGCGTGATGTCACACAGGGAGGGGGGTGTCCAGCAGTTGCTAATCCACTTTTCTGACCTGATGTCGGGAGTTTCAGAGATGCATACCTCTTGACAGCACCTTCGACGTCGAGCATGGCCTTAACCATCAGTGGAACACCTAGAGCGAGTTCGGAAGGTGTGGAATGTTGCTGTCTAGGTTTCAAGTTGTTTCGCCGTCGTGGTGGCCATTCAGACTTGAACGAAGGGCTTGAGAGTGCATTCGCAGCCTTCCTTGCTCTGTCAGGCATGAAAACTTGCCATTGAGGGGGGAAGGCCTTGTGTATTGATGGAATTGAGGTTTTCGAGCGTTGAGGAGCGGAATTGAGGCCATGGGAGGGTGCCTATGGGGGCGGGAGATGAGGGGAAAAGGAAGGAAGAAACACGGTGATGAGTCGCCGACAGCAATCAGCCATCTGTCATTCACATGGCAACATGATGGAACATTAGGGCCTTATTTTGATGGATGACTTGGGACTCGTGAAAACAGTTTACAGCTCAATAGTTGCAATAAAGCCTTTTAATTCTGTGTAAAACTGCAGACCTTCCAAACCTATTGACTTATGATATACTCCTCACCTTCTCACACCTATGCAAAAAAATTTGGGTTTGTTGACTGCAAAGATCATTGTAGAATAAGACCAAAGATTGCCTTCCAAGACCAAAGACTGCTGGCCAAAGACCAAAGATTGAAAAGATCTGTTCCCCAAGACCAAAGACTCTCTGTAAAGACTAAAGATCTAAAAGACTTTTTGACACTTTTACTGATGAAGTGGGCCGACCTTCTGGCAGTGCGGGAACTGGCACCCAGGCCAGCAGATGTGAGCGCTCACGAAAGTCGGACGGTTTACCGGGCGTGATGGCTCCGCTGCGAGCGGCGCAGGGAACACATTATCAAGTGTGGAGAACAGGTAAGGATTTTGATGCGCACCCATTTCAATACTACTAATCATTGTCTCTAGTCACCGACACACTCACGAGTCACTATTAGCGTTGAGATCGTGAGCCGGTACCATGGTCAGCTGGACAGCGCAGACGAGCGGGCTGTAACCTCTGGTGCATTCCCCTGAATATCTCACATATCTCAACAAGATTCAAGAACGGTAAACCAGTGAGTGTATTCAGTTTATGTTTTTCCGTTAAGCGACTCGGACATGCGCAGGTAGTAGGAAGCACTGCCGCGCTTGCCAGATGACCTCACCCTCTGTCTGGCCCAATTTCATACCGGCACGGCACCAGGTTTCGCCCCTTGTGTTATCGGGGCTTGTGCTTGGCGCGTGTCCTGGCCTGTTCAGCCTGAGTACCCTGGGACATGTTTTAGTCCGGCGGTCCGCGAACACATATATATGTTGCCAATGCCAGTGGTGAGTGTGCCGAATTGCCAAAACTGTTTCAGCTCATTGAATTGCTCGGAATTCGGCTCCAGCCTGAGCGAAGCTGTTCTATGGGACCTGAAAACGTCTCGGGCTTCCCCAGGTGCGTCAGCTATATCTGCTGGCAGACTGCTGCTTCGCTTCATTGATTCCCAAGCCAGGATTACGACACGCGCCACCAGTAGGTGGCACTTGCGGACCCAGCGCGGAATCGCCACGTTTTGGGCTCGGCAACGGGGAGCTGCTGAGCACTTCAAGTTGTGTGCTGTAGTTTTTGTCAGCGCATCCGCCGCGGCCGCATTGTTCCAAGCATTGCCGGCGTGGGCTTTCATCTTAGGCCCTTGGCGACAGCGGTGAGTTCCGCAAATAGCTGCGCGCGGACCGGCGCGGTTGTTCGTTTGCTGGCCTAGCACCCGGGCAGGCTCTCAGTTGATTGC